ACAGCAACCTATGTAGGCACCTGGTAGTTGATACAGAAAAGGAATTCAGTGCTCAACTGCTGCAGGAAAGTCACTGTAAAAAGTTTATGGCGAATTTGCCACACAGCAAACTGGCAGCTCCTCTGATAATGTGTAAAGGTGAAAGCAGGATGGGGTGTAGGCGGTATGAAGTGGTTTTCATGATCTAGATGTTTCATACTGAAATTGAAGTTACATAATTTATGATGCTGTTCTTGGCCTTTTGTCTCAGAGAGGCTTTTTTTTTCCAATACTTCATGTTCTAAAACGTGTCTTTTCCCAGATCTCTTATTATTGACTTTAGTATTATGCAGATTCAGAGCTCTTAGGTTTCAAAATCTGTTTCTTAAATATTTACATGACTGTTTTGGATATGGCTTCCACTCTTTTCTTTTTTTTCCCTGAATGCCCAGGTCTGTTCGCACACATCTGTCTGCGTAGAGCTGCACGTGTTCTGTTGTGCCGAGCTGCTTGAGTGACTAATGATAATCATTAAACTAAAGGAGCACAGTCAGGAAAAAAAAAAGTATAACTCATTATGTATGTGTGAAGAGCACTCGTGCTTTACAGTCCGTGCCCCTGTGCTTGAAATGGCTTACAAAGTTTAGGCCTAAAACGTTTTTATCATAGCCTATTATGCAACGTCTTCTGAAAATGTTCTTTTTTGGGGACGTTTTTGATGTTCTGGGATGTTGTGACAGCTTTCCTCTCTTGAGCACTGGGTCCACCTCGATGATAAAGGATCGCTCGTGAATGGCCCGGCTATTTATCACGGCTCTTTTCCCCTTCCAGTTTTTTTTCCTCTCTCCGTCTTCTGTCAGCCTTATGTAACAACTTGAGCATTAAGGCACTGCTGTACAGCCCGCGTGCTTTCTGCACTCCTTCAGCTGCACGCAGTGACCTCGGAATAGCACTTTCCCAAAGGCATTTCTGCATCTGACCCTTCAAGATGTATCTGTGTTTAACAGCAGATCTTCACATGGAGGGGTGCTCATAATGTGTCAGTCTACCCCACAAGCAGTAACCTGCTTCTAGGAACAGAAGCAAAGGCCCTGTTTCCCAGATGAAACTAGTGTTGTCCAGAAAGGTTACTCTGATGAGTCGAGTAGAAGAAGCAGCACCCCAATTTTCTGATATTGTTGTAATTATACATCACTTTGTGTTACATAATGTTATGTAAGCAATGCCGCCTACATTGTTAAAAGAAAAAAAAAAGTGTTGCCTGTTAGCATGAACCAAACAAATGTTCTTCAATTTGTCTTTGTATTTCTCCAGCGTAATAAATGCACTGATCTTTTCTCATGTTAGACCAGAGACATAAAGCTAATTATATTTTCTTGCTGACCTTACAGAAGTTCTAAAGAGGCTATAGCCCATTATTAATCCACCTTATTATCCTTGTAAATAGGCTCACGTTGTAATGCGGCAATATTAGTCACTTTAAATATAAACCGGGTACAGATAAAAGAATGTCTGATATTAGTTGTTCCATTTAATCAATGTTTAGTCAAATTGAAACCCAGTGCTTCTAGGTAATTAAATTTCACTTCCAAGCAGTAGCTCAGTGAAAAAGAACTGTCCTGTTTAGCGGTTCTATTGTGATGAGAGAGCCAGTGAAGCATATAAATGAACATCAGCTAACACAAAGTCAGTCCCTTTCCTGCCGTTCTCAGTGAACGTGCTCAATTTACCTTTTTTTCTGGCACATAAATGGTTAAGCCTGTTTTGCTGAGATATTGAGATAGAAGGTCGCTGTGGATTTTGCTAGGCTGTGGTTCCCATTTGTCATTTCTAAGAGAGCCAAGTTGATTAATAGCTAAATGGTAAACCCCTGACCAATCATGTTTGTAGTCCTAATAACAAGCAGGACCTCAAAAGAAATGAACCCCCTCATTCCAGGCAAGACTTTGAAAACATGGGAAACCGATTTTACCCCTGTAGATGCTGCATTTCCCCGTATATTTATCTCAAAAGAATGTTTGCATCCATCTTTTTTACAAATAGCTCATTCAGTGAAAATCATTCTACATAGCATCATGTAGACTGATCTTTTCCAAGGTCAGCAACGGAACAGCTAGTGCAGCACGCTAAAAAAACACGTCGTTGCTCTGTTTCAAATCACTCCAGGTAAAGCTATTCTTCAGATGTGCAGTAGCGGGTAACCAGTTTCAAAACAAATGTCGAAGGCTGCATTATTACTGTGATTTAAACCTGGCTATTTTGAGGAAGGCGCTACTGGAGAGAACATATGGAACTCTAAAGAAAGTAATTAGGGGTTTGTATTCCTCTCTGTCCTTTTGCAGATTGATGTGTTATAAAACGAAAAAGATTGAATTAAGGTGCTTTGCATCCGTCTTTTTTGTGGAAAAGAAACTCAACCTGGGATGGTTTTAGGAACAGTGAAATCAATCAGTGTCAATTAAGAGAACGTTTATAGAAACTCACAGCCCGAGAGTCAGTTGCCAGTCTTCTGCTTAACAGCAGGCAATGTAATTACGAGAAAATTGCTACAACCAGCATTTTGAGTCGTGAAGATATATGCCGAATATAGAAAGATCAGTACCTTTATTTTCTTTATAGTTTTAATGGTATATCTTAATGGTACAGTTTTAATGGTATAAGTAATTTTCATTGGTTTGAGTAGGCTGGTTTAATGAAATGTCTCTGCCCTGCAATCTTTGTTGTAGAAATAAAACCAGACTCAGATATCCAAAAAGACTGCACAGTGATAGGTGTTGAAATTGCTTTCTAAACATGTGGAAACAGTTTCTCTGCGTTCCCTTTGTGCACTGGGGCTGCCTCTCAGGAGCCAGCGAAGACCAATGTAAATAAGCTCAGGTCTTAAATAATTTAATAATTACTAATGTGAGAAGAGTGCAGGAGTCGGCAGACTGACTTGGTTTTGTTGCCGATTCCATCCCAGGGGCATTGTGCCAGCACAAGGCGCTGCCAGCTGAGCCATGCTTCTCTAATACAGGAATGCGTTAGCATCTCTAAATCATTTCTAGCGGTGTTCATGTGTTTCAGAAAGAAACTTGTTTCGCTGACCTGTGTTCATTATTGAATAGCCAATGCTCATTTTCAGGGTTAACACCAACCCAAGAATATAAGGGAAGTTACATTCAAATGAATAGTGGTGCCTATTTTCATAAAGGTGTAGATAATGGTGTGTTCATTCCAGGAACTGTGGTTGCCACTTTGTCTTTGGAGTGTCTCTTTTGAATTGTAGCCTTGTGTTAAAATTCAAATTGGTATCTAAGGTTTATTCATTTATTGAAATAATCGTGATTCAGTGCTCAAAAGAGCACTCTTCAAAAAGTTGTATGGTTCATTAATCCGATTAATTTAGCTGTTTATCCTTTTTCTTTCTAAAAAAACGTTAGAAGGTGGATTGCAACTTTGCTAAAATTTTTATTCCTGTATTTTGTAGAAAAAAAGACTTAATGTGTGTGTCTTGCACAGTATATGTAATGTCTACCCACATCAAGACAGAAGAACTGTTTTGACAAATAGAAAATGTTGTGGTTACTTGCTTCCGTGTTCTATCCCTAATTCTTTGTCAAATGTATTTACTTTTTTACTCCCGTCCTCTAAAATCTCATCTGAAAATACCAAGTATCTGAAAAAAATATATGGATTTCCCTTCTTTTGGGCTTGTTAATGAGTGAAATCGGCAAGTACTTTTGCATGACAACAGAGTTCTTTTGCATAATCCTTCATTCTTTGTTTTACTGTAATGCACTGGTCACATTGATAGATGTGCCTGTCTGGAAGACTTCAAAGGTTTGCAATTCGCTGAGAAAAATACATTTGAATAATGGAAGGGCTAGAGATTTCCTGCAAGTGGAATTAAAATTGGGCCTTTTATTCTCTCTTGATTAATGTCCTAATTTTCATGATGTTGCATTACATTTAGGCTAGATATAGCTTATATATTTAAATCTCTTTAAACTGCACTAAATATTTTGGGAGAAGATGGAAGAAAAATCCTCTCAGCTTTTGCAGTATAAAGACAACGAAGCCAGTGACCATCTCAAGGAGATGGTCTAATTAAATGACTGTGTTGTTGTTGTTGTTTTTACAGCAGAGATGTACAGAATTCAGTGATGATGTGTGAGTCATTCATCGTTCATTATCATCCCACATTTTTTTTTTCCCTTCTTCCCTGAGCCTCTGTGCAAGTGGAGTGGGGGTTCAGAAGCGATAAGGCTCTTGTTATTGGCTAGCTGCTTCCTTAATGTGACCTGACTAATCCAGCGTGACTGCTGTAGCCCAGCCCCCTTCTCCTTTACACTGAGCTTGGCAGCAGTCCTGTAGCTAGAGACTGGCTGCATCCACCAACAGCACTGCTTGTGCTTCAGTGCAAATATCAGTCCGGCAATGTGAGATTAACAGCACTGACTTCCAAACATTTATTTCTACTGTTCCCAGCTGCAAAAGAAGACAAAGGATGATGATTAATGGATTTTGGCATCTTCACCTTTAAACAGTTCAGTGTTTAATCTACTTTTACTCTGAGATTGGTATTTGTCACCTCTCTGCCAGGAGGAAGATTGTTAAAAGGTCTTTTGAAATTCTAACAAGTTTTTTTTTTTGTTTTCTAACTTGACATCGGCAATCTGCTCTTACAGAAACAATGTAAGAAACACCATTTGTTCTGCAACGTGTGGGCTAGACTTGTGCGCTAATGTGCCTTGAATACATCTGCTGAAGAGTGGATTCCGAAAGTTTGACATAAAAGACGCTGTGGAGGTTCAGCTCGGTTTTCGATTTTGTTCAGTTGTGGAACTTGAAGGCTAAATATCAAAATGCCGTCCAGAGAATCATGCTCTGGCACGAAAGGTACCAAGTCTCTGGTTCACAAGCCAAAACAAGAGACCCATCAGCAGGATATACTAGCCGCTGCACTGGGGATGAGAATGGGACCTCAGAAACCACCTGCAACTCTGTGGCAACCTCTCAAACTGTTCGCTTATTCACAGCTCACTTCACTGGTCCGAAGAGCCACCCTGAAGGAGAACGACCGGACCCCCAGATATGAAAAGGTCCATAATTTTAAGGTAGGTTATGCCTTCTGTCTCTTCTTGTTGACTGGTTTAGTAGATCGCGCATTTATGCTTGAACTGTTTTTACGGTGCTATATTACATATGTACTGCATAGTTTTTTTTAAATATTACAGAAACACTCAAGATGTGTGTTTGAGAAGTGAATATGATGCCTGAACGATCAAAGTGTTTTGGCTGTTGAGGAAAGCCAGTGTGAAAAGGGAGGCAATCCAGATTTCTCTAGACTGTCGCTCATTCGTTTTGGGAAACAGATGGAGAGATTAGGAGATTTCAGGGGAACAGTTGCGGGCTGTATCCTTGTTCGGCTTCTAACAGCAAATGGTGCTCCTGCTTGCCTATTCAGATTTGCTAATGAAACGACTAGGAGATGGAGCAGGTTGCACCGAAAGGCAGAGAAACTGCTGACATTTGCACAACTGTTTTTTTTTTTTGCCACTTAAACTGTACGCTTCATTTCACATTTTTAAGGGTTGCAGACAGATTTATGTTTAAATGTAGCGTTATGTTTGAAGATAATTCACTCCTGCAGAAAAAAATGCACCGTTTTGCTGATGTTTCCATCCACACTTCACAGGTCAGCTGAAATGTTCAAGAACTTGAGGCTTGATCAGCACAAATAATAGACCAAATGTGACATATATTTAAAAATTCAATTTCTGTGGTAGTGTTTTATACAAAACTATTAATAGAGCTTCGTGCCATGTTTTGGGCATGGAGACAGACTTGTGTTCTGTGAGCTAGGCAAGCAGAAGTGAGGGCTTGTTTTCCAAAATGAATAATCTTATCTTGAATTTATAATTGATTTGATCGGTTTTGAGAAATTTGTGCACCAACTGAACAAGTACTCACAGGAACCAAAGTTCTGTTGGTGTTCTTAGTCCTGCTTTTATGAATCTCAAATCAGTGGCTTACATGTGAAATTTCTTTTATTTGGGTAATTATTACTTGTTGTTTTTAGCTTGTACAGTGCATCTCCTAATAGCATGTACTGTATGCCTGGGTCACACAGGCTTTGAAGAGGCTCTTGTGCGTAAGCAGCGTATTTCCCTAATTGAGGGAGAGGGTTGAGTATGCCCGTGCTCACAGGGCTGTTCAGAGACTCAGGAATCAGCCCAGAGTGTTCACCTCATTGGTGGGTTTGTTACCTGGCTGCATGCGGAGGCTTCCTTTGATGTTGCTGCTGCAGCAGCGTTATTGCTCATTGCCATGACAACTCGCCCCCTCAGAGTCCAGCACGTCACTGAAGAGATGTCCTGCCTCCCCCACCTGATTGCCACTTTTCACTCTTTAATAAATGTGCGAGATGATTCGTGTTTAGTTATTTTTTAACCCTTGTCCAGCCTTAAAACTTGCTTGTTTTCGAAGGCCTTTAATTCACCATCTCTTTCTTTCTTTGAATTTCACATTTATACATGGTTTTATTGTATATGTTTGGTTATTCTACTTTTTTATATGCAGCATTTATATAAAATGCCTTGAGAATGCTCTGGGCTGAAAGGCACTAAGGATAAAATTGAATCAGATTGTTTCAACTTTTTTCTGTCTGTCTGGAAACCATTGTCAATATTAGCCTCACAAAGTGTTACATTTTATGTTTCTGTTTAGTTCTAAAGAACCTGCCATCACAAAATGGCTGTGAGACCACCCCCAAACGTGGAATATTACTAAATGTGCATATTTTGTGTTTTTTTTGTAGGTCCATACATTCCGAGGACCACACTGGTGTGAATACTGTGCTAACTTCATGTGGGGTCTGATTGCTCAGGGAGTAAAATGTGCAGGTACACTTATTATGTATATTTTCCTTTTGCCTAACATTTTTGACGCTTTCATAAGCTCTTAGGTTCTAGTTCTGTTTTTAAGGTATTTGTTACTCTTCGTTTGTTCTGTCCAAGGATAATGATGTTGATCATAGTTGCTGTTGATTTCTTTAATGCAAATGTGTGTATCTCTTAGCTGTCTTTTGTGATAGAGAGGACAGTGCTTTTATACTGTACCACAGAGAAGGCAAAGTGACAATTGTAGACTTTAGTTAGTGTAGATACTATTTTACATGGGCTCTTAGCCAATGCTATGTTATCTCTTTTTTGTTAGAAGAGATACTGTTCTACATGTTAAAACTTTAGATTTTTTAATGTGCAATATATTTAACATTGAGATTTATTTTTTAATTTATTTTTCTCAAAACTTTACTAAATGAATGTTTTATAACAGCAGGGGGAAAATGGACCCCAGTTGCTGTGATGCACTGAAATGTTAAGTGCTATATTGTGCTACCCAACCGGATAGCTTAAGTAAACACAGCTAACCAGGTTTTTAACTGTAATCCTGTAAATAACTCAATTACACAGCCCTCAGAGGACTTATAAACTGGAAGTTTATGGTGTGAAACACAATAGAAATGCCTCTGTACATATAAAGGTAAATCTTAGTCTGATACATACCCTTTTGACATGATGTGGTGAAATCACTTTCCCTTATAAGCATTTGATGTGATAAATTAAAGCATGTACAAAGCATGTACTACAATGCATGTAAAGCCCAAGTCACTTGCTCAGTTAAATGAAGAAAAAGGTTCTCAGGAAAACTACGGCTGTAATGCAAAACTGAATTTTTCCCCAAGCCACGTATGTTATTAATGTACAGTAGATAGATTTGATTAAAGTCTCAATTAACTATTCTTAAATATGGGCATTATAACATGCTACTTAATGTATATTAATATACTGCATTATGGAGTTGCTCTTGGGACCTGTCCTTCACTAAACTGTAGTGTACTTAAAGCCATGGTGTTTTCCAGTATTCCTCATGGTCTGAGAGTCAGGATAATTATATGAAATGTGCATTTAGTTCTGAGTTGGCTGTCTTATTTTGCACACTCAGTTTTTGTAATTTATTAGCAGTTAATCACTGCGGTTGGGGATTCAATACCAGTACATATTTTAGCATTGGAAAATCTGCTTCACAGTGTAAAGTGTTGGCATAATTTATTGAACAGTCCAGATGTTAAATACTTTCATGAAAATTCACACTGCATGCCTTTTCAAATTGATTAGACTACATCCTACAGTTTGTGGTTGCAGAGATTCATTGTAACGTATTCTTACCGAGAGCTGTAAAACTTAGTAAGAATCATGACATGTACTGTATTTGGCAGTAACTTGGCACGTCTAGGTATTTACATCATATACATATAAGGTATTTTCTTCAACAATATTTGTATTTAAGTCAAAATGTCAAGAAATGCAGGTGAAAATGCTAGCAAATATGCAATGGAACTTTATCAGCTTGTCCTTTGAATATTTTTAGTGCAATGTTTTCTTGTTTGATTTGCTAAGATGTTTTTTTATATACAGTATATAGTCTGACCAGCTCATTATGCCAACAAAATAGAGGCTGATTTATGTATTTCATATATTATTAATGTGACAAATTGTACTACACATATGTTCAAGAGAGCACAGTGATCAATTATTTATGGATTTGTAAAGCGGAATATATTATGCTAAACATTTACTTTTTACTGAGGCTTTATATGTCTAAACATAGGTTTATTTTTTGTCTGTTGATCCACATTAGCCATAATGTTAATGAATATTATTCTTTTCAGATTTATATGAAATAGAATTTGAATTTGATCAAATTCATTTTTTTTTAATCTCTGCCACTGTTTGGTTGGGTGCCAAAGTACAAGGCACTGTCGGTGCGTGTTGTGCCACATTTCCTCATCAAAGGCTGCCTTCAGCCTAATATCATCAAGCCTGTGAAGGAAAACAAAGCTGGCATTTCTTTTTAATGATGAGAGCAGCTCGAAGCAGTTTGAAAGATGGCTATTTCCATAAGCATTAAAATTCAAGAACAAAAACAGTAGCTAGGTCACAGCAGAAAACTAGCTGTGAAATTGTTAAATATTTTATTCTGTTTTGAATAGAAACTGAAAAAAATCTGAATACATTTTAAAGGTTTTATACACTATTTAGTATGTTCACCCAATAAGCAGTTGTATCAGTTAATAGGTGTATTGAGCTCTCATGAACAGCTCTCACATGCGTTTAGCAGCATGATTTTATTTTTGATTAATCCTTCTTTTATGTTAACTAAACCTTGGTATCAGGCTTAGAACCAAATCTACATTTCTTAACTGGAGCGTCCTTGGTTTGAGACATAACCCAACATTATGGTTTATCTGTTTGAAAAGTCTTTTGTGTTTTCAATATTTTCAAAATGCATTAAACTAAAGGTATCTGACTGAATTAGAGTTCAGAACACTGACACCTAGGTATAATAAACTTGTAGATTATAGTGCTTATAATGACATTTTTTAAAAAAATAGGACAGTCTATTAAAACGGCTTTCGTGAGCACTTGAAAGATTCATATCTCCTAAGGTAATTACATTTCTGCATCACTGAATATAAATAAAGGCTTCCAGACTCCTCCAGGGTATATCTTTTAAAAAGGCAGTCAGCATGCACAGGAAAGCATTGTTCCTCAAGCTTGAAATTCTGATCCCAGAATTGTAAAGGCACTTATTTAGATAGCTGTATCTTATTTTGTTTACTTGCTGAATTATTCAACTTCTTTGATAAGATCTGTTTTTAGGGGAATTTTTAAAGCGCCTGTTTTAAGATTGGTGTACTACCAAATTAAAGCAGTTTAGGAACTTTGGAAAGGTCAGAAATGGGAGTCTGTTGGGGAAATGCTTCCTACTGGTAGCAAACCATTCTCCAGATTATGTTTCTGTTTATGTGTTTTGTCTTTTATCATTGTCATTGTCTTGTTGGTAAGCTTAAATTTGACATGTTTCTTTTCCTCTGCAGAGAATGTTTCAAACGAATTTCTCTATTAAATTAATAATAGCATTTGATGCTTTAAAAGATATTTATATGTGCATGTTTATTGATGTTCGGGGTTAAGAGGGTGAAATGCATTGCTGTCAAGACATTTAAAAGTTTTTGAAATGCGTGCTTTCTTTCTGAATCTCGGAGGAAATGTCCTATTTAATGTTGGTAAAATAGGTCTTGTATTGCCTGCAGCAGTAACGTTGCTGCTGCTTGCTATTATAGGGATCTCGGGATTTAAGAGAAAATAGAAATCTGCTTCAGTGTGCCTAATAGAAAGGCAGTACTTTTCATGTATTATGCCTCCTGGTGATTAACATGCTTCTCTCTCCTGGGAAACATTGTTTTCATAGCATAGCTGTTAATCCACAGAAAGACCACTCATTGCAACCATGCAGTTTCCCATGCTACTAAAAGTGTACATCTGAATTCATGTGCTCAGTGCTAACCTCTACACTGGAACACAATTTGGAAGGTAACCTAATTTTCAGTTGAACTAAGAATGCGTACGACAAGTGCTGGGAAAAACTGTTTTAATAATTTATGCGGGATAAGGAATGGATTTATAGCTGAAACATTGAACTAAAAAGAAGTGAAACCCCTACCTTCTGTGAATTGTTTGCTCTGGCAGGGCAGAAGAATAAAGAATACCGAGTTTGTCTCTGCCAAGCAGATGAGATAATTGGTTCACGCAAATCTGAATGTGACACTAGGACTGCTCTATCGAAATGAATGGAGGTGGTGCAGTCACATGCTGGATTGCACTGCCCCCTCACAGATCTGGGGTCCAGGGTTTGAGCCCAGGCTGGGGCTCCATCTGTGTGGGGCTCTCTGGGCGTTTGTAATATCCTCCCTCTGGTCTCTGTCGTCTCCGAACCATCCCTTTGTGGTTGCGCCTGTGTGTCTTGGCTCTGAATTACTGTGACCCTTACTGAGATTAAGCAGCTTTCTGAAAGTGGATGGGCAGATGGGTGAAATTAATATATTAAAATAGTTCCTCTTTTTCCTGTCTCCAAATATATTTTTGAAGCTGTAGCACTTTGGTATATACACAAAGTTTTTCGAACGGGATTTAAAAAAAAAATGCTTCATAAAAGGTCTTTTGTTTTCATTAATTACACAGTTTATTCTGTATAACCACTTTGATGCACAAATGACAGGATCCAAGTCTCTCTTTTGTTTCATAAGAAATTGAATGTTGGCAACAGTATTTTCTAACGTTTTGTCTTTCCTGTGGGGCTTTCTAAATGCTGCAACAGTAATACATTGTTTATGCTTTTTCTGAAAATGAATGAACTGGTTTATGTGAAAGATTTAAAATAATATTAATAAAAATATTGCATGCAATAATGCCTTTTGCAGTTTTGGGAAACTATAGTGAAGTTCTAAAATGAGGACTTTAAATCTACATCTAAAATAGCTTATATCTTAATATATTCTTGATTATCATTACCTGGCTTGTGTCCATATTGACATTGGCTATAGTACTTTATCCCCGATTTAATACTGGAAAAAGTCCCAGTAGAAAATGTGTTCCAGGTGTGGGGATATTTATTCATTTGTTGTAAACTTCTGTGGTGGAGCTATGTATACAGGACATTTTCATCATTTATTATACTTTAAGCCACTAAAGGGGAGTGCACACATCTAAAAGAATTACTTTTAGTTCCTCATTAATTTTGAGGACAGAAAATTGTAGAAAGAGACCTAAAGTTATATAATGTGTCATCTACATTTTGTGATGAACTACCATGATTTTATCAAAATACAGAGCACATAAAGAATTATATACAAATTGCTCATAGTAAGATTCAGGAGATTAATAAATGATAATAGTGATGGTTAATAATTCACTATAGCAGGAGCCTAACTATGAAGCCGGAAACTAGGTCTAATGTTTCTAGTGTCTCCCAATGTGTAACATTTAATCTTGCTGTTAGCTACGTTGAGGCATCAGTTCAGAATGTACCAATATGGATGTACACTAGCTTCTTGTTTCCAGAATGCTGCATTAAATGGACAGTCCCAGAACATGTGCAGAAAAACACAAGCTACACTAAGATTTCAAATATTGTAAGACAAGTGAGGTGTCATTTTCATAACAAACACCTTTAGGGTGTTGCGTGGGCTCTGTAGATAAATTAATACATTACACATTTCAATGAAACATCTAAAAATTACATTGACTTTATTTCACTCTAAGATTACTGTTAGTAACTGCAAAAGCTGCTTATGCTCAGCTAAGAGGGTTAGCTTACCCTAGACTAGACTAGTCAGATATTCGTTCTTCAGTGAGCACACTTATGTCATTATCTCTGGGAGAGAGGATGAACCGCAGATTTAATATTAATCTCATGGGCAACAAATCCGCCTTTTAGAGTGATTTGGACAGGGGTAAAAAAGGAACAGAGAATTGGCAGTTAAGATTAACTAGCCTTTCAAATGTTGTCTTGATCAGTGTTTGTTAACCTGCTTTTGTATTTGCTACTTCTCCATCAAAATACATTGAGTGTTCAAGGTTATCCAAACAGCCCTGGCTGCATCCAGGAAATGGTGCCATTTGCTATCAGAGGATGGTGTAGAATTCAATGCCATGTCTAGGGCAAGTAGTGAGCAAGTAGGTGTGACTGCTTCTGTGTAACGCTAAGACACAAACAAGAATCAGTGTAAAATAGTTTCACCTATTGGTATTGCTCTTCAATTGTGTAGGTAACGCAAGATGTTTCTTGCTTATGTTAACACTGCATTTCACTCTCATCTCACTCCTCCCCTTGTTGTGTTTTAGACTGCGGTTTAAATGTCCACAAGCAGTGCTCCAAGGTGGTTCCCAATGACTGCAAGCCAGACCTGAAGCACGTGAAAAAAGTCTACAGCTGCGATCTCACAACGCTGGTGAAAGCCCACAATACCAAGAGGCCCATGGTGGTGGACATGTGCATACGGGAGATAGAATCAAGAGGTGAGAGAGAGAGACATACCCCAACATCAAGCTTTCATTACCCAATCTTTATGGATAAGGATATGAACAGAGCTCTGAGATTAAGGAGTATCTGGGGACACTTGCTTCTTCCACGAAAATCCATACTAGATGGACTAATTTATGTGTAACAGCTGTTTAGTGTCATTAGCATCTGTGTTTTATTGATTTACAACATTTTTTCATCCACTTCCCTTCCCCCTGCACTTTCCCACTTTAACCGCTTTAAAGCCCTTACCAAGGACATTTTAAACTGGCCGACACAGCTCCTGACCAGCAACGAACCTGCAGTGCAACAGGTTTGAAATAAAATCAAGAGAAAATGATTTTTTTCCCCCTCTCTTTCTTTGCTAGCAGTGCAGGCATTTTTTAAAGAACTCCCAGAGAAATTATTTTGAGGAATTGAGTCTCAGTGCGGTTAATTAAACATAACTGGGAATAAATAATTATACTCTGAGCTGTTCCAGGTAGATAAGGTCATCTGTACTCCACTGTTGTGGCGTTAATGTTTTTATCTATTTTTCTACAGGGAAGTACATTTTACAGATACGTCTGAATAAGTAATTAAAACATTTTAGATATATTGTGGTATGACATCTTGCAAAGGCAATTTTCTGGCATTATTGGATGAAGCATCTCATGCTTCTTGAATATGTGGGCTATCTCTATATGTGATGCTGTGCTTATTTTAAGCTTTCCATTCTTAGACATTTTCCAGTTTCCTTTCCTAGTCAAGAATAATCTGACATTGCTTTGTACAGTTTCAGACCCAGAACGATCTGTTACAGGTTTCAAACAAAAGCTGTACTGTTAGAAATACAAGCACGTCTATTTGATGGGTTTTGATGGCTCCTTTTAATTACATATGTAATATACATTTTCACCTTGTGGCATTTGTTTCCTTAAAGGTCTGAAGTCCGAAGGCCTGTACAGAGTATCAGGATTCAGTGATTTAATTGAAGATGTCAAGCTGGCATTTGACAGAGGTATGTTTTTACTTAAAATACTGCAATATCAGCTCTTTAACAGATCCCATGTGTGCTTTACACTGAAGTGCCAAATTGGGTTACACCCTAATGGGAAGATAGGAAGAAATATTGGTGCTTTAATAGTGGTATGTGCAGTTGTGTCCCAGACTGAAAGATATTATATTAGCTTTTAGGTAATAAAACCCTCCAGTGGAAACAGGAATGTCACAGGTTATCTGCTGGCTATCAAAAACGTCTTCTAAGCTCCTTCCAAAAAAGTTGTTTTGTAAACTATTCCAAAGAAATGTTCTCAGGTTTTGCTTCAAATGCAAGACTTGATCAGTTACCATCAAATGGTATTCATGAAGGATCTATGGGGCCCAGTGACATTATTTGAAGTTAATACAGTTCTGTCACAAGCGCAAGCACGCTCTTAGAAACTGTAACATTCCTGCCTTAAGAGAAGAGAAGGCACAGCTGCTTTCACTTAACAGCTTACATCTATCAGCTTGAAGTTTACTGGGCTCTGAGATTGCAAGCATCTTTAAATCTCTCAGAAACAAATGAAATCAGAAAGTGTCTTATTCTTAGGTTTAAATAAGACATTCGTTCCTAAATTACAGGTTGGCAGTGAAACAACAAACCTAAACCAAAAACATGTTTTTTTGTGTGATTCTGATTGTGCCTCTGTGTGGGCTATCTTGAGTGCGCTGTTGATTGTGATTAAGAAGCAGATCAGTCTTTTTATTTTCCAAACCTGTTAGTTGAACTGAAATAGCTGACAGCTTACAGCACTTGTAAAATCTGATTTCTTGCCTCTTTTCATTTTCCAATTCCACTCAAAGCAGATTTCAGTTTGTGGCAGATCACAATTGCTTTCATATAGTGTCAGTACAGTTTCATCAATTTTTCTTAATCTTTGTCTTTTTTTTAAACGTGGGACAAGCGATATGTATGGTTTCTCTTCACAGATGGTGAAAAGGCAGACATTTCCGTGAATGTGTATGAAGATATCAATATTATCACTGGTGCACTTAAACTGTACTTCAGGGATTTGCCCATTCCTGTGATCACATATGATGCCTACCCCAGGTTCATTGAGGCTGCAAGTAAGTATAAAATAAATAAGATGTCTTACTTACATGCACATCAGGTGGGAAATATGAGTTTCAAGATCTATATTGTTAAAACACTAGTAAAATATTAGGTAACTCAATATCTGTAGGCATTAGGGGAGTTAAAAATGAAACCTTAAAAAATCACGATCCAGTGGTATTTTTCTGATTAAGTTATAAGACAAATCAAACCCTAAATCTTATGCTTGAAAATGAGATTCACTTACAATATACCATGCCCTCTTCACCCTTGTATTCTTCATAAATTAAAATACAGAAGTGGCACTATTTTAGGTATGTGATTTCTTGCTATGCTGCATCAGTACATTTGAAATGTCTGTTGAGCAATTTTTACAATACTGTTGATTTCCGTACTGAAGCATTACAACGCAAGTCTCTGCACTGGGGGAAAAAAAAACAAACATTTCAGTTCTGAGATTTCAGACCCATTACCCCTTTCACAGCTTTTCTCTGTGAGTGGAATCTTTTGGGGGAAAAAAACCCTTATAAATTGTCAACTGTAAGTTTTATTTATATTTTCTTTTCAGGCGATAGCGAGATTATGATTGAATTTCTTTGTATAATGGAACATAAAAAATGTTACTGAGGAGAGAAGGCAATTAAGACCATTTAGTAGTCAGTAACTGATCCGCAGTTCTCATTTAGCCACCTCTTCAGAACAGCAGGATGAGATCATAACTTAATAAAAGTTGGTAGAAATTGCTTTAGTAACATTCATTTTGATATCTGATGCTCAGTGTCCTGTCTTCCTTCTTATTCCTGTATGAAATATGAAACGCTAGTATCCCAATCACATTCTGTTTATCACGTGGCTTGTTTAGAACTGCCATGAGGAGCACAATACATTCAGCCCTTCTGCTTGAACGCCTAATTGAACTTGTTTGTATTGCAGAGCTCACAGACCCTGATGAACAGTTAGAGGCGCTGCATGAAGCGCTGAAGCTGTTACCACCTGCACACTGTGAAACGCTGAGGTATCTCATGGCACACTTGAAGAGGTGAGCCGCCCAAGGCCCCTGCCTTTCATGCTCAGTTCCATTTCAGCTCGCCATGTGTTCAAAACTCCAGATCCGTCTTGCTGGCTGGGTAGAACTGCTGCTCCCTTTATTTGAATTATCTAGTCGCATGGAGCTTGAGCCCAAACTAAAAAAATAAAAAAGATCAGAATATGCTAACAGCTAAATTGGAGCATGCTCCATTGAGGATAGTGGTTATGCGTTATTGGTTGTGTATTTGTCTTTTGTTTACTGACCGTTCCTTCCTTGGATGAATCCTGCGCAGTACGTGCAATGCGGTTTTTAGTGCCATTTTACACATGGTCTCCCTTTATTCTATTTGGTGTTTACTTATTTTAATTATAAGGTTTTAAAATGTGTTTTTTCATGCAGTAAAGTATTTTTTTATTTATACGGATATATGCTTTTTTTATATTTGAGTGGTAACTGTAGTACCAGTCAAAAGTTTGAGTACACTTGCATGAAACCAGGTTTTTCCATGATTATCTGTGCTTTAAACTGTGTAGAGGTGTATGTAAACACTTAATATTTAATTTCATGATATGTGCACTTATAATCTTAAACGAACGGCATTGAAAATGTTAATTTTTCATTTTTAATAAAATGAACACCCAAAGCAAGCAGATTTCAGTCTGAACCCCAGGTTAGTTAAAAGTCAGAAATGTGTATAACATGGTGTTTGAACCCTAAAAGAAGTTTAAAATTGTCTATGTTAGATGTTCTCACAGTTAAACTAGCATGTTACCTCATTTTGTCACCAATTATTGGTAAACAGGCAAGGGTCCATGATGACTATAAATATAGGGGGCATGGGCAAAAGTTTGTAATTCCTGAATGCTCACCAAGCAGGGGAAAAAGACAGTCTATAATTATTTTAAGAAATGAAGGTCAGTCCTTAAGACAAAATGCAAGATCTTTGCAAGTGTCAGTAACTGCTGTGGCCAAGACTATCAAACGATATGAAGAAACTGGCCCTCATGAGGAACGAAAAAGGTCAGGCAGTCTGAAGGTGACCTCAGAATGGGAGAATACCTTTATTAGAGTCACAAGTCTGTTAATACCAGCGACTAACTACCCCTGAAATACAAGCTGAGCTCTATGCAACTAGAAGTACAGAAGTTTCAACATCAGCTGTTCAGAGGAGGTTGTGTGAAGCTGGCCCCCAAGGTCCAGTTTCTGTGTTTTTTGGCCCAGGCAAGTCTCTTCCTCTTTTTCCGCACTCTTTACAGTGGTTTATTTGCAGCAGTTCTTCCTGGTAGGCCAGGTTCTGTATATGTTTTCATGCAGTGGTTAAGAAAGGGTCTCTTCCGACGAGGGTAAAAATCGGGTTGCGGGAAGACTTGCCGAAGTCCCGCCACCTCGCTGCCATTAAAAGTGCACTGTCGCCCCCTGCAGGGTGACCGTAAATGAAAAAGACAATCTGATGAACGCGGAGAACCTGGGGATCGTGTTTGGGCCCACCCTCATGCGGGCCCCTGACCTGGATGCCATGGCTGCTCTTAACGACATCCGCTATCAGCGGCAGGTGGTCGAGACGCTGATCAAGAATGAAGACATCTTGTTCTGAGATGGCAGCAGCTGAACACTACGGATGAAGGAATCGGGTTTTGATTAACTCAGCTTTGAGCCTGACTTGTTAAGTCTTTTGTTTTTGCAGAGACTTGAATACGAAGAAACCTTTTTACGACAGTAATTTTTTTCACGCCAATGGATCTGTATAAAATATACCTTTTGCTTCCCCTTTTAATGGGTGTGGATTATTTTCTTTTTACCTTAAGATAAATGTATTTGCATGTCTGACTCCCCATTTTTGTCGGGGGTTGTTACAACAGAGATGGACCAAATGTGGCGGAGTTTCTTTATTTTGGATAGCCATTAGCAGTAATCTGGCATGTGTTAAAGATCGTGAAGTCTGAAGCATTGTTACTCTGCTTTTCTATTGTCCTGTGGATGTAGCTCATTATGCCAAAATGGGCAGATTTTGTGAAACACTATATCTGGATGTTACATAGATACAGTAATATTTTTTAAAAAAAGTGATGAGCTTTTTTTTGTTTCGTTTAGTTGGTTTTGTTGAGTTTTATATATTTTAGGTGAATTTTTACACCTCTAACAGGAATAAAATATAAATGTTTATGGAAGTAATCTGCCGTTCAAAATTCAACGTGCAACTTTAAATGTTTAGTTTCTGCTTTGGTTGTAATATTTTGTATTTGATTTGCGCATGGGTATATTAATTTATTAAACTGCTTTCAGGAAATCTTCTGGATTTCGTGTAGATTTGTTTGGTGTAATAATAATTGCTTACACTTGTATATCACATTTTGTGAACACTCCACTCAAAGCCATTTACAGGTAATGGGAACTCCCCTCCACCACCACCAATGTGTAGCCTCCAACCTGGATGATGTGATGACAGCCATAGTGCACCAGTATGCTCACCGCACATCAGCTTTCAGTGGGGAGGAGAGCAGAGTGATGAAGCCAGTTCAGAGATGGGGATTATTAGGAGGCCACGATTGGTAAAGGCCAGGGCGAAATTCAGCCAGGACACCAGGGTGTACCCAAGGGATCTGCCTTCCACTTGCTATCTGGACTTCTTCACACACATACCTAATTATCGGTATCAAAATCTGTTGAATGTTTAATTATGGATTTCAAAATTAAATATGCTAATGAACCTTGATTGGAGGAAATAAGGAAAGTGCATCAGTGCAAGGTAAGTGCCCTTGGTGATTGTGGTGATGTATCATGAAAAATTGACATTTTTTGATTGGCTGTGTGGCAATTCTGGATGTAACTTCACCCTCCAACAACCTCAACTCTTAACCTCACCTTTCCATGCTATAGCTACAGACCCACACCAGTCTCACCCTTATTTATTTAATAAGAAATACATTCAGGAAAATCCAAAACTATTGTAATTTGGGGGTTAATGTAAATTGCACTATGATTTTTTAGTGTAATTTCTTTTTATACCGTATTTTTTTTCATATTTAATTATTAGTATCAGCATTACATCTCTCATAAAGCACAACACTCAGGACCCTTTTAACCTTGTGATGTTGAAACCTGTAAAAACCATCTTTTGAAAACTGTTTCTTTTGTCATCTAATGTAAAATTTTATGACAAGTTTTATGTTGTTTTGCTCTACCTTGTAAGAATTTAGAAACAGTTTTCAGCTAAAAAATTCAATGCTATCAAAAGGCACTTTTCATATTTAGCACTTTGCATCCATTCTAAAACTTTTATTCCATGCTGAAAAAAAGAAGAAAGAGAACACAACGTTTCGGCCGTGGAGCCTTCTTCAGGTGTGAAGAAGAAGTGACACCTGAAGAAGGCTCCACGGCCGAAACGTTGTGTTCTCTTTCTTCTTTTTTTCGGCATGGAATAAACCTATTACTTGTTCCTTTGCAGCCTACGCATGCTGACGCAGCTACCCACCTGAACTACTACATTCTAAAACTTGCTCTCTAAATATGATCTATAAAGGTGCAGACACCAACTAGAATTCCAGATCCTCACATGTCACCATCATTGGGTGATCCTGATGTCTTTGCTGGGTAACTTTCCGCTCTCTCCTTGCCTCTGGGTTGGAGAACAGGGCTCATCTCTTGTCCCCATGTCCTCTTTTGAGACGCAAGAGATCTCAGACATCGCTGTTTTCAGGTTCCCTTATGGGGGCAGTCTGATCCTGCACAGCCATGCAGCCAGGAACCAGGAGGTGCTATTGCAAGCTAGCTGGATCTTATCTTCATCTCCCCTGCAGATCTTGGACTACCGCCATCATTATCCACAGAGCCTCCACAAGGTACTCTGCATTTACTTTTTACAACCTCCACCTGAAAGTCCTCCTTTTCAGGAAAGAAGTTCAGGAAATTGTCCCCAACATTGCAGGGAGTGAAAGACTTCCTTCTACCTCCACAAAGCTCTGCAGGAGAACTAAAATACTAGCCTGGGAGCCTGCTTTTTAATTTGAAGCTCCTCCCCCCTTGTTAGCACCCACAAGCCTCTTAATGAGGTACTGCAATGCTATTTTTATATTTCGGGGTTAGAAAGAATCAGCATTGATGAGTGCATTTCAAACCACAATGAAAGTCAAATGTGCACAGTAATGTGTAAAACCTCCAATTTACATCACAAAAGATTAAATTTCCAGGTATATGTAGCGCCATATTCTGAGATTCAGAAAAGGCCATTAAACTTCTGGTGACATAAAGCAGCTTTGGCACACTGTAAACAAGCAGGTTTGTGGATACAGCTCTTTTAATCCAATAGAAATATTGCTCTTGATTTTGAGAAGGTTTTGCTGACAAATACTACTTCTTAACTCTGCACGCAGATCAGGATGTAACATTTCTGTGGTGAAATGTCTGCTGCTCATCCTGTACTTCTTCACTCATGTGATCACATCATGTGACATTAGCCATTATGGTGACTAGTGAGCAGGAAGGGCCACTTTACGTCACAATTCACGCGAATTTCCTCTTTCGCCCATCAGTGACGAAAACAGGGGTTTGTGACAACATAGCAACTATGTAGTACTTTCACAAAGTTCACAATTTTGTATTTAATTCAGAATTGGTAAAATATAAAGATACCATCATTTTTTTTTACTAGTTTTAATAACTAGTCTGAGAGTTTTGGACCACAGTTTCCCCTTGAAGACACTTTATGTAAAGCATACATACATGATACATGAGGTACATTCTTTACATATGTATTGGTGAAATTATATATAAAGAACAGCATTCTTCTCATACAAATGCTCTCAAAGATATATTTTATTTTTATATTTCCTCAAACATTCGTCGCACAAATATCACTCACTGTATTTGAATGGCTGGAGAGGCCAGCTCTCCTCCACACCACAAGAGGGCACTGTGAAAGCAGACTCGCAGTCTTCTGGTTTCTGCTTCTTGGGCTTTATTTTTGTGAATAGTGCAGGTGGGAGCTCCAGTTTACAAGTTCATTTTGTTTTCTTTGCTGTGCTGTGGACTTGGATACAACACAAATTCTCTGGCGGTAAATGCACAGCTTGTCTTTATGTTTAGAGGCACCAAATCAGGTTTGCAGGACGTGGCATAGTGCCCCCTGGTACAGTATATCCTGGAATACAGTGGATCTCACATCTTACCTTCGACCACAATGCCAGTTAGTGGAAAGAATCGTTTCCTCGCAGTTTAAAAGATTAGTTGTATTCTTTTTTAAACAGGTGTATGTGAGACCAGAAACGCTGTGTATTCTCAAGAGGACATGCAATAAGAGATCGGGACAATAAACGAGACTGACGCATAGCTGTACAGTGTGTTGCAACCGCAGGAGATACTTTGATTCACATCAAATGATGTTTGATGAATTAATTATGGGTTCTATTCATTTATCCACACTAATGAATCCTAATTATATATTTCTCTCCCACCAAAAATTAAGGGACCGTTAACTGTGTCTGACGAACAGGGGCTCATTCAACATGCAGCAAGCTGACCTACTTTCTACGCAATATTTTTAAAAGATGATGAACCATTAAAATCAATATATGTAAGTGTCCAGACTGTTTCCATGGTGCTAACACTATTTTACACAGCTCCAGTCTCTTTACAGGCGTGATCACTTAGAGGAACAATCCAGTTTTCTTACTTTGAGGGTTATGACTCACTTTTATAATACTTCAGTGGGCACTGGCACATTCTTCAGTCTTTTCTGGTGAGCTTTTCTCGGAGTTTAAAAATGGAATTTGTGAACATTTAATTAACAACGAGGCATTTTTGCAAGCTTTTTCAATTAATTTGATTTACTTTGCATTTTTATCTATGGAAAACGTTTTTAAATAAAACGGTCCGTCTTCAGCTCTGAGTTTTCTGACGTAACTTAATCCCTAAATAAATTTCAGGTTTTATGTCTCATGATTTTACAATGTGAAAATCCACTCTGTCAACAGAAGTTGTAAAAGCCCAGAAACCAGGCTACGCTGAAAATATCCTTGAAAGGCAAATTTATTATAGCTTCAGCTGCAAAAAGGATTATAATTACTAATAGGGATTTTCCTCCACCTCTTTAACCCTTGAAATGTACTAATTCCTCCTTGGCCTTGGGTAAAATGTAAATTCCAAATTTCATAAAGAAGTGAAAAATCTGGATGAAATCTTAAATAGCTGTTCGTTTAAAAGGGCTCTTTTATTGCTTTTGCACTTTTGCAGGCACACATGGTCAATAAACCTCACGATCCAGGACAGTATTTCCTGAAGCCTGAAATAGCGTAGAACACACTATATATATTCGTAATATAAATCCCCTGCATCCAAAGATTTGGTTCATCGCCATTGTCAGAAGGTTTCGGAGTGCAACAAACTGCTGTTGTGTAATTAGGATACTATGGAGCTTTCTTTTAAAGGAATATATAGGTTTTCATTTAAAAAATGAAAGAAAATAAACAAATCCACACCAATATGGGGTCAGAGACAATTAAGATCAGACATCCAGCAGCATCACGCGGAACACAGTTGAGAGTGCCAAAAACGTTGTGTTTCACTCTGACGATTAACAGTAGCAGGTTTTCCCCATTTTTGTAAAACACACTGGTATTTTTTTAAGATTAGGATTCGGATGGTTGGGGATGGACGTGCACGTATAGAAAAAAAAATGCTACTCAATTCTGTATTCTCCGGAGTTTCTGTCAGACGCTAATGGCTGAAGCCGATGGCTTAGAGACCGGCGGAGAAATCGAGTCGCTTTGTTCCGTCTGTCCCACTACTGAGAGAGAGAGCAGCTGTACAATTTAAGAAGAGCGCTAATTAAGCTTCTTTTTCCATCTGGGAGCAACCTGAGCTGGTCTGATAAATTGTCTTTGTGTTCTAACTGCAAGTAATCACGCTGCTGTTTTTTTACGACAGCAAAACATCTAGATGTTATGCATTTACGATGGTGCAAGTGTTTGGTGAAATGTGATACTGCGAGACTGAAGGTTCTCGTCTAGAGGATAAAGCACAGTCCCCGATAGTTCATTGAAAATTAAAGATTTTTCATCAATAAACTCGCCTTTCGACCGCTCGTTTGTTTGTATTGTGTTCAAAATCAGTGTTTGCACTGAACTAATTACATTCGTCCAAAAAAAAGCCTGTCCTTGTTTCCGGAAGTATTATGCTCGTCTTTTAAAGAACCGTAATTTCTCCTCAACAGACGAACACAAAATAATATGATCGGTTACCTTTTAAAAACCTAGTTAATCCTCTGCAGACCTGTGCTCAACAATGTTTATCCAGGCTGAAGCCAGTTTCGCGCAAGACAGGCCAGTTTTATTTGATTTTTGGCGACATTTACCAGTCTGGCTTGATTTGTTGTGTGTGGTTTCTGTAATGATTTTTTTTTTGCTAATCAGATTAATTTAATCGAGAATAAAAGTTATCTCTTTCTTGATTGTGAAGTATCGAGCATTAGGAGCTGTAATACGAGGGACAAGCCTTTCTAACTTGGAGCGACTGTGCCCGAGTCGCCCTGTGAAGCGTACGGGCAGGCTGTTACAGTACTTGGACGGTTTCTACAAAGATATTTCATTCCTTAAATCGCCGAAAGGAAACCCGTCTCTTCTTCAGACACAGACACTGACTCACTCGTAAAAATATTGACTCGTTAGTAGGATTTTGTGGTTATTATGTATCTTTTATTACCGTTCTGGGGGAGTTACTGCAGAGCCTCGTTAGCGCAGTAGGTAGCGCGTCAGTCTCATAATCTGAAGGTCGTGAGTTCGATCCTCACACGGGGCAGAGCTTTTTTTTTTCTCTCTGTTAACTTTTATCGGCTTTAATCAATACATAATACCATCACTATTTAATTTATACATTAACACTTCATTTATGTTAAAGTGATATTCTTGCTTTTTCTAAGGAAACAAGACAATCCCCGCTAATTAGCTTGGGTGCAGACATGAAGACATTTTAACTTGATACCGGATGTCGGGAAATACTGTATCTCCAAGTGACAGCTATCAGCTGTCGGCCACTGACACAGATGGGACACAACAATAGCTCAGCTCCAGTCCTACTAAGTTGAAGAAGCAAGCAGTGAGCAGTCAGGATAGTTTTTCTCCCTTGTTTGTGTGATCAACCATGATCTGATAATATTCCCATAACGACTGATTCAACTTGAGCTGTCAATATGACTCATTTAAGGTCCTTTTCCAAGCTGGTGCCACTTTTTGTCATTTTAACGGGTAAGTTAAAATTTCCACCTTCTGGGTTGGCTTTCAAACTGAACCAACTGTTGCCACTGGGTTATACTGCATGCGATAGCGTTATTTCTTAAAAGAAAAATTACACAATGTTTTAATTAATTCTAGTGACGTGCACGAGGTGATAAACGTGTATTTTAAAATGTAATTTACAGCATATGAAACATATTAAACGACTGTTGTTCTTGTAATATTCCTGAAACCACAAAAACTGTTCTTTGATTCTGAATTTAATTGACTTTTTTACACGTGTGTGCTTACTACAGTACACAACCTCTGAAGCACAAATAAAGACAGCACAGAAAAGTATGCTAAGATCGTTACAAACAAAAGGATTTTAATGTCTATTACGAAGACAGTACACTTGGGATTCTGATTGACAGGCGCATGTGGAGCCAAGCACAGTTTCTAATTCCAGTTCCACACCTCTACACAGTGTGTAGAGGGGGGGACAAATTTCTCAATTGAATTCATATCCAGTGAGAATGTCAAAATGCAGTTCCTTTCATAATTGTATCTTGACAGTTTGCCCTATCTTGTGAAAAATTCGCAAACTGTGCAACTGCAATCTGTAAAACTTCCGCTTCAAGGTCACCCACAGAGCGCAACTGTACACCCTTGGCGTCGGTCCACTGTGCGGCGGAAATGGCTTTGCAATACCTGACATTGCTGGCTGGGCTCAGACTTCATTCAGCCTGTCAAGCACAAGAGGCCTGAGTTTGACTCCGACCAACGTAATAAGAACACGTGCTATTATTTTGATCACAATCGTGTGGAAGGAAAACGCAAGGAAAAGTTACAAACGGTAAACTAGAGTAAAAAGTGGGTAAATTAGTACCTCTTACTCATCCTCAATTTTAAATGTACTTGATTCGTCTTTCCAAACACTGGATTATAATCTTGGGAAGACGGTGGAACAGGACAAACACTTACACCACCCTGTACCTTTTTCTTATTGCAATTATATTTAAATTATTGCACGAATAGCACCTTGCGGATACAGAACAGTAAAACGGAACTGTCCCTAAAACCACAGGTCACGAAATTTTTTTTTTTCCCCTCACTGAGGGGGGCAACATGTATGCGTCGTCACCAGCGCACAACCCCCCACACATCTGCGTGTGATTCAGCGTTACGCACATATACTTTAAATGACTTAAATCAATATACAAGACGTACAAGGAACCAGTAGGGCAACTGTAATATCCAAAGAAAAATCTAGACCTTGAAAAGAAAAAATAATCAGACGGAAATGCCACAGAGAAAACACTGCAAAAGAAAAACCAACACTTTACTAATATTCAAAAGATGGCTTTCCTCGAGACCTCGTAATTCTGTTTTTATTTTCCATCGGTGTCAGGGTTTTCAATGAAGATTCTTCCCCCATCTTTTCACTTCTTCGTCTGGGTTTGGTTTATACCTGTGACAGTAGACTTAACTGAAGTCAGTCCCTTCTGCGTCATTACAGATCACAGATAGTTGCTGCCGCAAATTGTAGCAGATTTACTGCACATATTCGTTTGTGGGATAAATCACCACGAGCACCGCACTCCTTGCACTGCAATTTATTTATAATCGCTATAATTATGGGTACGTTATGTTATTCTCTTACTGTCCAGCAAAATTTCCCATTGTATGCAAGCGCTCAAACTCAAAATCGCCAGCATGCAGTTCCAGCATTGCAAGACCAACAGTGACGTCACTGCCCTAACTGCGTAGCTGCGGTTTTCTCTTGATCAATGCCGAGGACGGAATAATAATAATTGCTTACACTTATAGAGCGCTTTCTGGATACTCAAAGCGCTTTACAGGTAATGGGGAATCCTCTCCACCACCACCAATGTGCAGCATCCACCTGGATGACGCGAGGGCAGCCATAGTGCGCCAGAATGCTCACCACACATCAGCTCTCAGTGGGGAGGAGAGCAGAGTAATGAAGCCAATTCAAAGATGGGGATTATTAGGAGGCCATGATTGGTAAGGGCCAATGGGAAATTTGACCAGGACGCCAGGGTTACACCCCTACTCTTTTCAAGAAACACCCTGGGATTTTTAATGACCAAAGAGAGTCAGGACCTCGGTTTTATGTCACATCCGAAGAATGGCGCCTGTTTACAGTATAGTGTCCCCATCACTATACTGGGGCATTAAGACCCACAGGGCCTGCAGGGCCTGCAGGGTTAGCGCCCCCTGCTGTCCCACTAACACCTCTTCCAGCAGCAACCTTTAGTTTTTCCCAGAAGGTCTCCCATCCAGGTACTGACCAGGCTCACAGCTGCTGAGCTTCATTGGGTGGCCATTTGTGAGTTGCAGAGTGATAAAATCCCATGTAACGCTTCTATGAAAGCGGTTTTCTTCGCAAAATAAGCATTGCGAGTGAATCAGTTAATTGATTACGCCAGTCAATGGACATGCATTTTCTCTCAGAAAACCGGCGACTAAGGTCTAACAATTTACAGTGCGAAATCGCTGTTTTAGAGACGTTAACTTCGATGTCCCTGTCCCATTATTTGCTTAGCTTTTCCCAGTTACACTTCAGTGGAGCTCTGAGTTGAAAATTCAGATAAACAGCAACGATGGGGTTTTCGGGTGCAGCTTTCCAGTGCCATTTCAGTTTTCTTTTTCGTGTTCTAGAAAGGACTGAATTTCCAATTCCGAAACCACGAACAACAACCGGACCTTTTTTTTCTTTAAAGTTTAACCCTTTGTGCAGAACAGTGTTTAATTAACCAGTGATTAACACCAAAATTAACAGTCTTTGAACCAATTCGCCTAAACCGATCTTGTCAGCTGTGATAAGGCGGTTTCTTGAACTCAGAGACCATCAGGTTAAGCAAGCCCGTCATAATTGATGCGCACAAACTAAGATTTTTTCCGATTCGTCTACATTTTGGAATTGGCCCCTTTTCCCAATCGGTTCATGGAATTCCAGGTGTTAGACCTTCGTCCCTTTGTTTTGCTGAAAACGCATTTTCGCCAAGTTACCCTAGAATCCCAAAAAGGTAATTCAGATATTTACATACGTGGGGGTTTGGAGCATCATTTATGCCGCAAATAAATCAGCGGTAAAGATTTCAGATTAGCTTCGGCTTTTCTGCTCTTATGTTTATTATTAATGTGCTCAGCGTTGGTGGTGTCATAGTACGGGGCCTAACAAGGGCAAGAACTATGCCTGAAACTGAAAACTGCTGGTTGTATACATTTTAACATTACAAGTTAATAGTATTATGTTTTATGTTATTGTAACGGTTTTGGGTTCTCAGGCTTGTGCCCTCGCCACTCCCACCCCAGTTCGTCCCTCCACTACACAGGCGCAAACTCAGGTCTCCAGCGTCGCTCAGCAGGAGGCTTGCCGGCTGAGCTAAAGAAGACCTTCCTCAGCCCGGGCGGCCAGGATCCCTGTTATGCGCAGGGGCGTATTCGTTATATTATTATGTCCAAAGGCATGTGTATAACTAAAACACTGATACAGAACAGCCCAAGTGTAAAATCAGTTACAAAAAGTGCCTCTTCGCCATCGGTTATCTGATCACGGCAAACTTGAAACACGACACGAAAAACGTGCTAAACACGTGCACGTCTAGCCTGTCTCAGCTGCGCGCTCTGTTGGTTTTACATATCCAAGCCGATCTCGTAAGGCAGTAAGTATGTTTTTAAATTTAGGAAATAAAAACGGGACATTCCTGGATTAGTACAGGTTAGAGGTTATTCCCCCAAGATCAAGCGGATGAGCCTTTAAGACGGAAAAAATACAAATGGCGGTTTTGGGTAAAAATGCAATCTTGTCTGTCACCATTCAGAGAATTTATAGCTCGTATTGGTCATGCCGTGCTCAACTCAGTGCAAACCATCATGTGTGAAAAATTACAAATAGGCATATGACATACTGTTTTGAACAATAAAAGTGACATTGTTAAAATAGCTGAAATCAGCTTTTAAAATTTCGTTTTTACCGCTATTTTGTGAATTATGGGCTATTTTTAAAAAATTTTAGAAACAGTTGAAGACAACGTAATGTTGGAAGGCAAAAGAGTAAAAGAGCACAGCAGCCATTACGATCGCAGGTGAAAGATTAATCCACTCATTTAATACAGTACTTTAAAGGGATGCTTTGCCCTGTCTTTTGTAGGGTCTACCCTGGGCTCAGAACATGAAACGCGTCTAGTCAAAGACCTTTTCAAGGGCTATAATAAAGTGGTGCGACCGGTCGAGAACTACAAGGATCCTGTAGTGGTCACTGTGGGCCTTCAGCTCATCCAGCTCATCAGTGTGGTATGTAATCTCCAGCAGTTTCCAAAGATTGGACAATGCTGTTATGGCAGACATCTCTTTTAACTCTTCCAAAATCCTTCTGTTGACAGGATGAAGTCAATCAGATAGTGACGACAAATGTGCGTCTGAAACAGGTAAAGCATCTACAGTTCTGTAATGTTTGGTATCAGACACGTACAATAGAAACAATGTAATAGGTGAACAACACCGAAGGTTTGAGGTGTGCACTGATTGGTTCATAAATAAGAATCACAGAGTAACCCAAAAGGTTTTTGTGAACAGCCTCATGAAGAGCTGGTAAGGACAGGTTAGGCCAGAGACAATACTGTAGCTTTTTCTAGTGGAATTTCCCCTAAAGTCATGACTGGTCAAAAATGACTACATTATGCCAGCTGCTGTCACTTTTGCTTTTCCCGTTCTTTACTTAGATAAGGAACCTACACGACAGATAAAAAGCATAGTTCTCTTAAGGGCTCCAAAAATCTGTAAGTATAATGAGTGCAGCTCTCTCAGTTCCTGCTGGAATTTGATCCCGGTCGCTCGCAGGCTCGGAGCACGTACAGCGCCAGTAGCAAGATAGAGGATAAATCCACCACAGCACAAGACCAGCTCACCTCCTGCAGCAGAGCTGCTCACTGTCCTGATTTCAGAGAGGATTGTTAAGTGGCTCAGGAGAAGAACCCTGTCCCATCAGTACAGTACTCTAGACTGGTGGACAGATCACGTGGATCTTGCTGTTTATAAAACTTTAATGTGAAGAAATGACAGTGGAGTAGTTGGCAACATGGGGCTCTGATGTGGCATAATCCACAGAGTGGCTTGATCAGGTCAGAGCCCAGCCTCAGACCCACAGTCTAGGCATTGCCACTTCAGTCTGATTCATTCAATTAAGCAAACCTTGCTCAGATTCTCCAAGTGGCAGCACTTCACAGACCCATGGGACCTGATTGGTTAGAGATGGACCGAGTGTCCTCAGCTTCCTGCACAACAGCAGGCCAACTGGAGTGCTGGGCACCTGTGAGTTTGTAGTTTTATCAGTCAGAGCTGCAGCTCTGACCTAGCGTTCCTGTCATCTCCTTGGGATAACAGTGAAAATATGATGGGGGTGATCAGACAAGTGCAAGCCTCTTAGCAGATGAGGAGGTATGCTCTGTCTTACCTCACTTATTCGGAGCCTAAACTGTCGATTAAGAATTGTGTTTTCCTAATTTAATTAGGTGGGCTGAACCAGGGGAAAAAATATGCAGTTAATAATGTAGACATATATATGGGCAACTGGTAGCTAAAATTATTAGAGCATCTTGTTCACTGCACGATAGAATGAATGACTGTTTCATAAACATACAAGAGGTATTACTGAAAAATACTTTAGTTTAATCAATTATATTTAGAATATTTCTTATATATAATACTAATAAATGTGTGGATAGCCTTGTTTCAGATATAGAATCCCATTACTAATGTTTTATTTAAACTGTAGGCTATATTATTTTTATTTGCTAAGAATGTTCTTCAAAAACATGTTGGATAAAAATTCAGCACATTTGCTTTGCTGTTATGTGACAAATTTATTTTTGTTTTCATGCTCGAATTTTATTTTGGTTGAAATGTTTAAGGTCAGCATAATGTTGTTTCCATGGTGTTTTCTATTTTTTCTGTTTCTGCTATCTTTTACTGCTTGCTCTTCTTCAGCAATGGAAAGATGTCAACTTAAAATGGGAACCAGACTCATATGGTGGAATCAAAAAGATCCGAATTCCATCGACTGACATCTGGCGACCCGACCTTGTTCTCTACAACAAGTAAGGATCAACGAGAAAATAAAGGAGCAATTAAGTGAAAAGAAAGAAGACCCTAAAGGATAGTGATGGTTGGGGAAAAAAAAATAATCAGATCCTCCACAATATTTGTGTTTCTCAGCTCATTTTGTTTAGGTTGGGCCAGAGAACACAGTTTATTTTTCACATTTGCTTCAAACAATGATGAAATACTCTATCGACTGTGTAAATGACGTGGTTCACGCAGTTCCCATTGAAGGACTTCAGTAAACCTTTCCTTTAATCTCTTATCAGTTAATGCCTAAGCTGATATTTATTTTTGTACTATTTGTAACAAAGAAAATAGGACATGTCCATGCTGGTATGAAAAAATATTTTTTTTACTATGAAACCCATTTCTCCAAACTTTTTTTAACTCCCTAAGTTAGCGTAGGGAATTTATGAACTTTCAGAAATGCTTTGTGTATCCATTGTAGTGCTGAGGTCATACAGTATGTAAATAGCGAGAGGTGGGACAAGGTATTTTCAAGGAGCATGGGTTTCTTTCATCTTCTATTGAGGCCATAAAAAGTCACATTTTTGTGAAGTGCTAATATCATTGGAATTTCAGACTAGTGGAATTTTTAATGGAATCGAAAGTTTTAGTGTAAAGGCAGCAGGTTGAAAAGTATATCTCTGACACTTGTGAACCTTGATAACACAGGTTCTCTGAAGACTGTTAGCTGTGCCAAGCTCAATGCTATCTCTTCCTGACAGCCTGTATCTCCAGAACAAAAACTGGATGGCTTTCTCTTTTAGGCCCTGGGCAATCTCACTGCTTGCCATGCTGTAAATATTCATCAACGTGTACACCAGTCATGGTTTTAATTGCTGTCTTTGCAGTGCTGATGGCGATTTCGCTATTGTTCACGAAACCAAAGTGCTGCTGGAACATACAGGCATGATCACGTGGACTCCTCCGGCCATATTCAAGAGTTACTGTGAAATCATAGTCACATACTTCCCCTTTGACCTGCAAAACTGCAGCATGAAGCTGGGGACCTGGACATATGATGGCACATCAGTGATCATCAATCCGGTAATGATACACTTATTAAGCAATGGGAATCAGGAATTGTTTCCTCTGTAAATGTGCACATAGGTATTATAGAGACAAAGAACATATGTCTCACGGGGACACAGACATTAAAGTCAGATAATTAAAGTATGGTTTGGTCTTTAAAATGTCGCCAACATCTATTTTTTGGTCTTGGGATATCTTTTCTGTTTACACTTTATTCTGCTGCTTCCTACGTACAGTAAATTGTTTTGTTTATTGCATTTAGAAATTTAGAAGGGTACATCTTCTAGTCTGATCAATGTCGGGCAAAGCTGGCTGGCCAGTTCAGAACGCAGGGATCGGTTTGGAGACAGTGTTTCCCCATTTAATTTTTCATTCAGTGCCCCCAACCCCAAAGCTCAGGGGAGCCCTTAACAAATTCTGATTGGCTTCTTTCCAGGAAAGCGATCGCCCGGACCTGAGCAGCTTCATGGAGAGCGGGGAGTGGGTGATGAAGGATTACCGTGGCTGGAAACACTGGGTCTATTATGCCTGCTGTCCCGACACCCCCTATCTGGACATCACCTACCATTTCCTCATGCTGCGTCTGCCTCTGTACTTCATCGTCAACGTCATCATCCCCTGTCTGCTCTTTTCCTTCCTCACAGGCCTGGTCTTCTACCTGCCCACAGATTCGGGTACGTACTTTCCAAAACAAGCAAGCAAAGCCAGATTACTTGAGATGCGCTTAATACAGCTCTCACGAAACCCATGGGGTAAAAGAATCTCAAAGCGTTGTTTTTTTTTAGTGGTAGCCCCCTCGAAGTGTTAAAAACGGCTCGATAAGTCCATGACTGTTTAGACAGCGATCATTTCCAAATGATTCAGCATCAAACAAAGGAGGCGCTTGTGCTTCTTGGCAGTCCAAATCAGTGGGTCCCTTGCTTTTGCTGAAATAGCACTGAATCTCCTCTGATGAACTTCATTGTTGGCTGTAGTTCAGAGAAGGGGGCAGAGTTAAAAATAGCACTCAAGCACTGCTGGATGGGAAGGCGCAAGGGGTGCCAGTCAAAACCCAAATCGCTGGCACAGCAAGCAGACTTGTTATCTCTGAGCCTTAAGTCCCAGACCACCTGGCAAGACAGTGCTCAGCTGCAATATGCAGCCTTTATGCACCTGGGGACGTGCAGTCCCTCTTACCCTCTTCCAATGTCATCCCAGTTTATTAAATTACAAATGACGTACATACATCTTTTTAAATGACTATTTTTAAATAAAACCTGACTGCTCAGCTTGAACACGTTATAGGTGAAAAGAGGTACTGTAAATGTCAGCGAAAACTGCAAAGGAAAAAAAATGCAAACTTAAATGTAAATCTTCACCCCCCGTGCTAGGGCAAACCTAAATTAATTTAGATGTTCAAAACTACTTTGACACGTCACACAACTGGCCCGTGTCCTTGTGCAATAACAGTGGTTCACAAGATTTAAGAATAACTATCTAGTTTTGTCAACTTCCTTGGTCAGGTAATGAATTTAAAACAACGATACAGAGCCATGAAGGCCAAGGAGCTTTGAAAACAACTCTGAGATGAAGTTGTGAAAAGGTACAGATTAGGAATAGGGTATAAAGGTTCGTAAATACTGGATATTCCTTTGAGCACTTTGAAAACGATCACGGAGAAGTGGAAGGGGTATCACCAATACTCCCGGGATCAGGCTGTCCCTCCGAATGCCAATAGTGACTTTGAAAGAGTTACAGAGTTCAATGGCTGAGATGGGGGAAAATGTCAATAAGTCAATAATTTCCTGGTCACTCCACAAAGCTTGCTTTAATGGCACAGAGGCAGGAAGGAAGCTTTTACTGAAACAGAAACCCATCTCAAATCCCTTATGTAGGTTTTGTGATCACACAAGAGAAAATTAGCACATTTTTAGTCTAACTGCAGAATATCACATATGGTGCACACCCAATGTATCAACCAGCCATCAGAATCTCTACCGTCGAGAATGGTAACGACTTCATTATTTTACGGGAATGCTTTTCATCAGCTGTGACTGGGAAATTTGTCAGTACTAAGGGGAAAAGGGGTATAAGCAGATCTTAAGGAAAACCTGCTGCAGGCTGTTAAAAACCCAAAACCTGGAGGAATGTTTATCATTCAGCATGAACATAACCCAAAGCACAGGGCCAGAGCTGTGCCACTTGAGTTGCTTAAAAATAAGAAAATGAATGCCTCTGAGTGGCTCAGTCAAAGTCCTGACATGAAATTGTGTAGAAATCGGTGGCAGCAATGAAAATTGCTGCCCATCAACAATCCGCAACCAAATTAGCAGAGTTTGAGCAAGTGTGCAAAAAAGAAGGGATGAAAATTACACCATCCTGGTGCTTAAAGTTGGTAGATACATATCCAAAGAGTGCCTCTGTAATTACTGTCAATGGGTCTTCCACCAAGTGTTGATACTGTCAACTCTGGGACTCAATACTTATCCAATCAACATATTTTAGCTTTTGATTTTTCTTTGTATTTTGTGCTGGCAATTAATCCTTTCGCCCATAGAACTGTTCAGTTTGAGCATTGAGATTTGATGTTAGAGCATTCATTTTAAAAAAATGCAGGTACATCACTTGGGAATCAAGAAAATGGAACATCATTGGAAGAGGGTGATTTCTTGTAGAAAGGCACCGTATGTTTTTTTTCGGTACACATTCTGCTTTGATGGGTGTGAAAGTCATTGAAGGTATCGACAATGTCAGATTTTCTTCCATCAAGAAATACCGTGTTTTGCTTTGTTTTGGTTGGAGGTGTCTATTCTGGTATTTTCACAACAGTCGAATGGACATTTCTTGATGAAGAAAGACTGTTCTAAATTCTTTAATCCTCATTCTGTACGGATTTTCTCGTTCTGTTTTGGCTCTCATTAATGAGGCACATTTGCCCTTCTTCTCATGTGTGTTGTGAACCAGCTTTACTACTATGAGGTGCACAATAGATGTCTGGCGACCTCTTCCTTGTGCTGTTCTTGGGGGTGCCCCTAAAAAGAGACCAGCTCCTCTGTGGGATTTCTCTGCTTATCTGGGGTTGCATGAGTAGAAAGCATGAAGCATGAAGCACATGGCAGCTGATCAAAGAGAGCTTGTGGGGGAAGTTTGCTGTTTTGTACAAGGTGATGCTATCAGCCAGCTTGCTTTTCATCTAGGGACTGCAAGGGTATTGGAAGGACCTCAAAGACCATTTAATTCCATTACCCTAATGAACATACACTCGATCCAATCAGCTATTAACTTTGACAGTCAAGTACAGATGAGCCTCTGCTTTCATCCAGTGCTTGGGTCAGGGACTTGCACGCTGCACCACGGAATAAAATATCCAATAAATAGCATTACTGAAAAGTTTAATTTATTCTTGTCTCTGGGATCACATGGATTTGTCCAAGGATTAAAATCTGCCGTGCATCACAAAGTGTTTTCTAAAGGACAAGCAAGGCCAACCTGACTGGAGTGTAACTTTGAGAGAGTTTATGCTTCTTTTTAAATTCCGTTCGCATGAATTCCGGAAAGGCCAAAGGACTGTTTATTATACCTGGCAGGTTCGTCTCCAGTGGGACTCTGATCACAGCTCATAATCTGCCTCTTTGACAACTTCCATACTAGTATGGGAGGGTATGTGCCTGATTGGGATAACTACAAAGAGACTAAAATGAACAAAAAGAAAGAAACAATTAAATAACAGCACAAAAACAAGACACAGCAGATAATAATAAAGTCCGAAGGCTAGCCAATTAGAGCACCCACTAGGGGTGGGATGCCGACCGTGACAAGACCTGTGCATACTTTTACAGAGATGCTTTTATTTGATCAGAGTAAGTTCCGTTTGTTATATGTGTCAGGGTTTTTTTTTATATTTCCTCTTATGATGTCTGTGAGTTGCAGCATTTGTAAGAATAATGCCCCTTGACGAAAAATGCATAGGAATAGCCATTATGTAAAAATATTTGTTATACAGTCCACATGTTAAGTCTAATAGGTTGGGTTTGTCTTTGCAAAAGCATTGAATGCCTGAGTTTCAAATCAGCTGTAGAAACTGCATTCAATGCCAACAATACAGAAGTTTGTCAAATACATGTATGTCTGCCTTTTGATGTCTTATAGCAATAATCATCGTTAAAGCTGATGCTGTGGATTCTGTTTGTCTGATATTCCCATTTGCTTTTATCACCGTTCAGTGTAAAGAAAAACAAACTCTTTTCTGAAGCCACAGTGATTCCTTCTCCAAAAGGCAGCTATCGGAGAGCCTATTAAAGAGAAAACTGTCCAAGCTGTCTCTCTTCATCCTACCTGACACATGATAGCCCTGTGGTTAAATGTATGCCTTGCTCCTCTCACCTTAGCTATTTTTAAATAATTTTAAATAGCTTAAGCTTCCGATCTAGAGAGGGGTGGACTGTTAGTTCTGTGGTCTACCCAGCAGCTAGGTGTGATTATGGATGTATTTAGGCACTAGCTGGTCATTATCCGAAAAGGTATTCATTTTGTTGATGCATGGGGCTCATTACGGCGCCTACTGGCTCTTGTGGGCCACTGTTGTATTGTCTGCTGAGTGCTACAGAGCTTCTTGTCCACAGGTGAGAAGATGACCCTGAGCATATCGGTCTTGCTGTCCCTGACTGTGTTTCTGCTGGTGATCGTGGAGCTCATCCCTTCCACCTCCAGTGCTGTGCCTTTAATTGGGAAATATATGCTGTTCACCATGGTGTTTGTCATCACATCCATCATAATTACAGTGATCGTAATTAATACCCACCACCGCTCGCCAAGTACTCACACCATGCCACAGTGGGTGCGTAAGGTGAGTACAGCTGGCTGGATATTGGCTGGCCACCTTTTGTTTTGCCCTTTTATGCCTCTTTCTGAGGGTTTATTCAGTCAGAAAGGGAATAGCTACATCTGTTCCTTTCTTATCTGCATTTTCAAAAACACATTTTGTGTAGCAGTACACATAATGTTGGGCCCCATCACCTACTTTGCAACATCCAATAATATAACAGAACATATTTAGTCTTCGGTGCTGTCATTTTCTTATGTTGTGAAGCACAGAATAATACAGTGTGTTAATGACTGAGTAGTTGTCAGGCGGAACACTAAAACTCAGGTGATACAGATTAGATTAGCATGACGCCTGTGCACGAGAGCAGTATGGCGTAGTGGTTAGGGCTCTAGGCTCCAGACTAGAAGGTTGTGGGTTGACGTCTTGGGTATTACACTGCTGTTAGACCCTGTGCAAGGTACTCTACAACTTCAAAGCAACCGTAACGGATAAAGTAAAGTATGTCCAGGGGGAAAATGGGAAACCTCTAGACAATGAAAGGGAAATGTTTGGTGAAGTAAATAAGTATTTCACTCAGGTGTTCACAAAAACAAAAGGCGACATCACGCTTCGGGCAGTGGAAGGACAAAGATGCTTATTAAACAGTATTAACATGGAAGAAGCAGAAGTGTTACAGGTACTAGAAATACTCACCGTTAAGAAATGTTCAGGGCCTGATGTTATCCTATCAGTTGTACTTAAGGAAGCTAGATGGTTTCCATGAGAAATGGGTTTCCAAGTCATTGATGAAACTCAACAGCTGTTCAAGACAGGAGTAGGAATAAATTAACCAATCCATAAAAAGAGTGACAAAATTGGACAAGTAAGTATAGACTAATAAGTCTGACTTCTTTTATACAGTATTTAAGGTTATGGAAACAATTATTAGAGCTAAACTAGAGGATCACCTATTTTGAAAGAGAGTCCTAAGGGGATAGTTGCCTTGTTTAACTTTTCAGAGCTCTTTGAACACAGAGTATACATTATATTTGTATTGAGATTTTAAGAAGGCTTTTGATGAAGGAAATTTTTGTTTAGCAAATTACAGGAAGTAAGCATTCAAGAAATCTGTTTCATGTTTATTACAGTATTATGCATATTTATCATTAATGACAAGTTAGCTGTAGTAATGAGTTAAAACAACACATAAGAGTTCTCCCTTCGAACAGCTCAGGTTTACCTTTCTAAAGATATGCTGTGAAAACACATAAAAGGCAAAAAGAAAATATTCCCTCAGTTTCAACATACAGTCTGCTTTCAGTTTACTGATAAGGTGAAATTGGAAAGTTTAATTTAACTGGAGATTCACCTTTAATGCCAGAGTGCAAAAGAGATTTCTGGAGCAGCATTGCCATCTACTGTCAACAAAGGGGCAGTCTCCCCTCTGTTTTCTTGCAAACTGAATAACAGTGTTATTAAAAGCTTAATAATGTCACGAAATTGAGCGTACATTGTGAATGTACTCTATTGTTTCTGCTTTTGCCAGAAAACATTTATCAAATGTACAATTCCATCTCAGGAGCACATCAAAATCTTTTTTTAAATATCACAATCATTAATTGTATTTCAGTCACCTACTGTAGCCCTTTTCTGAAGTTGATTAACTTGATTTCAATTTTCTGAAGTTTAAATTGTGCTGACTTGTTGCTGAGAACTTATAATGATAAAGTTGTTGACCGAAGGACTGTATCTGTTTAATATTACTTTATATTGTACATTTGTTTGCTGCTTTCTATTTTCTTTTGATCAAATTCATTGGTGATTTTTTTTCTTTTACCTCTTGAGCAGAAATAGGAAACTTCTCAAAAATGTCTCCTTTTTTTTCCATGTACTTACACAATGCCTGCACCACACACAAGTTCCCACAGGTGTACTCTGTGTTTCGTTGCAGATTTTCATTGACACCATTCCCAACATCATGTTCTTCTCGACGATGAAGCGGCCTTCAAGGGAGAAACAAGAGAAGCGCATTTTTGTCACCGACATGGACATCTCTGAAATTTCTGGCAAACCTACTCCAGCCTCCATCACTTTCCAGTCCCCCATCACCAAAAACCCTGATGTGAGGACCGCCATTGAAGGAGTCAAATACATCGCAGAAACCATGAAATCGGACCAGGAATCCAACAATGTAAGAGCACACAAAGACATCAACATTGACAGCATGTTAAGCAAATTAATGTTGTCTTTTTTTTAGAAACATTCTTCGTCTTCCATTTTCTAATAGCTACAGTATATCCAGTAGAGGGTCGCAGGAGAACTGGAACTTATCCCAATAAACAATGGGCACAATGCTCTGGATGGGACATCAGTCCATTGCAGAGCACACACAGACACAAGCACACACACACACTCAAACCAGGGCCAGAAGCCACTTCACCTACCAGTATAACTTTGGGCTGTGGGAGGAACCTCATGAAAACATGGACAGAGCATGCAAACTCCACACAGATAGCACCCCAGATCCAGAATTAAACCTAAGGCCACAGCAATGTGAGGCAGCAATGCTAAACACTATGCCACCGGGTTGCCCTGTTCTTAAACATAGCATCATATCTGTAAAGGAACAAGTGATAGGTTTATTCCATGGTGAAAAAAAAGAAGAGAGAAAAAACACAACGTTTCGGCCGTGAAGCCTTCTTCAGGTGTGAGAGAGACAAGGCAGTAGGCAAAGGTAATGTAGTGGGAGAAAAAAGGCTGGGATGGAGGAGGGGTTAGAGGCAGGAGCAGGGGACAGAAAGAGAGGCCAATCAAGAGGTGTGAAGTAAGGATAGGTGTAGAAAGGTGTGAAATGAAAGTTTCGATGAATGGAGAAAATTTAGTAGAATGGAAGTCTGTCGTTAAGAAAAGGAGGAAGGTGTGATCCTAGCCTGACCCACCTGAACTATCATATCTTTAAGTAGTTTTATTTGTTGCTTTTATTTCTGGAAACTGGTGATACAGAAATTGTCACAAGAAGTTAACAGGTAACTTTAAATGAACAGGAGCCGTGGCCCAATGATTTAAGACCCATTTTAAAAGCAAACGTTTGTTGTTGTATATCCACTGGACTGCAATACCACAGAAACATCTTCAGATAAAAATGAAAATGTCTGCATCACTAGCTTCGCTCCACTGTGTGGTTAAGTTTAGTAATCTTATGTCATAATGTTATACATAAGCAGCTATGATATTTTAGTTTCCCTGTCTTTGCGCTCCATTTTGGTTCTACAATCACAAATAAAAGACATACGCAGCATGTTTAGCAAGTTCATTGTCATTTTTTATGAGAAACGTTCTTAAATATCAATTTTCTAACCACTTTACCCAACACAGGGTCATGGGGGAGCTGGAGCCTATCCCAGCAAGCAATGGGCAAGAGGCAGGGTACACACAGGCATAAACACACACACACTCACACCAGGGTCCAAGTTTCCTAGAAGCCAAAAAACCTATCAGTACTGTATGTCTTTAGTCTGTGGGAGGAAACCCAAGATGAAGACATGTAACAGTACAAATGGTGCAGATTGTGCCCCAGGTCTGGAATTGAGCCCAGGGGTCCGGCACTGTGGGGCAGTAATGCTGACCACTGCGCCACTGTGCCTCCCGTCTTTACACTCTACCTTCAAAAAACAATTAATTCTTGGACTGTGGATAGTTTTGAATTTGGGGATGTTTCTTCTGTGCTTTATTTGTTGTCCACTCTCTCTTCTCATCTTCCCTTTTTTCAACAGGCCGCCGAGGAATGGAAGTTCGTCGCCATGGTGATTGATCACGTCTTGCTCTGTGTCTTCATGCTTGTTTGTATCATCGGCACGCTGAGTGTCTTTGCTGGCCGTCTCATTGAACTCAATCAGCAGGGATAGGCCTTATCCTCAGCAGTGCAGTTGGAATCACACTTTGGGAACTGCAAGCATCCAGGCCTAGACATTTATTTACAAATAATGGAAATGCCCAAACCTTTGACCTTTTTACAACATACAGAAATTCTGCCTTATTTCCTTGTGGCAGTAGTTTATGATGTGTGTACGTGATGTTTTTGCTCTGTTTATTTTGTTTTATGTCCTGCAGCTAACATTATGTGTGAAATCGTGTTATCACATAATTTAGATTGTTTCTAAGGAATGAAAGTTTCACCCTTCTGTACAGTAAGTACCAGTAATAGAGCAAGACAATTTTCGGGGATTTGCAAAGGTGAATGATGATGTGTGCATTGTCACCTTGAATGGAGACTGGAGAACAAGTAAAATAAGGTGTGGTTAAGGTGGATTTCTAGTCAAGTGTGAAGATAAAATTATTTGTTGAGAGATAACTGAAGGGGTTGGATTTTTGTTGGATTATTCAAGGCATAAACAATTTATTTTGTGCTGCTAAGTATGGATAACAAACTCCATGGGTTTAAAATTAAGAACAATACTAGTGCCTATGTGAATGATCTCGGCATTTTAACTTTAACAAACCCCTTCAAACGCAGTGTGAGCTCCCTCTAGTGCTCTAGAGTGTTCAAGATTTTTGATACATGATTCTGTTTTTCGTCTTTTTATTTACGGAATTGTTTGGAATAACTAATAAAAAACTTAAAATTCTACAACGCCTTGGTGGTCTCTAAATCCTTTTCATGTTCCGCATAATGTGACATATTATTATACGTGGCGTTTGTTATCTGTCTACATTGGGAGATACTTTTTCCACAGGCCAGCATTTATCTTAAGGCTATACAAAAATATTAAAGGGGGTTATTGAAAAATGCTAGCATTGAATTTTTCGTTTTTATGTCTATTATTTTAGTTCTTTGCACGGTAAGATGCTATACATTTGGCAATTTTACGTGAGCCCCTCCCCTTATCAGGGGACATGTGATTTTAAGGGAATTTTAAAATCTGACGAGTAGTAAAATCAACGAAGAAGCAGTATAGAATAGTAAATATTGATTATGATTATGCATCATACTTGCCTAAATGAAAGTGCTGTATACACTCCATAAGATCAGGGTTCTAGCACTTCAGTCCTCGGGCTTCTAGTGAAGCAATCTTTTTATTTTCCTGGTGTTCCCCTGAGAAAGAGGGAAAACACGCTATACTAGGCCACAGCTCTTGCTTTGAGTATGCAGATTATCTCCCGTTAATCGAATCACCATTCGATTAACACAAGGAGTGATTAGAAAGGTGTTTTCCCATAAAACAGCAAGCTGAATGCGAGTTAGAATGCGTTCTAAATACAAAAAATAAAGTCATTTTCAATGCAAAAATACTGCCCTGTCTTCCTTTGTGCTCCGATTTTTATTTTTTGGTGGAAAAACAGCTAACGCCTACATTAGAATGTGCTTCATTTTACCTTATATAGTGGTAGAAAATGCAAGTTAATAACGTAACAAGTTTAAAATCATCCAAATGCAATAGAATTGGTCAAGACTGAGAAATGTTTGCTTCATATTTCTCTTTTCAGTATACACTTGTCTCTTTCTTTTCTAAAAATAAATTATTTTTTTTCAGAAAATGAACAAGAGTCACATCTGGAAACATTGCATCACTGTGAAATGTCCCGGATTTGGGAGAAGCAGAAGTTGCTCTGCAGACGAAGACTATAAATAGCTCGCTCCGACCAAAATGCCCCGTTTTCTGAATCTGTAAAGACAATTAAACAACAGTGAGTGATGTAAGAAAACTGAAAACTGAAAACAAAAGAAAGTGACAGGTAGGCGTACAAGACAAAAGTTTCTACTCCAAAATGCATCTCTCCTTTTAACGGACGCAACGTGTTGAACGGAAATAAAAAATAACTTGTGTTTTTATAGTGAAAGGAGTGGCAGAAGTAGTTTAAAGAGACGTGAGGTCGTAACACTGTAGATAATCGTACCAAAACGGGAAATGATTTCAGAAAACTGAATCCAGAACGTTATGAAAACCGAGACATTGTTTGCATTAAAAACATATCTTAATAAAAGAGGCACACGGTGCGCAGAAACCGCTACACAAGTTGGAAATATTCACTGTAAAGACCAAAGCAAGAAGTGGAGTAGACATGTGTAGGATTTTTACCAAATTCCATTTTTGCACGAATTTAATGTTTTGTTCCCTGTAATGTAAGTTCTGAAAGACGCGATGCAACTGTTAAAGGACTTAATGTCTTTGACAACTGTAGGATTAGACCGTTTTGGGCTCGCCTCAGCGTTTCTTCCGAATTCACCGGCTTTTTTGTTATCACTTTTTTAAATTGGCATCCAGGAATTCGTAGATTGTTGCAAGGATGCCACATTTCAGTGTAATTAGAGCTGATTTAAACAGTTATTTGTAATTGTTGATATTATATACGACATATAACGGAATTAGTTAAAAATGACAAACATATCTGAGCGATCATGTTATGGTTGTTTACAGCTTATAGTTGATGCATCTGTCTAATGAATCTAATAATGTAAGTTTTTTTTATATTCTGATCATGTTAGCTTTGACAAAAATATACTACAATGTGTAGTTTGGGGAAAATGAAGTTACTTTGTAAAGGAGTTTATTTCCGAATGCATGTTCTTCCATATTCTTATTAATTTTAACACAACTTTAACCTTTTGGCAGTAACTTGTAACTATAGAAAACACAATGTTGTGTTCTCTTTCTTCTCTTTTCAGCATGGAATAAACCTATTACTTGTTCCTTTGCAGCTTATGCATGCTGACGCAGCTACCCACCTGAATTACTTGTAACTATAACCTATTACTCTTTGAAATAGTAATAGTGTTTTCCCAACACTGACATAAAAATTGTAGGATGCACACAACTGTTTTTAAATGTAAAGATGTTGTAGAATTCAGTCAAAGTAGGGAACAGCGGGAGGGGTGGAGACTGTATATAGCAAAATATTCAATCCAGTTGGTTAGCTGACATTGGCCACAATCTCCCTACACAGTAAAACTGCTTCATGCTTTGTGTTCTCCTTTTTAATAAGGATATAGGAAGGAGTTTGATCACTGTATTACGTTTCATTTTGTAGCAGGTCCAATAGGTGAGAAGTTTAACATCTATGATAACCCTTGCAATGTTTGTAAAGCCATGTTTATTTGAATAGGCCTTGATGTTTGGTGGTTATGTTGCTACATTGGTACCTTTGTCTTTTTTATCATTTGCATCTGTTGTATAGTGAAAGACTGGAGAATGTCTATAGCATATTTCTGTTTTAATACAGGCCGTGTAGCACAGTGTTCTGAATTACAACCTTGCCTCTTTTCTGAATATTATATACAGTACCTGTAGATACAGAATGTGAAACACAAGGTCTTTGAACTCGCATAGTCAAAAATTCGGTGTTTCATTTGATGTTTTGAAACATGTTTATAAGACAAATTTTCTATTGGGGGAAAAAAATAGGCTTAGAATTTGCCTTGTATAATCTTACACCTCTTGACTTCCACACTTAAAACAGGATTGCAAAAGCAGTGTAACAGTAAAAGTTCTGCTGATGCCTTGTAGATATTGTATTATAAGTATATTCACATACTTTTTAGTTTTTGTTCCCCTTTGTCTGTTTTACTGTACTAATATGACAATGTTACTATAAATGCTCACAAAGAAAATGCTGTCTGTACCAGTGTTGTGTGTGTGTGTATGTCCTGTTTAAGCACATTAACATCTCTCTGCTTTTACCAGGCTACAGTACATTACAGGCCTACACTATCTCTGCTGGTCCGGCTTCAATCAGTGACTTGAATTACAGGATTATTATCACGGTATATTGCATCAAAAGAGAAAAAGATGTAATAGCTGTTAGCTATACAGTGGTTGTTTGTCAGCGATGTTTTATCTTTCTTAGATTGACAGGTGCAAGGCAAGTTGTTAATTTACCTGCTCCAGCTGATCAGTGTATAATTGGTAAAAGATAAAGAAGCTTCAGTGGGATAAAGAGGTACTGTGGGCGTTTCCCACAGAGCAATATTGTTCAGGCCAAACTTATTTAATTTTTTTTCTTTTATGAAGTAAACAGGAAGTTACAAAAGTGTAAGTTTAGGCTGAGAATGTGAAAAAGACTAGGGCAGGAGTCTTAAATTCAGTTCCAGGAAATGTTAGCATCTTCTGTTGTTGTTTTTTTGTTTAAACCTGGGTAGTCAACTTAACACTATGTAAGAACTATGTTAGTGGTTTTACCTTGATTTCTTTAGTGAAGACCATGTTTACGGTTTCTGACATTTTCCAACTTTTGACTGCTCTGTCAGCTTTGCAGAAGTGCTTTTAGGTAATAGTGGTCCGTTTACCTAATCATCTTCCTGGTTAGACATATAAAGGATTTTCTTCATGCCTTTCACAGTTGATTGTTCAAAATACTTGCTTCAGCTCATTAAAGGAACAGTTATGTAGATCTTTATGAAGTGCAGACTTCTATGGAGACATTTTGGAGTCTTCTTAGAAGAAGATAATTAGTTAAATAACCGGGCCCACTATGTAACTGAGAGCTCAGGTGTAACAAAGCCTAGAAGATGCAAAACCCTCCAAAAACCAAGTGTGAGACACCTGAGCTAAGGGTTGAACGCACTGATCTTGAGTTCCATACCTAAAAGTTCTCTTCAGCCTATTTTCTGTCTTTGGTTGGTTAAGGGAAGGCAGATCTCTGATTCTGATCTAGAAATTCATCCCAGCCTGCTAATATTGAAAGAATTTTAAAAACAATGGGATTCCCTTGCTATCTGAATCAGTTACATAGAAGTGTCAGTTGGAAACCAATTGTGATCTTGCCAATCACCGAATGCACTCTTCTCTTTACTGAAGCTGTCTTTATGCAAAACTGTAAAAAGTGCAATTTCATCACACTAGGTAAGACAATAACCTCACACTATCTTGTAATTAAAGAACATACACATAGTAAGTGAACCAATTCATCTGAATTTTTAAAATCCTGTAGAACATCTTGATTCTGTTTCAGTTTGTTAGTGTGATAAAAGAGAAGTATACTGAAAGGCCTGTACCGGTGTATTCTGGTGATTTGAATGCACTGGTTATTGTTATGCAAAAAGTGCTTGATCTACAGTATGTGGACTGAACTGAAAGAGTTTCTTTTTCTCTCAGTTATGTCATAATTTGTTAAGGTTAAGAAAAAAGAATTTTTGCTGCTCTATATTTTGTTCCGCAAACTAGTAGAGCGTTTGTAGAATAATTGTTAGTTGCACATCTATGTGAAATTGAACGTTAATGGCATCAGTTATGTGTTGGTTATGATCTTCTTAGTTAGAACGCTCCTCCCAGCCATGTAATGAAAGCAGAATTATTGGAGTGTTTCAGGAAGAGTCTGGGTGAGATCTGGGATTTAATAAGAGAATGGACCTCTTGCTAATTTGATCTCTAAGAGACCGCCTCTTATTTGTGACAAGAGTGAAATGAAGTGTGTTACCTTACTAGAGACCTTCCTCTTGCAGAATTAAGTCCTTTAGTGATGAGTTCCCTAAATTGCTGCTTTGTTAATTTTGTGGTGCGTCATAATGAAGGTCATATTGGGATAGTGTTAATGTTTACCCCAGTTTGGAAAAATAAGAACTATGTTTCGTGGTTTTACCTTGAGTTCTTTAAAGAAGCAGTTTTTTGTCTTTGGACTTCTCTTTCGGCTTTGCAGAAGTACTTTAAGGTAGTAGCGGTCAGGGCTCTTGACTTGCCAGTTGATGGTTATGGGTTCAAATCCAAGGTCTAAATGACATGATTTCAAGTTCCTTTGGATAAGAAGCCAAAGAAACGAATAATATTTTGTAACATCAAAAGTGCGAAAATTGTTAATGATGGAATTCCAAGTGCTCTTAAAGCCACTGAATGATAATAGTATTTTTACTAACTAAAGGTTACTGAGGTTATTAACGAGTACAGGAATGTGTGAAGGAAAGCTGTTGAGCTTTGTGCTACAGCTGTGTTTTGATAAATTGGGAAATGTATATGTTTGTATTGTCAGTGGTCAGGAGTACAAAAAGTGCCTCTTGGCCGAAACTGGTCTCAATTTTCGCAACCGAATATAAAACTACTCTACTTCAGTGTACAATCCCTCTTGGACCAAATGGGAATTCTAGGTTTGCCTCAGGGTTATCACTTTTTTAAATGGAAAGAGTTTCACCTGTTGGCACAACCTAAATATATTGCTTTTAATACAGAGAGGGACTCTCATTTAGAACAGAATTTTAATTTGGGTAAAAATGAATGACTTTTTAGCTTTTTTTAGCTTTTGCCGTTGATCTTTTTTGTGTACATGTTTGATGTTTTTGTTTGCTAAATCTGGGTAAATGTATTGCACTGCCTGCCAGGTCAGCTCAGGCCTCTTCCTTGCTCTGTACAGTACATAGAGATTCAGCAGATAGCATGACCTGCAAGCCACACCAGTTTTATGAACACGATACTATCGGTGAGCGGAGTGAAATCTTGTTCAAACTTCCTGTAGAACTGTAAAAGAGGCAGGGTCAGACAATCAGTTCTGGTAAAGGGCAATATTAATGCTGAAGGCAACCAAATAGGCTGTCCTTTCTGTGAATTGTGACTGGTCCATTGTAGTGCATGAATTCATTATTGCTTACTCACTGACTGCAAGGAAGAAAACAACATCTTTTTAGCCATTAAGAGCACAAATAGTAATGAAAAGGTCTCTATATGATGGAGTTTCTCCCAGACAAAAAATCTTCTGTACTTCACTGGTAATGAATATGTGGCTGATGGCAATTTGATTACAATACTCAGAGGTTAGGATAGTTCAGTGTTGAGCCTATTAACTATAGAAAACCCAGTGGAAGTGCTTTTACCATCCTATCTAAAAAGGTAATATTCTGGTTGCAAAAGGTCCTTGAAAATCTTCTATAATATTCTCTTAGCCTTGGTTTAGTGGGGTTTTTTTTACCTTCAAGGAGAAGGAATTCTGACAAGTTAGTTTTTGCAACCTGTAGAGAAACCAAAGAGCTTCTTGTAAGGGTTTCTATGTTCTCCTTGGTCCGATCTATGAGGTTTCTCTGGTCACAGAAGCGTCTAGGGGCAAGCGATGGTGAACTGGAGTAGAAATCTAGCCGTGAATCTTCAATGTAGAAGGATGCCCTAGACTGGCTGGAGATCAGTAGCAGGGGAAGGTGATTCTAAGCGGCGCATGACTGTGAGCAGAGCTCAGAGAGAAGAGAGCACAGTGAGGAAGTGTGACGCTGATCTGCTGGTTACAGGAAGCCTTCACCGACGAAGGAACTAATGTTAGTGAAAGCTGCTGAGAGCACTAAGGTGAGCATTTCTAAGGGTTTTTTTTTTGTTTGTCGCGCGAATAATCAGCATGCAAAAAGAAAAGAAAAGGCCTTGTTTTTAATTTTCCTGCGGCTGGTACTGGACTCTCCTATAATAACGCAAGTATTTTAGTTTATATTATTATTCTTTTATTTAATGGCTAGTAACTCTTTGTACCACCGTCATGGTGTTTGAACCCTAACCACAGGAGGAACTGAAATATAGCAGTCCACCAGAAAGTGGAACTTTGACTTGTACTATGAAAGAAAACAAGGAAATGTAAAGAGGTATCAAGATATTGAGTTAGTTCTCTTTTATCATGCCGTTTATTTTTTTTTTTGTTTAAAATGAATTCTGAAATAAAACTGTTTGGCCATCGTTGAACTAAAGTATCAGTGAACCCAAAAGAATCCCAATACTCTTAAGGTTTTGTTTGAGCGGTATGCAGCAATTCATTGCTAATTGATTGAATATATATCAAATACATAATAAATTATCTGTCTTCATAGTTATTTGCCTTATTTAATTGTTTGCCAATACACTCTTATGTAGTAAGACCAAACTGGATTAGCTTCCTGGTTTATGGAGTACCTACTGTTTTGCGAATTGGTCTCTTTTGTTCGAACATTGTGTGGGGAAAGCCAACAGACAAACAGCCAGCTTGTTAACTTCCGCTGTCTTCAAACCATAAAAACGTATTCCTTTTGGTCTGGGGTAGCATGCAGGACCAAGTGGTTGAAATTGATGGTGAAACTGTTCGACCCACTGATTTGCATCATTTTCATTTGTTTGCGTTATTAGGATTTTTTTTTCAGAAAGGCCACTAAAGCGTGTTAAGTAGTATACCTTTGTGCTTGAAAACACAACTCTTTTGCCGTTTCATGCAGTTTTATTGCTGAAAAGGATTGTAAAATCTCGGCGGCATATCCTCAGGTGCATTACTTGCAGATTCTTTACTAACTGCTGTAAAATGAATTTAGCTGGACACTACTGTATTGCTTAGGGAGCTCTTGAACTGCCATGGGATCTTTAAATGAGCAGGTTAAATGGTCGACAACACCCACAAAACATAATTACCGATATGCCAGGAACAGTCATGTTGTAGACTTCTCAGACTCTGCAGTAACAAAGGGGGTGACAGGGATACAAAATGACATAAAGTGCTAGCTTTGGTGTGCCACACCTCAGCAAATATACAGTAACATTGGACAGCAAATATTAAATTCAAAGTTTTAATCTCTACCTGATTAGTGTGTAAAAACATAACCATTTGAAATATTTAATACATTTGCTAACTGTAGGACCTATACAAAGTAAAACTTTGTTTTAAGGGAAACAGGTTTGTGTGGTCATAGGTTAGTGAAGGCAAGACAATATGTGTAACTAGAGATATCGGTTTTGCCCTTTTGATTGGAAACTGTAATGTAGTATATAGTATAATAAATGTATTTTATTGAATAGAACAAAGTAGGCTCTTTTTGTGACTTTTCATATGAAAATGAGTGGGTGATTTCATTTAAGAGGAAAACTAATTACCTGTTTTAACCAATGCATTTTCAGAAGCAACTATTATTAATATAGCATTGTGAAAAAAGCAAAAACATTTGACATAAAGCGTTGGATGTATGAGTTCTAGTATAATAAATCCTTATAGATTAGTAAAACTCTGCCATAGGAGTAAAGTGGAAACCGCTCTTCCATGTTGCTTTATTTTTATGTAATGTACTGTATGTTAAACAGCTGCCAATTAACTCATTTTAAGTGTGCAAGCAACAGGCCATTGAACAAAAAAACTTCTTAAATATGTCCCAAAGGGGAAGCACCTCCTTTGGGAAATCCCATGTTCTGTTTCCATGACCATCTGCAGAAGTTTTGTTGTGTGTCCTATTGCTTGATGGTTTTTTGTTTTTGTTTTACAGAAGTATTAAAAAAAAAACATTCTTTAAAAAGAAAACCAATCCACAATGGCAAAATTCTAACTTTCAAGCTGACAAAGCTGCACATACATAGGTGGGGGGCTTTGTATTCAGTCTCTGGAAAGTTTGAGTAAGCCTGGTCACCTACATGTTCATAATGTTAATTATAAGATCTAAGCGTTTGATACGAGAATCATTTCAAAACTGTCGAGCAAAAGCTCCACAATTTAGAATGTAGAACTTGCACTTTGGTTGAAACGGGACTGTTTTTTTGCTCTGGTGACAGGAATAAACCGTCCTTAGTCCGCCTAAGGCCTGCAGAGTATCTGTGTTAGAGACAGCAGATCGGAGACAGATGTACAACCAGACAAACTGCCAGCATTTTATTGTTGGCAGAAAAATAGAGAAATGTTTATTCACATCCCCCAGACTGTAAGCTCTGAGAATGCCTTTTCATTTTGAATGTGCTGTATCCGAGGGAATGCTTTTTTTTTTTGGTTGTTTTCATACAGGATGTTATTTGAACCAGTCAGCAAAGATTTTGACTGTGCTGTCTGACTAACTGCCATGTACAGCGGGGAGAAAAAAAAGCTATATAAGACATACATCCCATTCATCGCTTAGCAAGGAACGTAGCATAATAGAAACCCAAGGCTTTAAACTGCAAGTCCACCCACGGTAGATTTTGTCGAGATTCGTTTGAGGCAGAGCAATTGAAGCTTCATATTTTTTTACACCTGAGAACTGCAATACAATGAAAAAAAATGGTGTCAATTCAGTATCCTCTTTGATGCGGCAAAGACCGTTTCAGCTTCCATTCAATAACTCAAACCAAACAGCAGAAGGGCAAGGTGCTACTGTAACATGAGGATTCTGTGAGAATTACATCAGCCTTCATCTGCAACATCACTTTCTCCAGCGTAACTTCACATGTAGGTTTAGTTCTCTGGCAGGCTGTGTCATGTAACCTCTTCCAGGCCTGGAGGGGATTATTATCGGGACCTCATCTTTGATCTTTTTATGGCCTTTGAATGATATTTGGGGCAGTTCTAAAAAGCATCTGAGAAATATGCCAGGTGAATCGATGGAGGAAACCAAGTGTATAAGGCAATACACAGCACTTCACATTCCACCAGTATCTTGCACGTGCTCAACAGCCCTCACCCAAGATGTTGTGAACCCGCATGTCGCCAAAATAGAAAACTTCAGACCATGTTTGTCTTGGTGACATCCTATTTTTAAGACTGATCTTAATGGCTTATTTTTGTGAAAGCAAGCTATGTGGGATACTAACTGTACATTTACTCAGTGATGCCTCCACAGGACTACACGCAGCCCACAAGCCTTTTCTAAAACCCCAGATAGTGCTCCGTAGCTCTTGTTCGAGACAAACCTGCTGTTTTTACATAGTGTCATGACGTGTACTAGTAAGAAGTGAAATAGCAGTGGCATTGTTAAAGAACTGCCCCCTTGACATAAGCTATTTCCTGAAATACATGGAAATGATATTAAGGTGATTGAAATATTCTGGTGTCAGTTTGTGGATAGCAAGTGCAAGTCTTTGTAGGTGAGGTAACCTTTTACAGTTTGCATACTAGTCCTCCCCTGAGCTTACAGATTCTACTGAGCAGCGCTCTTTCGCTCTGATTTATAGTCTTCAGGCGAGCAGGTTTGTAATGCATGCTCGATCGCTCGGAAATAGTGATGCACCCGCAGAAAATCATTGCAAAACTTTCCTTTCAAAGCTAAAAAAAAAACTGACCTTAGTGTTGGATTTATGATTATACAAAAAGTATCCCTTAGCAACAGCTTGTGCAGTATTTTGGCAGTAGAAGGTCTGCGTCCAGATGGATTATGACTCAGCCTGTTAAAAGCAGCTAATGAAATCGTTAGCAAGAAAAGAGGGAATATAATTTTTTTGTTTTGTAATTGGCAAGATTTTGAATTATTGGCTGGTGGCGTACAGCTATCCCATCATGAGCGGCATCGCAGGGGATCATCTACACACTTAAGGTGTTACCTGAAACATTACCTCGACCCTGTGATCTGCCCTTTAGAAGAGGATTGTAAAGTCTCCATTCTTGAAAAAACTGATAAAGAGCTCTGATCTCTCTTTTTTTTAAATCAAGTTCTATCTCCGGCATTCTAGCCTAACAATTCTATGTTTCCCGGATAAAAAGAAAATATTCCGACTTGCATGCATTGCTGACTTGATTTGTTTTGACGTTAACAGTGCTTGTGAACAGTATGCAGAGACGACGTCCAGCAGTCCTGAAAACAAGTGGTGCCACTGGCAGCTGGTTAGATGAGGAGCACAGCTGTCGGAGCAATAATGAAACAGACTCTGCTGAACGAATCTGTTGTGGTTTTTGTTCTGTTCTTCTTTCCCCACAAAAACATCATTTAATAATTTATTTTTGAATTAATAGCCGGTTTGTGGTCATGCCACTAGTGTGGTGGCTAATTTTCTTTTGTACTAAAGGGGTATGGATGTTTCCGACACAGGCAGTACCTGTCTTGCTGAAGTTTAAACCTGTGAAATGGCCTGTAGGTCATCACAGCTCTTGTCCTGGGGCTGAGAGGCCTGTCGCCTTGTGGTGAGAGAAAAACTAAAGAGAAGAGAAGCTAAGAGATCTACTTCTTATCCAAAGGAAGTCCCTGTCTTCAAATTTTCAACATTTCTGTAGTATTCAATTATGTATCAGTAACAATAAAAATCAGAAAATAGTATGGTTACTGGAATTTTATTACATGTATTGATTAGACAAATTTAAGAACTTTTTGGAATCTTTACTGGCGGCATATTGCATGGCTTTTTTGCAATATAGAGAATCATTTATGTACACCTTTATTTTTTTAGATGTACACAATATTTATCTGTTGTATGGCTCTCCTTGTCTCTCATACACACAATGTCTGGAAACATTTTGATCCGATATCCACAGCTTCGTTCACTGAATTTGATACCAACAGATTTGAAGAAAGCATCATCTCTTGCTGCATTGGAATATTTCATTCTGTTAAAAAAAAATAAACACATCAAGTTGTTTTAACAGTAATTGAAAGAATATTAAATGAGGCTTCCTCTGCTCCTGCAATGTGTTGGTTGTTTGTGAGCAATGCTACTCTCTGCCCGTTTGCCTTGAGGGTGGAAAAGGAAGATGAAAGGCAGACATTTTAAGAGTGTAAACTGCAGTCTGAGAGTCTCAAGCAAGATGCTTCAAAGGGCAGCTCAGCATGAAAGGCAGTGCCAGCATGATGCTCAGGCACTTTTTCCCCTTAATTCAACACCAAGAGCCTTAGCAGCTGAAGCACTTTCTGTCAGAGCCACATTTCTTGAAGAACATTAGGAAACAATTAAAGGAGGAAAGTGCTTCAGTAGCACGAGTAGCCTTTTACGCTAAATTTGGAGCGTTCGGTGTAATTCTAGCATCTCCACAAAGTAAGGGAATTTCTATGCAGGCTTTGTGGTGGATAGTCCTGGATGACTTTTTTTTTATATAAATTCAGCAGAATATGCCTTGCAAGTACTTTCATTGAAAATCTGACGAAGGAAAACGGTATGGATGGGTTCCAGATTGACTCCACTCTGCTGAATTATCGAGCACGATCTTTCATGGTAATGCATGAAAAGGCCTATTGTTCCAGATATTCTGCTAATGTTAGCAAGCAGCATGTGTGTCAGTAGTGCAGGCGTTCCTCACAATACTCGATATGTCATGCGGAGTCTGGCCTCAGGGACTGGGTTTCAGCTCTGAAGAAAGACATTCAGGAGCTAAAAATAAGACTCGGACAGACAAGAATATTGAAGTCAAGACAGTCCTTCCACGTCAGCACACAGGATTTAGAGACAGATTCTTTTCATCACTGTTGAAGCTTTGTATTTATATCGCAGACAATTAACACTACAAAAATAAAAATGTTGCCGGAAAAAGGGGTAGTTGATGATCAGGTCTAAGGGTCTCAAAATCTTGTCTGTATTGCGATATGAAATGATTATTCCAGAAAAATACATAAAAGGAGATTTTAAAAAGTGAAGGCATACCATTGCTTTGTTTTTCCTGACCTCTCGTTCTTTTGGATATTCAGGTGTATACATTTTCTGGTATCTCCCCTGACTTAGTTACGTGTCAGTTGAGGTTTGTGAGAAAGTGCCTCTACATGAAAAACAAGCTTTTTTTTATACAGTATGTCATGTGTGGTCGAAGGCATGGCTTCTTCACTCAGTACTTTTTGAAAGGAAGCTTGGGAGAATTCCAAAAGGCGGTTAGCAAATAGTTATGTCCAATTATCTGGCTGGGCTCGGTACACATTCAAATGAGACAAATGGTATCCCAGAGCAGTTGCAGCAGTTGCAGGTTTATTTTTGTAAAAAGAGCAGCTTTCAAACTGTGGCTCACTGACTGCAGCTGTCTCAGTTCTGAGAAAGGAGCTGAGTTCAGGGTGGTGTTTTACTATGGATACATGTACACATTCCAGGCTGATTATAGTAAGTAGGTTATAATAGTGGAGGACTCTGAATTTAACCAAGGTTTAATGAATTGCAGGTAGAAATATTCTATTTGGTACTCAAAAGTGTTTGGGAAGAATTTCACTCTTCAATTGTAAAAAGGCAGAACAGTTGGTACTGTTCTTCAGAATGGATGTGGCCTTAAAGAATGGAAATCACTGTACCCTGAGAGCTGGTTTAATGAGACGATCTCCTCAAGTACATTGGAGAGGATTCATTTCTATAGCGATTTTGTCAGTACTGGGGTCTGTTTCTTGAATGTTTTGAAAATGACTAATTTTCAAAACAAATCATAAATCATAATTTTAGTTGTTTGACACATTCGTTCATTTTGTGATTACTGAGATCCCCAGATTTGGACTTTTTCTTATCTCAACAAGAAAACAGTAAAAAGGGACAAGCAAGTTGCTCCCTTTTTGTTTTGTTTTTTGTTTTTTGTTTGTGCTTTTGTATGTTAGCTAAACATTTTCAAAATGTCTTCAATAAAATACTTTTTGATTGTATCCACCTTCAAAATTCATCTTTCTGCCCTTATTTCAATATATGCTTATACCCATATGCCAGTTCTTTGTCTCCAGGGTTTATTTTAGTTAAAATATTTAATAATTTTCTGGCCAAGTGCCAATTTGTCACTGGAAGATAGGGACCCGTACACGTAGCTACTTCTACTTAGGTGGCAGAGGAAGTTTGAAGATTGGACAGAAAGAGCTTTGTGAAGTAAAAATAACTAAGTGCACTAATGCAGGAGATGTGTTAATTCTGAAAGGTGGGAAAACATCCACCATATTTAAATGTCATTTGTCAACACAAACCTCTCTTATATTCCAGGCAGAACAATTTTGTAGGAGATGTAAATAAAATGCATTGTTCTCTACGTGGGCATACACTGTAATTAAAAAAACATGGTCATTTTAAGGAAGAGTTTAATGCCTCTTTAGATGAAGGCATGCAAATTCCGTCTATTGGTTAAAACACTTAATATTGTTACTATGAGGTGTTGTTTGTTTGGCTTTTTTGTGCTACAGCGACTCGCAGTAGGCATTTCTCTGTAGTACAGAGCAGCAGTGCTGCGAAGCAGAAGCGTTAAGCAGCAGGATGGCTTGTGGGTTTGGTTGAAGCACGGATCTTCCTGTTGACCAGTTTCACAGGAAGTCAGAGGCCTAAGTTAAACCAGTCTAATTCGTTTCAGTTTGACATGCAAATCCAATACTCTTGTCTTGTGAGCTCTTATTAATGCGTGTTCTGCAGACAGGAATTACAAAAACAGTGCAATTTAAATGCATTTCTATGCAAAGTAGTCTTTCAGGAATCCTGATGTGTCTGTTGAAAATAATTTAAGAATTACACAAGGCAGTACTGGCTAGGTCCCTTTCCTAGGGCTAAATATGATTTTTTTTGTATACAACTTTGGCTTCTTTTGGCTGTTTTATAGTAGGCTTTTTATAATAGTCAAACCCAGGGCAGGAGCAAGATCAAACAAGTGAAATTAGGTTTTGATTGCTTATTTCTCATTTTTATTTAAAAAAACAGTTTTTGTAAGGCTGTACCTACATTATCATTTCCTTGTGAATACACACTATTGAGTTCAAAGCGCGAGTAATGTTTGCTAACATGCTTGCAACAAAAAGTATTCAGAACCTTATAGACCTTCAGGCACCATTGCAAGAGCCCACTTTCAGGAAGTGGATCACAAAACAAGATTGATTGTAATGACTTTATTTTCATTTAGAAATGAAAGGTCTTTGCGTGCTTCTTCAACACCATTAATGACGAGAGGAGTAGACAAATTGTCTTCTCTTATATTGCAAGTCTTTATCCGGCTATTCAAATTTGCTAATGATCAACGCTTGCTTATTATATCCCCAAAATATGCATCAGATGTCATCAGAACATTATTCCCAAAGGAACGAGTAACCTACACTAGAATTGTTTTCATTAATCCAAATGACACAATTAGGTTTTTTTTAGATGAATAAATCAGATTGCTTAATACCTGCGAAAGAGATTTCCGTAAGAAATTCTGATCCCCCCCCGCCACCATGAAAACTAAAGTGGAACCACAGCTCAGCTCCAGCAGGTGCATAATGAAGGTTGCTCAGCGAATCTCCCAGATGAGGAATGAACAGGTTGCCCTTGTGTTTTCTGCCTGGCAGGAGTAAGAAGCTTCAGAAGGAATACTGAGGAGAGAAGATGCCTGTCCCCCCCCCTCCGCCGGCCGCCCCCCCTCCCCCCACATTTGCTGTGGTAAGACATCACATTCAACATGCAGATATTAAGCTTTTTAGGGCATCGTCATGAGACAAACCTATGGGACTGTCGTGCTTGTAGCTTGTTTTTTCCTTGGCCTCTCCCCTCATTTGTTCACTTTGAAGCTTTACTCGTTTAGAACCGCCAATCGCCATTTTCATATTGCAGAACTACAGGCTGACATTGCCAGTTGATTTCAGCATCATCTCCATGGCAACAACCCCTGTATCTGATACAGCGAGAATGAAAACGCTTAGACGTGTCCGTCCATCACGCCAACCTCTTGATCTATTCAAACTTTGACATGTACCTACCGGAAGAGGGGGGCATTATTATTTATGTTTGGCTGATGCTTTCATGCAAAGTGACTTAAATTTGCACCAGTTTACACAGCTGGGCGTTTTACTGAAACCATCAGAGAGAAGTGCCCTTGAGTACAGCACAACACGACTGCCTGGGGTTCCAAGTCACAGCTTTCCAGCTATGGGTTTAGAGCACTAACCACTTCTCCGTGCTCCTGCATCTATCTCTCACACCTGTGGGTCCCTGACGACCTGCAGGAACTGTTATCCTATGGGGAGCTGGGAAACCTCTGGCCAGCTCATCCCAGCTCCGCCCTCGTGTTGTGCAGTCCAGTGTATACTGCCACCTGGGTAATCTTAGTTACAGCTGGCAAGCAACACAACCCATGTCTGGCTTTATGATATCTGACCCATAGAGGTCAGTCTGAACGCTTTTGCAGTTTAAACCACTCACGGCCCCCACACTTTTTTTTTTAACGTGTTGAAAACTAAGAAATAAAATCCCAGTTTTAGGTTATCTACACATTTATGTTTTTGAGTTAAAAATGTTGCTGTGGTCACCACAATTGCAGGCTGTATTTACACAGCTGCTGTGTTCCAGTGGAAAATCTTGTCTTTATTTTTTTTAAGGAAATGCAAGGCAGCTGAAGATGTCCAACTTGCAAGAAATAATTTAATTATAAAACAAACGAACTGTATCAAGGTTTCCGGTAGTGTGAATGACATTTCTTAATCTGATAGTTCTCTAACACTCCAAGACAATTAAGTGATTTAAGCCTTAGAAATAAAAAAGTGTTAAGATAAATGTACAAAGAAAATGTAAATACATATACATTTGAATATGCATTTATTTGGCACAGCACAATCAATGGCCTCTATACAGATCTGAGCCTTTGGACTTCAGGAAACTTTTGTATTCTCAAAATGGACTTAATCTTTCTAAGGATCAGAGCATTTAAGGGCAAAATTAAGCTTTATACAAGCTTCATTCTCAAACAAAAAGTGTAACATTCAGAATGGCTGGCACCCCAGTATTAAAACTGATTTTAACTGCATTTATCCTAATCAATTAATTTGGTTATTTCTTTTGGGTTGTATATGTGACATTTTATATTCAATTTTTTTCCTTCATTCCATGTGTCATCCTTTAAGAGGTCCTCTTAATTAGGTACCCAAAATGAGTAGATACAACTCACTAATTGAGCATTTAAAAGTAGAAAAGTTAGCATAAATAGTTCCAGCTTTTATCCTTTCTATGTATGTAGGACATCAAAGCATAGATTTGAACATTTTGAACTGCAGTTGTTTTCTTCCAAAAAATGAAGAAATATTTTTTTTGTTCTGTGTGATATACTTTCTACCGACTGTACTTGTGTATGGCATGCTTGGTTGGCAAAGAGACTCCTCCTTTTCTTTACAGCACCATCTGGTGGTAGATCTGGCCGAATTCGCTCTTAATTCTGACAGAGCGACAGACGCTCTTCCTCCGAATTGTGCTACTACCTTTCCAAAACGCCACTCCCTGCTGCTTCATATCACTGCCAGCTTAATCCAGCAGACACATGGGTTTATACGTAATGCAGCACTGAATAACATTTTTCTTTTTTTTCCAGCTAGTAGTGAGTGTGTGAGGGAATAGTTACTGTTGCCTTTCATTGTATTGCAAGTGTACAAATTAGAGAACTTGCAATTGCAAGTGAATGGTTCAAATATTTAATTTCAGCTGTGGCTGGTAAAACTGTACTCTTTCTATCTAGTTTCAAATCTTTTCTTTTTTGCCTGAGGAAAATTAAGTTGAATATCGGAGAGGTGGCGATTATAGGTTTCTATCTGAAGTATGTCTATATAATTTATTTAATACTGCTAGTGTTCACAATCAAGAGTCATTTTTATTTTGTGTCCTAGGCCAATACAGAAAAGCCTGCTCTCAACAGGTCTGAACAGCAAGGAAGAAATGCTCTCCTATCAGATATAACAAAAGGAGCTAAATTAAAGAAGGCCGTTACTAATGACCGAAGTGCTCCAGTATTTGACAGTAAGTAAAATGATACTGTTGAAAGCCCCTGTGTGGCTGTGATGGCATTAATAAAGGAAAAGAAAATACATTTCCCGCATAATTTTGCAAGGCATTGGTTAAAATACTTTTTCTTTTTAGATGCAGATGCAGTGGCATCCTACTGTACATACAGTAGTATTTATCACCTATTACATCAAATTTCTGTGTGAGCCAACTCGGCCTTAAACCACTCAGTGAAGTGTAGAAAACCGATTAAAAAGGATTAAATGGTTTAAAAGCAAGGCCTGCCCTGAAGGAAACCTGTTTAGATGATTATGCAGTGACACCTGAGGAGGCCAGCTGTAGTCAATAATTATTTTTGCACAATCAAGCACAGCATTTGGAAAGATAATCGTAGGAGGAGAATTGCATTTTTACCTCCAGCAGACATCATTCAGAATTCTTAAACCCATTCACTCATGGTGAATCCTGTAGTTATAACTGCAGTTCCAGACAATTATAGCTATAACTGCTGGGAAACGGGTTTACAAACTTGCGTGACTGCCCCAAGTCGGTTAGTTCAGTGTGTCTTTATACCGTCTTCCTGTAACACTCATTCTTGTCTGAGAAGTTATTGGAAAATGCACCCAAATTGTAGAAGATAAGATACTCTAATTGTGACTTCCAAAAGGTGAATTGTGTAAAAAAAAAAGTACTGTGCCTTAAAAACTTCACAGTCACATAAATCCAGGAGTAATAAGTAAAGCTCCAGTCTATGATTTTATGCTGCGAAGTATTTGTAGGTGTTCTTGGTTGAATAATGCATCGTCCTTTGATTACTGCTGTTTATTTCAAATTATTGGATAAAATGTTCCACTCCTTCCCTGATATTAAATCAAAGATTTGTCATGCAATTATGGAAGCATACTTAACATTAGGAATTCCAGTTACTGCCCAGATCTGTCAAGCACCATCTGTAAATGTTCTTTTCAGAGAGAGTAGGTGGCTTGTGTAAGGAAGCAGTAAATATCATCCTGCAAAAAAGGCCAAAGTGTGTGTGATGATAGATTCCAGTGCAACGACACTGGTTTCTCAATTGTTTGTTGCAGGCACAGTGAAATTTCCTGTTTATAACAGTGAGTTCTAGTTAAGACAGTGGTGGCTATTGCAGGCCTATGCTGTGGTTATCAGTCGGTGGTGGTGATCTGTCCAGGTAAAGCCCTGTTTTTTTTTTCAGAGCCCAAGGGGTCAGGAGGTGGAGGAGGTGGAGGAGGAGGAGGAGGAGGAGGAGGAGGAGGAGGAGGAGGTGGTGGTGGTGGTGGTGGTGGTGGAGGAGGAGGAGGAGGAGGGGGCGGATTTGGGGGAGGAGCCCCCGGAGGACTCGGGGGTCTGTTCCAAGGAGGGATGCCGAAATTGAGGTCTGCAGGAAGCAGAGACAGTAACGGTAAGTGGAATTAGAAAATTGTTTTTCAGGCCTAGGAACTTAACAGCCTGGAATGTGTGTTTTTTTTCCCCAAAAATGTCTTGGCAACGCATTTCTAGTTGCCGTGTACTTTAAACCCGTGCTAAACTCATATCATTCATCTGGCAATCTGAGCACCAGACAGAAGCACAATATCTCTGTCACAAACAGGAAATCACCCCGGAGGCATCGTAGATGTTTTGGGTTGAAGCCTTGCAAAGTAAGATGAAGCTGAAGAAAGATGTGTAACACAGGCCTGCTTGTGTACGCTGCTGAAGAAAATGTTGACGGTCCGAAACTGTGAAGAATTACCTGAGATAATTCATTGAATGCTGCGCTCTGCAGTTTTATCTCTGTTTTTATTTTTCCTCGCAGACTCTGGCGGGGGCAGATCTCCATTGCTGCCCCCTGGAGGACGAGCAGCTGCCCCCAAGCCCTTTGGAGGGAGCTCCGGCGCCCCCCCCAGGCTCCCTGGCGCACCCCCCTCCGCCCCGAGGAGCAGCGGTCCTGAGCTGCCCAGAGGACGTGGGGCTCTGCCCCGGCCGGAGCCTGGCGGTGGGCCGCCCCCTGTGCCCAACACCCCTCGGCCCGCTCCAGGGGGCTTCCAGAACAGGGGCCCCCTACCCGTGCCAGGAGGTGGCCGGCCCCCAGGGTCCAGCCCCGGTCCTCCGCCACCGGCGTTACCTAACCGGAACCAGGGGCCTCCTCCTCCTGTACCGGGAGGCTCCCCCTTCTCCCGGCAGCCATCTCTGTCCAGCCCACCTGTGGCCAGCTCAGGCCGGCCCCCCCTGCCCCCTGCACCTGGCAGGCTGTCCGACGACCGGCCCCCAGCTGTGCCTCTGGGAAGCAGGCCCTCCCTGCACAGGGACGGAGCCCCTCCCCTCCCCTCTCAGAACATCAAGCCCCCCGTCTCCTCGGCTCCTCGTCCATCCCTGTCCTCCGGGGCGCCCCCACTGCCGCCCGGCAGACCGGGCCCGCCGCCCTTGCCTCCGACGACAGGCGCGGACGAGGAAACTCCCAGGCTCCCTCAGAGGAACCTGTCCTTGAATTCCCACGCTCCTGCGCCCCCACCAGGCCGGACTGGCCCCCTCCCACCACCTCCCATTGAGAGACCCCCGCCTCCTGTCCGAGACCCGCCGGGACGCACAGGTAGGAAGACCTGGAATGCAGTCACCTTGCGCGTCGGGATGGCGAGATTGTGAAAGGCCGTCCCCTTGAAGGCCTGGCCTGAATTAACCGTGCTGTGTGCGCAGTGCCCTGTTTCAGAAAACACGCTCTAACGTCCCCTGTTCCTTGCGGCCTCCTAATTCCACACAGGACCCCTACCACCTCCCCCAGGCAGAAACGGAGGGAGCATGAGGTCATCGCCAGCCCCCCCGCCGCCCAACAGACCAGGAGCGGAGCCTCCCAGAGGAGGGCACAGACCGCCTCTGCCCCCTGACAGGCCTGGGGCTCCCCCTCCACCCATGAGGAATGGCTACCAGGACTCCCCACATCCAGCGGGTGGAGGTACAACTGACTGGAGATACCCTCCCTAGAAAAAATCCATTCAAAATATTCATTCACTTTTTCACAGCATACTACCTTAAAGTCTAGACTGAGAACAGGAGGCACCTCTTTACACAAAGGGTTGTAGGAGTGTGTGGAACAAGCTACCCAGCTGTTTATCTGAAGACCGTACCAAGGCTTCTTTCCAAAGCTACATGAGCAGCATTTTGTTAAAGAAAACAAAACATTGAATAAACTCTAGATGACATCCTTCCAATAGTAAAAAATGTTGATTTATACTGCATAGTATATGTCCTATATATTTCTTCAACTTTAGACTGAGAACGGGAGACACCTCTTTACACAGAGGGTTGTGGGAGTGTGGAACAAGCTACCCAGCTGTGTAGTTGAAGCCTGTAACTTGGCTTCTTTCAAAATGAGTTCCTTGGATCAATTAACTACATACTAGCTGCCAGACAGGCTTAATGGACTGAATTACCTCCTCTCATTTGTTTTTAATGTTTTTAGAGTCACTGGATTTAATTACTATGCTTAATTTTTAATTAAAAGAGAAGCACATTATTTTTTTTTACTTTCAAAAGTATTAGTACTGTTATAGCTGACAATAAGAACAACCTTTTTTTCCAACTCCTAATTTTTTGCCAATTAGGTTCCAATATCTTGCAAATAACTCAAGGAACAATTTTCTCATTTGTAAAAATATTCACTGTAGATGGATAGCAAGCCCTGTTCAGACACCACACAAAATCAAGTTTCACATTTTAGCTATAATTTTGGTGTTTAACTGGCAGCCTCAAGATAACAAATGTTAGAGATAAAATTAAATTCTGTCAAATTTGTATGTATAAAAATTACTTGTGTTTTCTAACATACAATTTAGTTGACTTTTCTTTTTTTGGTCTTTGGCATTAGTGTACATTTGTAAGCACACTGCCATCTGGTGGTCCATTCAAAAATATATTTTGGATGAACCTTTGAAAGCAGAAAAATATACGAGAGGATTTAAATTCACCTCAATATATTTTGGAGAAAAGAGAAAGTGCTGCTTTGGTGTTGCTGAACCCATCTCAACACCACTCCTTCAAGATGGAGTCAGAGTGTGAGAAAAGTAATCATCGTAAAAAAAAATATTCAGAATGTTGTAACTGGGCACTATGAATGTGTGCAAGAAGATTGAAGTTAAAATTGAAAAGGAAAGAAGAAATTCTTATATTCCAACCATTAGCAAAAGTTTTTGTGCTTTCAACAGATGACTGGGAAGGCCGGTTTTTCTTCCACCCTCTGTCAGATTTGCCCCCTCCTGAGCCCTATGTGCCCTCCCCGAAGACCTACCCCAGCAAGCTGGCAAAGAGCGAGACCAGAGGTGAGACTGACCAGCCCAGAACTTGGGAGTGGATATGAGAAGCACTTCCTCTGGCTGGGCTGCATTGCTTCCTTCCTCCTTCCTTTTTTGAACCTCATAATGCCGTTGGAAATTCTCCATAGGATGACATTTAAGGGCAGAGTCTTAAATGAGGAACCGTGCTTTCTTAAGGGTTTTTTTTTTGTGTTCCCTGGGAAAGAGCAATAAAGAAATTTCCCATATCACGTGTTCCAAAAAATTATCATGTGCAGAAACCTGGGGAAATGGCATTTTTGAGATGCAATGCCTTATTGTAGGCATTAAAAATAGAGGTTTGGTAACAGGTTGGCATAGTGGTTAGCATTGTATCCTCACAGCACTGGGGCCATGGGTTCAATTCTTGGTTTCCTATCTGTGTGGAGTTTATATGTTCTCCCTGTGTTCATGTGTTTCCTCTGGGTCATTCAGTTTCCACTCGCAGTCCAGAGACTTATTGGTAGGTTAATTGACTTTTGGGAAACGTTTTGTGAGTGTGTGTGTATTTGTGTCTGTGTTAGCTTGTGGACTAGCATCCTTTCCAGAGTGTGTCCCACCTTGCACCTGTTGCTTGCTGGGATAGGCTCTTGCTTTCCAGAGACTCTGTATTGGATAGCACAGCTTTAAAGTGGATGGATGGAATCAAAGTAGGCACATTATAGACTGAAGTGGTTTTTGACATTGTTTTTCCGATGTCTGAAATCAGAAGGATGGCACAATGAGATGGTTTGTAGTAAAGAACAGAGAGAGAGATGACTTCATGTTCCAAAGCTACATGAGCAGCATGTTGTTAAAGAAAAACAAAACATTGAATAAACTCTAGATTAATCCCTCCTATAAAATGCAATAGTACAATATATTGGTTTATGGCAACCCACTGAAGCTCAGCAGGTGTGAGCCTGATCAGTACCTGGATGGGAGACCTCCTAGGAAAACTAAGGTTGCTGCTGGAAGAGGTGTTAGTGAAGCCAGCAGGGGGCAGTCACCCTGTGCTCAGTGTGGGTCCCAATGTCGCAGTATAGTGACGGGGACATTATACTGTAAAAAGGCACTGTCCTAAAGATGAAATATAAAACCAAGGTCCTGACTCTCTGAGGTCATTAAACATCCCAGGGTATAACCCTGAGTAAAAAGAGTAGGGGTGTAACCCCGGCATCCTGTCCAAATTTCCCATTGGCCTTTACCAATCATGGCCTCCTAATAATCCCCCTCTATGAATTGGCTTCATCACTCTGTTCCTCTCCCCGCTGATAGCTGATGTGTGGTGAGTGTACTGGTGCACTATGGCTGCCGTTGCATCATCCAAGCGGGTGCTGCACATTGGTGGTGGTGGAGCACTTTGAGTGAGAAAAGTGCTATATAAGTCTAAGGAGTTAATTTTTAATTACTATATATAATGGTAACAGCATGTCCTACTGTATAATATTCTGACATTACTTCTGAGATAACAGCTGATGGAGTGTTAATTGATCAATAGTACAGTACCTGTAGAGCTACAGCAGGGTCTGTTTTCTGTTAGTGCCAGAGTGGTTTTCTGTGCTCGGATTAACAATCAACACAATTAAATGTATATTTGACTGGCTACTTGAGAAGCATAAGGTTTGTGTTCAGCAATTAACTTTTAACTTGTAATTGTGTTGTTTTTTTTCTTGAAAATGTAGTAAAAGCAAACTATTGTTTAGTGTTTCATTTGTAACCTTTCTGATTTGTTTTAAACATTGTTATGTAAGCCGATGTTTCAGTGGTAACTTGTGTTGACAGTACGCAGCTCTTTGTTTATTTCATCCTTCAGTATCTAAAGCCACATTTATAGCCTTAGCCTTTGTTTAAGATTTGCTAAAGGTATCTTAGCAAAATCTGATGATTGTCTATATGAAGGTGAAGACATTTCCGTTACTTTGTTAATGAGAATCGAGATGCACACCACACAGGAAGCCTGCCAGCGAAGAACATCCCTCTGTGCAACAGTTTGTGTGAATAATACCAGAGTTAAAAAAAAAGTAATACTGTGAGAAGCAAGAGTTGTTTCATCCCTTTTCCTGTCAGAATATGTGCTTATAAAGTTGCCATGAGTTAGGTTTTGAAGTTTGCTTTAATTCTCCGGAGTAGTATTACAGCAATTAACAAAATATGAAGAAAAAAAATGGACGAAGTGGTGTCTGTACCTTTTCTGCAGTATTGTTTTGTGTTTTTCTTACAGGCTCAGGGCGAAAAGAAAGGGGGGCCCCCCCACTTCCTCCCATCCCCAGGTGAAAGAAGACTTCCTGTGAGCCGCACTGAACGTCCTGGGAGCACTTCCTGTTTCCATCCCAAAGACACTGTCTGCGGTTATCTCTTTCAGCTTAGTACTTCCATAGTTTTCTGCAGCGAGAACACCAAGAGCGCGTTTGTGCTACAGTGATGTGCAATGCTCAGGTCTACAGCCCACGATTTATAATTATGTTTGACTTACCAATACGAGTGCCTTACATTTCAAATATTGTTTACAAAGTTATAAGACTTGGGGGTCCTTGTGGGTGGGGTTTCTAATGTCCTGGTGAGCTCTGCTATCAGGAGAAGACCGTTTTAAGCAGCCATGATAATTCTGTAAGAACAATTTATTCCCCAAACATCGAAAGATGTTGTTTTTGGTGCCTTCAAGAATTGCGCTAGAATTTACAGGATTTCAATGAAGCAATATACAGCCAGTCTATTCTCATGTAATCTTAAAAAAACGTAGCATTAAAGGAGCTGACTTTACTCTTTGGAGCCTAAATAGTGCCAGTGTTACATTTTGAATTTGGCCTTTCCTTCATGTCTTATCTTTATTTTGTATGTGAATAAATGGCTATTGAACTCTCCCTGGTGGAGAAATATTTACAGTATATGAAGTTAATGGTGTCTCTGTAAGTGTCCTACTTATTTTATCTATAAAAAGGTCCTTGAATTTTTTAGATATTTGAAATGGGATGAAACATTCAAAACCTGGGATTATTAACCATACCAATAACAATTTTGTCAGTAGTAGCGAAAAATGAACAAATAAAAGAGAATGCTACAGCTGAGCTTTGTCCGTATTTGAATTAATTGCAACCGTTTAAGCATACAATAATCAGAAAATGTTTTTCAGCACAAAGTATTGTAATGCGTTGATTATGTAAAAAAACGTTTCAAAAACCTGTAAGTTCTTCAAAAATATCGTTTTTTTATTTGTTTGTGCATTACAGCCTAAAAGCTGTACACAGAAATGCTTTACCAGCAATTTTTATTTCATAACATGTTGAAGACTAATTCTGTATAATAAAAATGATCATGCATCATGGACCCCTCCATTTTAAAATAGCCAAAGTTGCAGATGCAGAGGTTTTCGGCGTTAATGACACAGAATTCCTGTTTTAATGCACAGTACTCCTATTTTTGGAAATTATTATATTGTAATGATTGAAAGAAAAACAACTTTGTTTATAATCGCTACTTATTTAAATAAAAAGTTAGTTAAAAAGCAAGCAAACAGTATTTTAGTCATGTACATTTGGATCAAATTAAAGGTAAAAACAAAATCTTATCCAGGTCTACGTTGCAATAGAAATACAGCACCACATTTAGGAGGTCTGATCTGCATTATAATTTGGAATAGTATTATTGTGTGGTCTACACAATGTTATACAACATCAAACATGGGCAGTCACTTGATAATACACTAATCCTATGAGAAGATTAATTTTAAGGTATAGGAATTTTGACATTTTATTTTGCCAGCTTGGCACACATGACAACAGTTCTCATCAAGTTAACAATCAAGATGATTGCAGGTGTTAAAGACATGATTTTGCTGCAAGAACATAGGCTTTGCTGCAACCTACAACAGAGTTGTCTGCAAAAACATTCACAGAGAATTAGGAGATAAAAATAGGTATAGGACAGCACCTTTGCAATTTAACTGAGAAAAGTCAGGAATTAGACATTTTTTTATGTTTTGTGAATGTAATTTGTTATGAAGTAATTAATACACAATGTAGTTAAACGTTAAACTTAATTGTTTATTTTAAGCTTTCTTAGTTATCTGTATCGTCCGACGAGATTTTACAGGTTTAGTTTTAAAAATAAAAATAAGTAGTGGTTTGAAAGTTTGTTTCACGCTGCGTTGATGAAGCAGGTACTCTTAAATGTGAAACGTTAAATATGTTTTTAAAACAGGGGTGTTACCCCGGCGTCCTGGCCAAAATTCCCATTGGAAATTTACCAATGATGGCCTCCTAATAATTCCCATCACTCTGTTCTCTTCTCCCTGATAGCTGATGTGCGGTGAGCGTACTGGCGCACTCTGACTGCCGTCGCATCGTCCAGGTGGGGGCTACACATTGGTGGTGGTGGAGTAGAGTCCCCGTTAACTGTAAAGCGCTTGAGTGATGATGATGATGATTATTATATTATTATTTTATTAAACTACACCTGTACACGTTATTTTGTTAATGGGAAACATCGTCCTCACTTGACCACTAAAATGACTGTAGTGTTATGGAACACAATCTGTGGCAATGCCTGCCACAGGGATTGTGTAATCACAAGCTTATGTCTTTGCCGCTTGCGCTACTGCTTGTATAAACATGTATTGTGTAATTGCGCTTATAGAAATCTCCGAATTCGCAGCTGGAAAGCTACAGCACCAATAGAATTCCTTCGTATTGTATGCTGATGAGGTACCGAGCAAAGCCGTTGTTAAGGGAAGGGTCTTTCCATTTTTCTTTTATTCTGACTCGGGGTACCCGCAGCTAGATCTTGGGGATCGTTTAAAGTACATCGTCTTAGTTACATTTTAGTTGGTATAGTTTCTTTTATAGCTGCTGCTGTTCTGCTGTGCATAAGAAGAACAAATTAATATCGTTGAGTAGTTCGGCTTTTCCCCAGCTACGCATATAAATCTCTGTTATTTCTTTGGATCTATGGATTTATAGATCCAGTATCTGTGGATGTGATGCACTGCACTTTATCTGAATAGACACAGACAATTCAAAACACATCCGCAGTATATGTAACATAATTTATGTTAATATGTAAAGTATGCAACTTAAGAGTTCAACACATACTGGTAAATCTTACTTTAATAAGCATAACTAAAAAGGTTTAGAAATATATTACTAGGGGAGATACAGGCTGCATTACAACAGGCTTATACATACATTATGTACAGTAGGTGCCCTAAGGTTAAGCTATTCTATGACTGCAACATGAGCTAAAGGAACATGAATATGTTCGCATTATGTATGAAAGGGGCCGTACATGGATGTTAATACGTATGGGACATTTCCACGCAATGAAAACACAGCATACCGTGACGTACCCAATTGAATAACCCCTGGAAATAAAGGGGATATAGATTTCCAAGGGATACAGAATTGGATACGACACCTGAGTGCTTTCGAAAAGCGCTCTGTGCAAGCTTATTGAGTGTACCCTACAAGATCTAGTTTAAATAAAGCTGAAACAGTTACCTTAAGAGATCATATGAGGCTTCACGGAATTGTATTCGATATTGATAAATATTATTTCTTATTATTTATTTTGTACCATACAGCAGTAAGTTCCATTGAGCCTATAGTATATATACTGACCCTGTTAAAACAAGTTAGCCCTACAAGCGTAAGGAATGGAGAATGTATTTAGAATGGGGACGTTAATATTGTACAGTATTTATTCGATGGTTTAAAACATTGAAAGTTGAACATTTCAGTGATTTACGTATTAATGTTCTTCGTGGGTTCGTGTGTACATCAAATCACAGGCCTTTTCAACTAATTCAACCCACATCCACAATTCATTTTTTTTTACTTCAAATAAAAAAAACGTATCGTACAGTATACAGTATGGACTCCAGATTTTATCCTCCCAGCAGAGGTTTTATTAACACTTTTAAAAATGAAGAAACTTTGAACAAAAACATAAACTTTGCGCATGAAATCCTGAAAAAGTATTTACTGTATAGCGTTTTAAGCCTCTCAGATAATTTCCGTTGCTTTCAGCAATATTCTGTGAGATCTGCACACTTCAGACCACAGCACTAGAGCACAGAGGCACCGCAACGCGACACTGTTTCAGCTTTTTAAAGGTCGCACCTACTACTGACCTGTGACGCCTGTGTTGTCTGTGTAAACGCAGCGTATCCATAAACATAATGTCGCCGGAAAGTTCAGGGCATACACTTTTAAAGCCCGTTCCTTCTTTGTGAAATAATCAATGTACTGAATCGCTGTAACAATATTTTGAATTATGTCATTCCAAGAATTTTTGGGTAAGTTATCTCGCAGAAGCTTGCGAAATGTATAATGCTGTATTAAAATGCATTTAAAAGAAGTTGTATTCATAGGAGAAAAACAGGATGTATTTTCCATAGTAGTGGGTATCTGAAGTCTTCATTATAGATCTCAAAGGCTTATGAATGATGATCTACAACCATTTAAAGGTCAGCAATCTTGTCGCAGTCAAGTCACTTTGGGAAATGTGATTTATTCAGTTACTTTTCTTCAGTCAGAATATATCACATGCCTCTTAAAGCATATCATATGATAAGATACGAAGCCTCCAATCTTGTGGAGACAGGGAGTCTGAACCCCGAGATGGAGCTTGAAGTTAGCGGCTGGGTTTTCTGCCATTTCATTGACAGCAAATAAGTGAATAAAAGATCAAAGTCAAATGGTCTTGAGAGACGAGAGGAAAGTTTCAGCAGTACAGAATCTTCACTTTTGGGATAGTTTATTGGCAGACAGAACCTCTCAGGTAGTAGACCAATTACACTAAACTGCCCATATCATTGAGCAAAACAAAATCTATATAGCACACATTTTTGTTTGTAACTTATTTTTTTTATTGAACTGATCTTTCGTTTCTGAAATTTCGAATTCCCTCACAAATTAAATTTAAGACATTTCATTGCCAGCAACAAAAACTTTGATTTGAGGCGATATGCAGGAGAAACGTTGACAAATAAATGATTCGATGAAGATGTGTTAAATTTGATATTATAGATAAACTAGCTCCTTATACGCAATTCTGTATCTTATTCTCAATTTAGACTGTAAAAGTATGTACAAATACGTATAAAGTTGGATGTAACTGGATGTCTTTGCAAGTGCTGAACGACACTGTTTGTAAAAATACAAACGGTGTCAAACACACTGTTAAGGGAGTAACAGGACCAACGTGTTATTTAAACAGTAACCATTGCAGCCGAGTGAAATGAAACCACGTGAAAAAAACATGTGAATATTTTCGAGTCCCTCCCCCCTTCCTCTTCCCTCTAACGCTACTGATTGGAAGGATTGTGCTCGGCCCTCATAGCGTTGCCACCACCGGTTGGTTGGAGTGAATGTCAATCAGAGCACGGGTAGGCCCCGCTGTAAGTACACAGCAGGCGACAATTGGGAAGTGGAGAATGAACGCTGTAATAGCAGGAGGGTTAAGGTGAGTGCGTTTTATCTGTCGTTCAAAGGATACGAAGTGAGGTGCAGATTAGCTGCCGGAATGGTGTCTACCTATAATTGCAGGGAATGTAATAAATGTAAAGCTCTTCTTCCGGTTTCAGCCTGTCATATCTGGTGTTGTTTATGCGGTCATTCAGCTTCGGGCTGTACAAGCTTGAGACCCCTGCCGTTTTTCTATGAATGTTTTTATTTCATAGCGTTATAAATCCGTTTGTCAGGTAACCTGATTCTGCTCGTTACCCCGTTCACGGATCTTCGCTGTAAAATTCAAACTTACGTAAAGCTGCATTTTGCACAGAAACTAAATTACATTGCGCTTTTTAAACAGAGCTGATGCACGATTCTAAATGTGGCACTGCTCGTTTTTTCATTTTATCTCGTTATACTGAACAACTTTCTTGAGTCTGTTTAACAGTTCATGAACTGAGTCAGTGTAGCTGTCGCTAATACGACGACAAAACTTTAGCTGCAAATATCTGATTTATATACAGTATAAAAACCTTAAGTACAGGTTTGTACGTAACATCTCGTCATGATTAATAGAATGTGTAATTATTGCTAAGACTGGAAGGGAGCGAGCGCAATTATTTTATTGTGCACAGAATAATACAGTAAACAATTATTTGACCAATTGCAGAGCTTTTAGAACTGTATGAAAACGTACTCATCAGTAGCACTGTCTCTGAAGCTCATGAATACCTAGACATTCTGTACAAAAAGGGAGGACGGAGTTTTATTTCATAATACTGGAAACGATACTAGGATAAACGATCAACAATTAAAAGTTATCTGCAAAATAAACTAAAGTACTATGCAGTTTTAAAATGTGTAATAACTGTATTCTGTACTATAGTCTTTGATACCTGATTATAGTTTAGTTTTAATAAAGAGTGTGCCCCCAGAATACACTAATAAGTCAAAAACATATTCTGAAAAATATTTTTTTCTTATGTTTTTTAATCTCTTCTTGATTGTGGCAGTATAACGTGAGGTAGTTACAATGTTCCTGTGGTTCATAAGGTAATAATGAAGCATATCACATTAAAAAATGCAACCAAAAATCATTTTCTGTAACACATTTCTGAGTAAAACTAACTCACTGTTGAGTTTTTTTAACTGTTAGTGTTGGGTGCACCTGTTCACTGGGAGCTTTCATGCATATACAGGAAAGCAGTGCTTATAATCTTCACTGGAACAAATTGAACCAAGCTCTGTTATTCTAAGTGGACGTACTTTACAGTACATTGTTATAACGTCCACTCATTAAAGCAACGATAGATGTTTTTGAGGTGCACGTAAGAGGCCTTCATTCCATACCATGAGTGCTTCGTCCTGATAATGATCTAGGAACACATTCGCAGTTCAAATAGGTAGCTGTGTCAGCATGCATAGGCTGCAAAGCAGCGATTAAAGGTTTATTCCATGCTGAAACGAGAAAAAAAACACAATGTTACCAGCTCCACACCTGAAGAAGGCTCCACAGCCGAAACATTGAGTTTCCTTTCTTCTCTTTACATCATGGGATAAACCTTGACCTGTTCCTAGGAACACATTAGCCATTGTCTTTGTATGCAAATACACATTAATAAGCGGCTCTGATGCTTGTCTAATCCAGTATGGCACACAGCCCACAGAATGGCGCACAAACACACAGGAGGTACCATGCGCCTGCTACACGGGCAGATTCAGAATGGATCAGCAGAGCGAAGGGCACTGATCTGCATTGCTGAGAGAGAGGTATAGTAGGCTTGTGTGATTAATGATGAAGTAATGAAAAGGGACAATAGAAATCCTGCTTAAATTTTTTTACAGATCTGCTCTGCCTTTTTTTAAGGTTTTAGAAAGTACGGTACACCATTGTGACACTAAATTCATTCACATTCCCAAACACTTTTCTCCTTTTAGCTATAACATGACATCTTAGTGGGTGTGTAAGATGTTGTTCAATATTTAGGGTGGCTTCTGCAAGCTGTAATTTTTAGATTAGCTGTACTACAGTGTATGGAAAGCTCGATTAAAAAAGATACCTGGCTTCATTTTTTTTTAAGATTAAAAGGCTTGGGGAGTTTGAGGTTTCAAATACAACTTAATCTTCTGTCAGGCCACAGGAAAGCACTGTTGAGACGTTTTATTGCATGCAAAGTTATTCTAAGCACATGTAAAAACTTTCAGTTATCTGTTCATCTCTTACAATGATGTATATAGATATTCTTGAGTCATCTCAGATTGTCCTGGTTCTTTGCATATTTTGTGTTATTACATTTAACATACAGTGATCACTCTTGACTCTTGATCACTCTTGACCACACCTGAAAAAGGCTCCACGGCCGAAACGTGTTCTCTTTCTTCTTTTTTCAGCATGGAATAAACCTATTACTTGTTGCTTTATAACATACAGTGTATGCTCAACTTCAGCACTCTCAGAGTGAGGCCAGGAAGCAGTGCAAGCAGAAATACGTGTCAATAATTGTTTATCGGGAGGTTAGAGATGGTGATAAGACCTCTTCTGCACAAGAGTGATCACAGCTGTTTAGGGCTGAATTAAAACTGTGTGAGATGTGACTGGGTGAAGTATGTTTTAGCTTGAACAATTGTCGTCCTTTCCTTTAGAAGGATTTGGCACAGACGGTCTGGAAGTGGTCTCAAGTGACCTGCACTTGTCTAGACACAAATTCTTATTTCCTATATAAAAGTTTTTTTTGTGTTCTTGAGTTATTCAATATTCTTTTCAAAAGAAACAATGGGGCAGTTGTGCTGAAGAGAAATTAAGCCTGTGTTTTTTTTTTAAAAAACGAAAAGTTTTTTTAAAAAATATGTAGATTTGAATTGTTGGAAAAGTCCTATGGGTTTTGAAAATGTTCTTCATTTGGGCAATAGGTCTTGTAGCCAATTTACTCACGGCAGAAGAAAACATTTCCTTTTGCTTTCATTTACTGTTTTTCGGATTGATTTTTTTTCAGCATTTTGTAAGCTAAACTGACACCCGCAGGTGGGTCGAAGATCTCCTGAAGTTCAACTTGAAGGAGTCTGGAATCACTATCGCAGCAAACATGACGAGCTCTCCTCTGGACGAATATGGGCTGAACGTGTCCCACAACTCCTCCACGCCTTCTTCACCTTCTATGTCTATAGATCAGCTTTTCCCGGCTTTACTGGAATGTTTTGGGATTATCCTGTGTGGATATATTGCTGGGAGGGGAAACATTATAACATCTTCTCAGGCCAAAGGCCTGGGGAACTTTGTCTCGAAATTTGCACTGCCAGCCTTACTGTTTAAGAACATGGTGTTGCTGGACTTTGCCAATGTTATCTGGTCCTTTCTTTGGAGTGTTCTAGTTGCCAAAGTGGTGGTGTTTGCTGTCGTCTGCATTTTAACACTACTGGTTGCCAGTCCAGAGAGCCGTTTCAGCAAAGCGGGGCTCTTCTCCATTTTTGCTACCCAGAGCAACGACTTTGCATTGGGGTACCCTATCGGTGAGTACAGTCACCTCTTATATTTATATTAATTATGTGACAGATGGTAATCTCAACGCGACTGTTCTCAATTTGGTTTCAAAACTGCTTATCCTAAGCAAGAATGGGAAGTTATTTTTAGTTTGTTCTGCTTTTTCCATTTCACGTTTTAATTTTTCTGCTTCCCTTTTGATAATACTTGGTAAAAAGGAGTCTCAAATTACTTAAAAGGACATGTGCCGTAATTTTTTGTTATTTTATAATAACATAGTGAAGTTAATAATCATTTATAGCACATTTATTTCTAAAATTCAGATGGATTTTCTCATTGTACTGCAGTGATTCGAAATGAAGTTAAGGCTTTGTTTCTTAAAAAGGGGACATTAGTTTTAAATTTGGTTTGACACCTGAAGAAGGCTCCACAGCTGAAACGTTGCGTTTTCGTTCTTCTCTTTTCAGCATGGAATAAACCGATTACTTGTTCCTTTGATTTTAAATTATACGTCTTGTGAAAAAGTAATAATAATGCACAGGTGGTGTTTAATTAAGTAATATAGTGATCATTTGGAACCAAAATCAGAATATCCCTCAGTCTTCAAGGATCTGTGTTTCCTTCATTGAAATGCTGCTAACGTAATTGATAAAATGCTTTAACAAGAGCTTTCAGTCGTTAAATAATAGGTGATCTGGGGTAGGTTACAATAATAACTGGATTGGGGCTCTTCAGGACCAGGGTTGGAGACCCCTGCTCTAATAATTGCTTTAGAAGATGGGTCTTTCAAAAGCAAAAGATGCAGTCAAGTGAGTCTTACAAACATTTAGGCAAGGCCAGTTTTCTCGCACATCTGTTTCCGAGGTTCAATGCCCACCTGGAGTTTCTCAGAATAAAAAAATGAAGCGTAAACTGTACACTTTCGTATCGAGATCTGGTCGTCTAGGCCAGCTGTCCTTCTGCTTTCATTTGTACCTTTTGTAATGATAAAGAGCTTAAAACCTTAGCTATTTTACCTTCTTACGCAAGTACATATAATTCTGTAAATTAAACAGGATGAAATGGATTGAGTTTCTGAAACCTTGGCTTGTTAGGGAGAAAATACATTTATTCAGTAATATATGATTGTCAGAGAGATTTACTGTACTACAATTAAAATGTTTGTCACATTTCTTGCCATGAACCACTTATTTGGAAGAATTTATGCTGTCAATATTTGTGTACTTCTGTTTGCAAAATGTAAGCATTTAGAATCTAACCATTTCAATTAAGTCTAAGTCATTTTTAGTCTTATTTACCTTTGCCCTTAGGCAGACCATGGAAGTAATCAAAGATCACATGCAAGTGATAATATATACTGTAGTAGAAACTTTGAACTTGACCTTTAATCTAATATTGAAGCACATTTGTAATGGCCTCTGAAATGTTTCTGTTTCAGGTTGTTTTGCCAGGACACTGCAAATTTGTGCATATATTTTTTGCTATTTCTTTCAGTGAAGCCGTTAAAGGCACTGGGCCAAGTAAAAAAATCATCTTCATTGTTAAATTAGTAAGTTATCAAATGTATTTTAAAATATTGTTTTTATGGAAATATTGTTCCATAGAATCAGGTCCTTTTTCAAGGTTTTAATATTCTGCTTAATGTACACTGACTGTTAAGATCTCTTTCCCTTCCTCTACTCATTAAATTCGATTTGGTAGTCTCTGAGGTTAATAATCATAATCAGAATTAATCTGTACTGATGTTGTCAAAATTGCTGGGTTTGTCAAAACATAAACATTATTTCAATGCATGAAGGATTGTTTTTATGTTGAAATTGCACTGATTTTAAAATTTAACAAACTGAGGCCATATCTACACCCAAGCTGGCTTTCAAGTATTACTTCAGTATACACAAACGGGCTTTTGTGCAAAGAGATTATTTCCCATATTTAGTCAGTTACTGTTACTGTTGTTTTGAAGAATGTACAGGCATTTTTTTGTGTTCCTTCTTTCAGGAGGTTGTTTCATCGGGATTGAAAGCAATGTCCTTGGCGTTGAAGCGTGTGTGTTTTACGCTGTCCCCGTTTGCCTTGCAGTGGAGGCCTTGTACAAGAATACGTACCCAGAATACCTGCAGTACATTTACCTCGTGGCTCCGGTGTCCCTCATGATCCTGAATCCGGTAGGGTTTGTGTTCTGCGAGGTCCAGAAGTGGAGGGACAGCCCCTCCCCGCAGCAGAGCAAGCTGAAGATCGTGGGGACGGTGATACTTCAGGTCCTGAAGAATCCCATTGTTTTCATGGTGGTCATCGGCATCGCCTCGCACTTCATCCTGAGCCGCCAGATCCCCGTTTTCATGGCCCAGTTTTTGGATGGCCTGGCTAACTCCTTCAGTGGGTCAGCTCTGTTCTACCTCGGCCTCTCCATGGTTGGACAGCTCAGGAAGCTCACCAAGTCCACCTTTGTCGCACTAATTCTGCTCATAACAGCCAAGCTGTAAGTACGGCCGTCATTCCTCGGGACCCGTGGGAACGTGAATTTCTTTATTCTGTTGGCGTCTTGATTCAGAAATCACTGCCTGTGGGAGCGCGTCTTTTGTCAAAGAGGGCTCCGGTCTAACCCTTATGGTGCATGTGGAATCATCCTTGACAGGGTCTTGAGTTGAATGCAATGGCATCTGTATGAAAACCCAGACTTCGCTTTTCATGTTCCTGTTTTTTTTGTTTTAGAGTAGGACTTCAGAACATGTTTGTTGTCATTTGGTCGAATAAGAAATGCTGTTCACTTTGCTCTTGGTCATATCTACACATTTAGCTAAACGCAATCACGTAGCTGATTACGACATTGCAAATAATAATTCTTTAACTGAAGTATCAGCCAGTAGAATGTGGAAAACCCTACCCACACAACAGAAAAGACTAAAAGGACTTGATTCTTTTGGAAAAACTGCAGTCACCTTAATTTAGTGGTAAAAGACGAATGTAAAACGGCTTCAGATGTTGTTTAATTTTGATGAGTAAATATATTTTTCTCTGGCATAACCAAACGGGGTATAACTTTGTGAGCTGCTGGTCTTTCCAGTAGCTTTTGCATTTGCAAGGATGATTGCAAAGTGACATTTTCCTGGTATGTTTTTCAGTGCTTGTCTTTTGAATTTAATTGCAGACAGAATTAATTCCACTCAGAGTGCTTTACAAATAATGGGGACTCCCCTCCACTGCCACCAATGTGTAGTCCCCCACCTGGATGATGTGATGGCAGCCAAAGTGCGCCTGTACGCTCATCTCACATCAGCTCTCAGTGGGGAGGAGAACAGAGTGATGAAGCCAATTCAGAGATGGGGATTATTAGAAGGCTATGATTTGTAAAGGCCAGGGGGAAATTTGTTCAGGACACAATGACAAAGTTATTTTGTTATTTTAGTCTTTAGTCATTTTTGTTGTGTGGGTAGGGTATGTCACATTCTGCTGGGTGATAGTTCAGTTAAAGAATTATTATTTCCACTAGTTAATATAGGCCTAATGCTTTTCTGTTATACAGGTTGTTGATGCCACTGATCTGCAGAGGCATGGTTGAACTGTTGGACAAGAGCAACGTTTCAGTGAATCATACCAGTCTCTCAAATTATGCATTTCTGTATGGAGTCTTCCCTACTGCACCAAGTGTAGCTATCTATGCAGCCCAATACAACATGGAACTTGAAATTGTAAGTCCTAGAGCCTTTTCGTGATGCTCAGTAGCAGTGCAGGGTTTTACTGTAATTCTCCTGCTGGAATTCTGAGTGCTGCTCTGAGTAGAGGTGGAGTTTAAAATTGCACTAATGTCAGGACTAAAACTTCCGATAATAGAAACACTTTAATTCCTTAACGCACCTGGCTTACAATTAAACATCACAACATACACAACACTACATTAATGAAAATCTCCCTTTTGTTGAAAAGTTGCACTTTCATTATTCATGTCACGTACATGAAGAACGAAAGTATCATTATTGAAAGTATATGTCGTATATACATGCTACAAGTAAGGTGTGCAGTAAGAAACAAGTACCAGACCAAACTAGAAGTATATGTCACAGGAGTGCTACTTAAACCAGCAAATTGAATTAGTAGAAAAAATTACTAATCACAGGAGTACAATGAATGGAATCACAGGCTAAAGCATTTTGGAACAGTAATAAATACTCTTTAAGTTGATGCAATTAAAGAAAGATACCAGTCTCACATGATTATGATTGTAGCTTGTATCATATTTATTCAGTGATGGGTCCGTACACCAGATCCCTGTCTTTGAGCTGGGTTTAATAAAACAAATCAACAAAAAGAGATTCAGATTTGTTCAATTGGAGAAACCCCGTCTGCATACAGCACAGTACGTTCTATAAAATATTTTCCAATTTAGTTTAACTGGAAGGAGTTTCAGCACTTGGAAAAAGAGGTAGAGTTGTATGCACATAACTATGGTATTATGAAACAACATGCCAGGTAAGGTTTTGAAATATGTTTGATGTTATTCAAGAAGCTGTTTGACAGATCTCTTAGACAAATCTGCATGTGCACAGTGGACCAAAGGGCAGCTGTCTTTCCTTTGTGATTTTGTCAGTTTTAAACACATTGCCTTTGAGCCACGCCTTACCGTATATACATATATATGAAAAATGTAATGTGTATTGAATACATTATTTTTAGTTAATCTGAGCTTAAATGAGTCTTGTGTTCACTTCCCCTTGCAAGTATCGCATATTTAAATACTGAAGGATTAAAAATAAACATGTGAAATGCTGTATTTTGACGTTGAACACATTGTCTTTGGTTCATATTAATAGATGTTGTTTTTTTTGTAGGTTACCTCAGGGATGGTAATAAGTACATTTGTGTCTGCTCCAATTATGTATGTTTCTGCTTGGTTACTGACAATACCATGGATGGATTCAAAGCCATTAGCTGCTGCACTTCAAAATGTCAGTTTTGACATAAGCGTAGTCAGTTTAATTGCTCTGGTAAGTCTTTTCTTTTTCTTTTCCTAGAAAAGTTATTCGTTCCCATCAGCTTGCTCAGGAAATGGCTGTGGGGTTTAATTTTATGTGTACCAGTATGTATTTACGTGTTCTCCACCACCTTGGATATTTCATTTTTCCTCCAAATAATCCTTCACTTTAAAAAAAAAAAGACTACATAATTGAATTAATTTTTAAAGAAGAATGCAATCTGCTTGATTAAGGGTAAACCTTATTTTGAGGCAACAGTTGTGTTTTTTTTTATTTAGTTCAAATCTATTTTGTCTGAGCCCTTCACGAGAAAAGCCAGCAATGCCAGACACTTGTTTCAGTATGTGGAGGAAAAATGTTTGTACTGCCAGTGTACTGAGAGCTGGTCAGAAAAAAACTGAAGTGAAGGTTTCAGCAGTTGGGGAGATTACTGGTTTCAGTTTCTGAAGGAACGTGTTGAAACATAATTACGGATACAGCACAGGGATCCTAGGCTTATGAAAGATCCCTGTTGCTATTTCTGACAGCATTACAGTCTTAAAAATCTGGCATAACGACTTTTTGCTCTTCTGTGGTAAACAGTCATGGGTTTGTTCTCACTGGTGACACACCACTAAGACTTCATTTTCATGTCTGTTTTAAAGTTACAAAACTTTGTAATGTTGACATGTTCCTGAAACTTTGAATTTGCATTAAGCAAATTCTCCCCCCCATTTGTTTTACATTACACATGTTTGGCTGCACTATTCAGTAACTTCAGTTTAGATGCATCTGTTTTAAGGGTAAGTTATTGTTTAGTTGAAAACTCCTGAGAATTCTGTGTCAGCATCTCCCTTGAGGGGCTGTAATCTCAGGAATGAAAAACCAGGAGCTGGTCTCACTTGTTTGCCCATGTATTTTCAGGTTTGGACTGTGACTGTCATGTTTCTCAGTAAGAAATTTAAGAGGCTCCCACATCTTTTCATGATGAACCTGCTTCTGGCACAGGTAGAACTGAGGAATGGTGTCCTGATTCATGAATCCAGTTTGTTTTCTTGTTGATATTTCTACAGCTTGTGCTTTTTTTTTTAAAATAATTGCACAGCCCTGTGTTGAACAGATATCCTGGCTCTGCTGTACTTCTGGTAATTGTTTTTGTCGCTGACATTACGTTTCAGGGTTGCCCGCAGGAAAAAGCTTAGGTCAGGTGGTAACCCGCACACCTAGATTACTGTACTAGTATGCCTACTCACTATCCTATTATTGTAACTTAACAATATCATGAGCAAGATGTTATTTGACCACAATAATTAGTCATCAGAGTTGTATTGTAGGTTACCCATGATGCTACCCGAGAAAGAGCTTTGTGCTTGAAACCTATTGCGATTTTATGTCAAACCTTCATGATGTTAATCTTTTTTTGTTATTGAGGCGCTGCGTATTATGTTGTGCTCGTTGAGGCAGTAAGTCTTTTTGAAAATTAAGTAGCAAGCGACGAAGGGACACAGTATTTGCCTGTGACCAGTTGATTCAGCTGCAAGGAAACCCAGCGTTTTTTTCACCAATTACACACTTAGCTCTCAAAGTCAACCCTCTCTGGTAAAAAAAAAATCGATTGCTTATTATTTGTATTGACAGTTTATTTTAATCATATACAAACCACACATTGATTAATTCAACAGAATCGCAAGTGTCAGCAATTATTTCAACATTTTACGTTTATGACTTCTTTTTTCGTAATTAACCTAGACTTGATGCAAATACGTGAAATTTTCAGACCAAGGTGCAAGACCGCGGGATTTCGTCCCAATGCATGAGACGTCAGAGCTGTGCGATTATGTACTGTACATCGCGGCTGCTGACAGGCAAGTGATAGACGAGTATCATGTTAAAATGATATCATGATAAATATGATAAATGAGTGTATTACTAGGAATCAGGATTTCATTATGGATTCTTGTGTATATTTTGGTCGATGCTCGTGCATTTGTTTGTCCAGACAGCACGCCTGTACTGTATACAACTGTGGGAAACTCTGACCTGAGTAATTAGGCACTGATGTCTGTTCTCTCCTGACATTTGGTCAATGTTAAATTCCATTAAACATCCCAGCAAAAAACGTGCTTGTCTCTTGACTGAAGCTTTCGAATCAACACACTGTTAGAGATTCTAGTTGCTATCAGTACAGTAGAAATTCAGGGTAGCACTTTGGTAATTTTTTGATGACTACAAGCAGGTTAATAATGTTTCTAATTATGTGTTTAAGTTTTGTAAGAAAATGTAACAAATGTTCAGAATAGAATACTCATCTGTTACGGCATCATGCAAATGTTCAAATTCTCTTCCAGTTCCTGATAAAGGCTGTCATCAATCTGCTTCAAAAGTCTTTGCCCACTAGGCTGAGGTAACGCACAGCTGGTTATGATAGGGACGATTTTAACCAACTTTGAATTAAAAAGGTTGCGAGAGTAGATACATCAGTGGTCAATTACACAGTTTGAAAGCGTATTACAGTTTGAATTGGAAAAACATTTTTCTAGAAAAAGACTGCACAGAAACATCTATTTGATGCAGCTCTTCATTCATAATAAGAATTGATTGTTGTGCTCTTCCTGAGTTGTCTTAAAGTTTGAAAACAAATCTATAAAGCGTCATCTCTCTTTTCCAGTTTCTTGTCTGCATTGGGATGATTTTGTGGAATTTCATCATAAAGCAAGACAATATCATTGGCCATGTCCTGTCATTCATATTACTCTACAGCTCCCTCTACAGTACTTACCTGTGGACAGGTGAGTTGCGTGCCACTTCTCACACAATAATGCCTTGAAGTCCAATTAGAATTCATTTGGCAGCTGCTTGTTGCTTGGTTTTGTCAGACCTCGGAAGCTAAACAAGGCTGGGCCTAATTAGTCTTGGAATGGGCAGCCTCCTAGGAAAGCCTCATGGCTCCTGTTAGTGGACCAGTATGTGACACTCTTCCACCTAACCAGTGCCCCGTGCTGTAGAAGGGTGGTCCTACGGATGAGAAGTTTAACTGACTGCAAGGCCGTTGAAGATCTTGCAGCACTTTTGGGTTGCACCATCGGCCCTTCCTAGATTTCAATTTTGATTCTGTTGGAGAAGTAATTTCTCTCTTCTCCACCTGATTGGCTGCTGGCACATCATGGCTTGGTAGGTGCTTCAGTAATCGACAAATTGGATCCTGTCTAACGGGTAAAGTGCTTTGAGATCCTTTTTGATTAAAATGCTATTTAAATACAACAGACCGTTACTTTTATTTCTTAATTTTAGACGGGCTTACACAGTGACCTTGGTTTTGGGAGAATGTTTTGATCTTCATGGTCGAGGGCACTGTTGGCCTCATGGGAATATTGAACGAGCCCTTTTACATAAGGTTCATTTTCCCCAAGATAAAGCTCTGTCAAAAATAAAGCATTCTGTAGCTCTTCAACCCAGAAAGTGATTGGGTATTTGACTTTTGGAAAGCATAGAAGGATATAGGATCTCCTTTTGAGAACTAATGCACACTGATGTTTCTGTTTTTTATTAATAGTAAAAACGTCAAATAGATTTTTTTAAAACAGAATTGTTTCCGTTATTCCAGGCCTTATTGCCCTTTCTCTGGTGCTAATGAAAAAAGACGATGAACTTAAGGTTCAGCCAGCGATTTTCATGATAGCAGGCTGGGGGTAAGTCCATCTGATTTTCCAGCAGTAATGTTTTTAGCTGAAGACTCTGTTCCTCTGCTTATTCCCTGTACAATTATTCAACAGAATTCCAGCGTTTATAGTTGGAATCCTTCTGATTGCTGGGGAGAAGATGCCAGACAACATTGACTCTGCTTTCTTTTATGGAAGAGCGCAGGTAAGAACTACAGCACTAACAACAAAAAGCATTTTGGCAAACTCTACTGGACTGGAAGTGCCAAAATGAGAGCTGATTGTACATCTCGGTTCTAGATCATCAGCACTACCGTGGTCCTTTCCTGCAGCATCCTGCTTGCAGGAGCCTCACTCATGGGCCTCAGTCGAGGCACACAGAGTCCTGGCTATGAGGTTCTAGACCAGAGCTCTGCGATGGGTACCGTGGAGGACGTGCGGACCCAGAACAGTCAGGAGACCACGACAAACGAGCACTCAGCCCAGACAGACGCCAGCATTAGTAAGGGAGCAAACCTCTCTAAGGTCTGCTAGTGCGATACAGAATGATGATGAATATCTGACTGATGGTGTGCTAAACGGAGCTTTTGGAAATGGAGGGTTTTTGGAGTTTTTTATCCAAATAACCATGTCCAGATTAAAGTTGAAGGGTCAGAGTTCTTCTTGGCCTGTTCGGCCATTAGTTCTGTATGATGCTTATCAATTTGATGCTAGGAAATATGAAAGAAATATTTTAAAAATTGACTTGATAAATCCAAAGGATCTTCCTGTATTTGACTTAACTGTATTGATTTGATTCTGAAGATCTTAACCTGCAATGTCCTTGTTCCCCAATAGACTGTTGTGCCTGTGAGCAGGCTAGGAGAGGGAACTGTTGCCCAGCGCAGCCCATGCCTGACATGATTGCCAGCACTCAGGAGAGTGAACCCCCCCCTGTGCCATCAGGTACAGTTTCAAGGCAGCGGAAAGGTGGTTTAATTAATGCGGAATTAAAAGTACGAAGTTCCTGGGAAGCTAACCTACCACTTACAATTAGAACAGTGGGCAGTAGCTGAGGTTTTTAGCCTGGTACTGTATGTATTTTGCATGATTTTGTGAAAAGATAAATACTGATCCTCATTTCTTAATAGAGCTCACTCTTTTAATATTTTTGTGTGCCGCCTCTGTTAAAGCAGGTAAATTAGAGAACACTCCTTCTTTTCAAGTATGTCACGTCAAGCAGTGGTATTTCTTTGCCTGTAAACCAGTACAGTGTTTTTATAAAGGCTAATGTAAGGATTAGCCAATCGCAGTGTGGCTTTTATTCTTTTGTAAAATCTCTGTAGATGTGCATGTTTGTTGCTTTATACTGTAATGAATATAAAAATGGTTACAATTGAGAGCAAGCCCTTTGACCCATCTAGCCTGTGGGATATTGATGGGCTTTATGACCTGCTGAGTATCAGTCATTGGTAGCTCTTTTAACAAAGGTACACGTATTCATGGTACATCCATGTAGCTGACTTCTCATGCTTCATTTTGAGGGGCACCTGCTAGTATATAGAAGCATTCTGATTTCCTCCTGCAGTCTGTGGTTTTATAATCTACAGTTGTGTTTCTTCTTGAACACCTTTAAACTCTAATTCTGAGTTGTTAAATAACTCTGAGTTATTGCCACAAGTAGTGTACTGAAACGGGAGGCATAAGAAGTGTGGATGTTTCCTCTGAAAATCGCACTGTTCGAGCCCTCTGCAGTATTTCACCCACACAGTCCCACAGTGTCATCGGCAGGGTTGGCATCAGTCTGCCCTCTGCTGTTACTGCTGCATGCCAAGCTGAGGACCTCCTTGCAGTACCTGGTTAATGACGTGTCGCAGAGTGAGGAATTCTGGCCTGCGAGTGGCTTAGTCCATACATAAACCATCAGGGTCTGGACTGAAGCAAATCCTCAGCTCTTAGAAGCTGGTTAAGCTTCTCAAGAGCCATTAAAAAAATCTTAGAGTGATTTTCTGTTCTACAGAATATTATGTATATTATTGATATGTTGAGGGTCAAATTTACATTTAACTCTGTAGGATACTTTGCCCCTTTTAGATGAATTTCTTGTTTAGACTCAAAAGAGAGTATAGAGAAAGCTTTTTTAAGAATTACACAGACTATAGGAAAATAAGTCCTAAACAGAACATTTTAAAGTAGGTAAGAGAAGATCACTTTATTGGCCATATACAGTTTCTTGTATTGGGAATTTGTCTTTTTTCGCATACCCCAACTTGCTCTACATGAGACACACGGACAGGGAGAGAAGCTTGGGGTCAGAGCGCGGGGTCAGCCATTTTATACGGCGCCCCTGGAGCAGTTGGGGTAAAGAGCCTTGCTCAGGGACCCAATGGATTCCTCTGCCAGCCATGGGATATGAACTGGCAACCTTCCAGCCACAGGCGCAGATCCTTAGCCACAGAGCCACCGCACGGCACCCCAAGTAATAACAACATATAGTGCCTGCCTCCCATTTTCCTAAAAGCCAGTTATCCTACCAGTATGTTTTTGGACTGTGGGAGGAAACCAGAGCACAAGGAAGAATGATCACAGGGAGAACATGCAAACTCCACACTTATAGCAGCCCAGGTCTGGAATCGAACCCAGGGCCCCGGCACGGTGAAGCAGCAGTGCTAACCACTGTGCCGCTCCTCCAATAACTACAGCTACTGTAAATGCATAAGAAACGTTCAGTACCTTAATAAAAGAGAAAAATAAAAATGCATGGCAAATAAGAATGGAGTAGGACAATTTATATTTTGGGTAAGAAAGAACAATGTAAATGAAAAAGGAACATGTTTTACAAGTAGATTTCAGACTAATTAGAAGGTATTATTACTTTGTGTTACTGTATGATGTTAAACATGTTTTTAAAGAGGTCTCACATGTGCGTCAGCACAGTCACACAGGATGTCTTTGTGCGTCTGACCTTTTGCGTCTGTGTGCTTGTTTTCACCAGGTCAGTGCGTGAGTCACTGTGAGTCTGCCAGCTGCATACTGGCGCAGGAGGAGCAGCTGCTGCAACACGCAGATCGCCAGCTGGCCAGACATGTGCTGCTGTGCCTTCTCCTCATTGTGGGCTTGCTTGCTGTGAGTGGCTGTCATCGCACTTTTTTACAGGCAGACAAGCCCTTTAGCGGGTAGCTTTCCTGGCAGCCGGCTTGCATTGACCAAAGCCTGTTTATCATTACATGACACCTGCTGCAATTTTAAGACTGGTGCACAGCTCGGTAATTGACAGCAGACTCTTGTAAATGCCAAACGTAACGGTTTCAAAGCAGGTATCAATTCTGTCTCTTGAGTCACACCAAACTCCCAGCTTCCTCATCTCATTGGGATGATTATTTTTAATTGGCACAGGAATGCGTGCACAGTATAGCCAGCGTTCCTGTAATTGAGGCAAAGTGCTCACATCCGTTCTAGAGAGTGGCCTTTAATAACCATTTTGCTTCCTACCTAATTTGATGGAATTGTGTTTCAGAACTTGTCCAGTTGCCTGTGGTGGCTTGTTAACCAGGAACCCGGAAGGCTTTACGTTGAGCTACAGTTCTTCTGTGCCATTTTCAATTATGCACAGGTATTGCCGTTGTCCTCTAATCCTCTCAAAGAACTCATTCAGCGTACTTGCAGAACTAATAAAATTGCATCTAATGGGGAATTTTATGGTTTTGTTTTTCTCTTTTCCCAGGGCTTTATTTCTTTTGGTATTTTTGGGTTGGATAAGCATTTGATAATCTTACCCTTCAAAAAGAGGTGAGTGTGTTGTGTAAAGCAAAAATACTGTTTTTTTTGTTAATCAAATTACAACTTGAGTGCCCATTGTAATAGAAAGGTTGAAAAACAAAAAAATAATCAAACAATCTTTCCTGCCTCAGCGTGAGAACAAGAACGGGAATGCGTCAGACATTTTCCTGCAGCCTGTGTCTACAGTCATGTCTCCTGTGGACTAAAATTAAATTACCTTTTCAGAAGGTTCATTCCTCAATGATTTGAAGTCCTGACCACTAATGGAAGGAGTATCTTAGTAAAAGAGAAGATTTACATTATTGAACTACTATTGAACATGAATTGAAAACTTTATTCATAGTACATTTGGCTAAATAAGAATGTGTCTTGAGCATTAATTGTACCGAGAGAAGAGACATTCTTGAAAGGGAAGTACACTCTTTGAATTAAAATGCAGATGTGTGGCACCACATAGAAGTGACCAATTTTGAGTTTGTGTGGTTTTGGTGGTGAATTTGTTGTTTATTTTCTTTTCAGGCTTGCAAGCCTATGGCAAAGTAGAGACAGGGTTGAACAGCAGGACTCTGATGTTCCAGAGGAGATTAGGATGACCTGCACACAGTTTGTCAGATATCATCAGGACCAGTGTGTCAAGGACATTGTACAGAAGAGAAGGTATCCAATCCTCCATATTGTATGTTTTGGGAAATTCCCTGCCATTTAACTGGAGGTGAGATCGATAGATAACATAAATTCTTTCTGCAGTAGCATCTTTTGTATCTCTGATGCTGCAGTTCATTTTTGGTTTATTTATTCATTCTGAGGTGGACAGGTGCATTTAAATATTGGTATTGATCAAACAAGAAATGTACTGTATCGGCTTGACTGTTTTTTGCGTGGTTTAATCTTCTCAAATACTTTGTTCTGCCCTTTTAACTTTTCCATTTTGAATCACAAAAATGAACTAACTTTGTTTTGCTTTTCTGCTCTTACGTATCTGTATCGTATGAACTAAAGTTACAGAAACTTTGTTTTTCTCTCAGACTTGGGGCATTGTGCAAATCTTTCTGATTATTCGGACTGTCTTCCCACCCTCATTGCTTCTAAATGAGGTCTCGTTTGCATCTGGAGCAAATGTACAATATTAAAGTCTTTTCAAAGCACTTTAATGATGTAATCAGTATGGTATTTCTCTCTATATTTTAGAATGCTGTACTTTTGCGATGAACGATGCAATGACAGTGCATGCAAACGATAACGACGATCTGTTGTTGTTTTTGTACACCTGCTGATTCTCTGGCTTTGTTGAGCAACTCTTCTTGCTTCTTTTAATCTTCTGTCTTTCCCACCTCTCCTGCCCCCCTGGCCTTTTCCCCTTCTGTGCCTAGCAGTGCTGGTGAAAGCTTAGCAGGACAAGTGGGTGAATCCTTCCTTTGATACACAGGTGTGGAGAGAAGACTTTGGCAGGCGTCTTTTTCGGCAGCGACCTGGTGGAGTGGCTCCTCCGCGTGGGCCTGGCGCACGACCGCGGCGAGGCGGTACTGTACGGGGAGCAGCTGCTGCAGGGCGGGGTTCTCCGGCACATCACCAGCGAGCACGAGTTCCGGGACGAGACCCTGCACTATCGTTTCGTGAAGTGAGGCCAAGGCAGTAGTGAAGCCGGGGCAGTAGTGAAGACCAGCTTTTTTCGAGACACTTCTGGTTTTAGCCGCCCCTCGCAGTCCAAACTGGTTGTAAAACTAACCTCCGGGAATATATATCGATTTTGTTTTTTGCATGAAAAGCAAAAGGGGCTGGAACTGAGACTTGCCACAGCACTTTCACTTCATCTTAGCTGCCTTTGTTACTCCTTTGACAGTTGGGACTGAATGCCTAGAAAGTGACATGTGACAAGGGAGAATACTCCTTAGAAAATGTGTGTTGTTTTTTTTTTTTACGTCTCCTTTTTGAGGTCATGTGCAAACCAAAAAGATGGAAGCAGCGTACTGTTTAGTGAGATCCGTCTGAGCGGCGCAGCCTTCGCGACTGGGCGGATGCGGGGACGATGAGGAAGCTTTGCAGCTCGGAGAAGCAGGCAGTCACCAGTCGTTCTGTACAGTGTGTGGTTCAAGGGCACTACAACATGCACGTTCTTTGGTTGATAGGTTCAGCCAGCAATCCTCCTTCACCGCTCGTCTGCAACTGAAACACAGGGTCTGACCCATATTGTCCTTATGATTTCAATGTACCTTCTTTATACCTTTTTTACTGGGTTTTACCCACCTTCCCAGAACCTCTGTTTAAAAACTGGACTTATCTTGACAATACCACGTGTTAAGGCAAAAAGAACAACCTCGCTTTTCGACCTCATCAGCCAGAAGCAGTGAGGGAGGAAATGATGCCCTGATCTGTTACGTTCTCGCTCACTGTTAACCTTTCTGATGAGTCCTGCTTCTTTCCCACAGGATCTGTAAATGTGCGTGGTCCCGGAGAGGGCCTTCAGAAAAGGGTTGTATTTGAATTTTGAATTCGAGTTGCTTAATCCTTAGAAAGGCGCTCTCCAAGGTAGAGGACATGCCTTGGGATTTCCTTGCCTTTTCAAGGTCTATTTGGAGCTGGAGTCGGAGCTCCTTCTCTAAATTCACTAAAACCGGACAGTAGATATTAAATGAGGGCAGATACATGAACAGGTATATGTACTTTTTAAACCTTTAGTGGTTTACTGACTTGCTTTACTACTGACATGTCTGCTTTTTGTATTGGATTGTTTCATTTCGGTAGTCTTTGTTTGTCTTCAGGGTGTTATTTTTATTCAGTCATAAATAATTAAGCTGGGACAGAGTGCTTAAAGGTTAGTTATAAAGAGGGAAAGTGAAAGCCAACAAGTGTCATTTTGTTAATGGATTACTAAAGCTGAAAACGATTATTTTTTTTAACATTTGTGCTTTTCAGGGTAGGTTTCTGTCTTAAAAAGCCATTTTGTAACATGTTTTCAGCCTAGTGCTTCTGAATACAGAAGCGTTCCATTATCTTCTGTCTCAACATATTCACTCTTCTCTCTTATTTGTTACCTCCACTGTAGAGTGTTTTGAGATGTCTAGAGAGTGCTATATTTAAATGTCTATAATTTCAAATTTTAGTCTAGTTCGTAATCTCTTGCTGTTAGAGTAAAAGTCATCTGTAGACACAAAGAGAACTGCAGTATTGAAGACCGGGGGGAAGTGACATCCGTTGATATAACTTAGTAGTTTGATTTGATTTTGCCAGCTTTAGTTTGTATTTCATTCAGTTAACATTCAGTAATTACAAGACTTGAAGTATCACTGCTTAGTTTCTACTATTGTACAGTAAGTCTTGTAATGGCTTTTCATTTAAATGAGTTTTATTTTTATTGGTGAATGGGTATTTAATATAACTTTCAACATTTGCCTTCTCCCACCAAAAAGTGGTAGGGTAAGGCAGCTGGATTTTTCTTATAGTGAAAATCATTTAATGAAATTGTTTTTTTTTTAAGAAAACTGTACATCTACCGGTAACTGGGAGTGCTTTAGCTCTGCAAAATCTCTTATTGTAGCACAGAAACCTGTAGCATCTGCTACTTGAAGAATGAGAAAAATGGCATCGCCTACAGAGCCTTTGTACAACGAAAGTGACAACACTTAGGCTGGATTTATGTTTTTGTTGTAGTTCATCCACTGAGGAGGCCCTTTTCTAAAATGATACAACTTTGAAAGTACCAGACTATTCGAAAATATTACTGAGGGCAGGTTTATCCACCTACAGTATAGCAACAATTACAGTTTCAACACCGATATACAATACAGCCTTGTTATTTGTTAGTCCTACAATCGTGATTTTATCTATTCACGCGAAATTTTTAGTGACCACTTAATCTGCAGTCGCTGACCAAATTTGCTTATTCACAGGCTGTGCAGTAGGATGGTAAATGCAGGCAAATCTTCATGCAGATTTACTTTAAAGACCTGCACTGGTCTCTATAGTAAAAGCACAGCTTGATTAATAAAGAGCTAACATGATGCACTTGTATTAAATATGGGTTATGCTTTAGTTATTGAGTTTCGTCATGAGAGCATTAGACTTACAGTTTATTAGGTTGTGTGTAGATCTCTTATGATTATATTGCCTGTATGGGAGTGTTGTGCTGCAAAGTAAAGGAAGTGTTAAATATCAAAACCAAAACCTCTTTGGTCATCACAGTCTTGGTTGTTGTGTGTCTTAGCAGAAAAGCATAACAAAAGAAATGAGACGAAGAAAGAGAATTAGACAGACTGCAGGAGAGTGAGTTGGTTAAGTGAGTGTGCTTAATTTACTTTCCAATCTGTTGTTACTGGGCTGTAATAAACTTTACTGCAGTACAATAGTGTTGCACTTCTAATACCAATTTAAATGGGATGTAAAAAGTAAAGAAAATGCATTCTACTAATAACGAAAAAACAAACTCAACAAAGTGTAAACTATAATATAATAACAGTATTGCTATAATTCACTTGAATTAAAGGGGAAAACAATGCTTTGTTTTACGTTTACAGTATTAATTTTATTTAAAAATATTTACTGCAAATAAATACTTAACTATTTATGAAATAGTTCAGTCATAACAAAAAATAAGGTGTTACATAAGGCATTAAGTCCTACATTTGCAGTCCTTCTTCAAGTGTACTTTTTAAAATTTATTATCTAAGCATGAAAATTTCTCAGTTAAGGAAACTATGGACCTTTGAGGGCTGAAGGATATTCTGAATCGCATCCCACCCTGACTAGAACTCTAAATTAACTGACCACTGTTAAATTATTATATGTCGTACATAAAACCTGATGGGTAGGGGCTTTGAGACTACAGGCAAGATTACAGGCATGTGACCAACAATCATGTCCTTGTAAAGTAACTTATATTCCATAGCACAGCGCAGTGAGGAAAATGCCTGATGCCTGATGTAGAGAATAGCTCTAATATTTTGGTATGGCAATGTAGAATAATATGGGGATACTGGGGGTGTAGAAAGTTTTTTTTTACTGTACTTTCAAAGCTTTCTTTCCCAAAATGTACTAGAGACATAACTAGATTTTGCCTAATGGAAAAATGGATAATATGTTATATTATCATTGTTTGGCATTCAACTTTTGTTTTGTTTTAGTTGAGCATACTCTTCAAAGAAGCTGAATGTGTGAGATGGTTTTGCTTAAAATATTCCATTCAAATATTTTACTGGTAAAATATAAAAAATGCCAGAAAAACAAAAGATTTAATATAAACAGGGTTTAATATAAAATTCTTATTGTGCAACATTCTAGTGATTTTGTACAAGCTGCTGACTATGTTATTATAAACAACAGTCTCTGTCCTTCTGGTCTTGGGACCTAAATGATGCCGATATGAGTCATTGGTACTGCTTTGGCAAGCAGAATTGCTCAATTTTACATGGTTACATCACAAGATGATTTAGATAATGGGTAACCCTTGACAAATTGCTGTGTTATGTATTGCCTCTGCAGAGTTTAACCCCTGCAACTTGTACAATGTGTGATTTAGTGTGAAATGTCATTTACAATTGTGTGTAATTGAAAGAAGTTTGCTAGTTGTCCCCCCAGACTTGTGGAAAAAAAGATCTGGGAACTTGGTCAGTTTTCAAGCACTTTATAATAAACTGAACAGAAATATACAAAATGCAAGTGTTGTGGGGTCCCCAGGATATTGAAGGTCGGACACTTTTTTTTATGGTGTCTTGAAACAAACATGAATGTATTTCGCAAAGTTCTGACCAGACATTATACACAAAATGTATTCTTAAGTAACGGACTGGCTACTATGCCCAGTAATGCACGCCAAATTTTTTTTTTCTAAATTATAAGCTGGCTTTTATTAGAAAACTCCATACAGGTCAAGAGAGGAAACTATAGTGATCCCCAAGCTACTGCCATAAGCTGAACATATTTTACATGTGTATTTCTTACCCTGGCATTAAGTTTCTCTTATTGATTTGCGTTTTTTAATATGTTAATTTCCACAGGTATAAAAACACCAAGAATATGATAACTTGAATGAAAGGGGAGTGGTGCCACTGTCTGTCAGTATTCCTGTACTACAGCCCAATATATGAACAATTCTATACAATTCACAGTTGTCTAAATGGTACATTTAAATAAAAACAGAGTTGTAGCATTTTTTTCTAGCAGAATTATTAAGTATTCCATTAGGCTTCCTACATTAGATTTCCTCCTTCGGTTTCAGATCTTATGAATCTATGTGGAGTACCAGTCATGCTGTAGGTGGAACTGTGATGCATGCTGTAAACATCTGAAACACTACATTAACTTTGAATTAGAACTTAGAAAAATTTTAAAAACACACATTGCCATTATAGAAACCTCTTTCGGAAAAGGAATGAGGTGTGAAACTTAAATAATGTTCAAAGGTAAGATGACTGTGAGAGTTTTTAATTTTTAGGTTAACATTTAAAAAGGGGGAAATGCAACTACTGCACTTAAAATATAAGTATAAGCATGTAATTTTGGGTAAGACAATGGTGTTAAAGGGATAACATATGAAATAACTCCTGACATTATTCCCACCTTTATATGTCTGTTAATATAATTAAAAGAAATGGTGAAAAAGGAAAAGTGTCTGTGTTTGTATAGAGAGGAATATATAAATTATCAGGTGTTGGCAACTATGTAGTACAAGAATTTCACTGCCATTGAATAAAAGTTTGACCAAACCAGAGTTACTCTTTCAGAATGTATAGCCTTGAAATAAGAGAATCTACACTACATTAACATATGTACTATGTAACATTAGAACATTTTTCTATGAATCACAATTATGAAATTAAATGCCATAATATTTTTAGTATTTTGGTTTCCATGTTGGGAAGTAATATCCTTGAGTTATATTGGGGTTTCTAATATAATTTAATAATTGAAGAAAGTTTAAATTAAATGTATTTTAATTACAATTCAGTAATTTAAAAATGACCTTCTCTGTGTTATATATGTGTATACCAGGAAAGTGGAATGAACACAGTGCAATAGATATCATTTATTGTAGGAACAGAAAAATATGTAACTTTCCAAGAAAATGATCCAAATAATACAGTGATATTAACATTTAATTCCCTCTTACAAGCCATGTATCTTACCTGACTAGTGAATACCAATGCCTGAAAAGCCAAAGAATGTATAACTACTACAGTATGCTACAGTAAATGTCAGTCCAGCAATATACTTTTTAGGTACAGCTGCAAGACACTCTCTATAAAACATTACTAAGCATAAAAAAGAAGACCATTTATTCCAAAGCATTTTAAGGTATTAAATATTTGAGCATTTTGTGATTTACTGAAACCCCATATTCAATATTTACTAATTGCTGGGCTTTGCCCTTTTACTTTCTTAGAAAAGAAGGTAACTCAGTTGGATTTACAGACAAAATATTTGAATACTAAATAAGTTATTTTTAATCACAGTATCGTAGGCAACTACCAGTATACTGTGAAATGATTTCTGAAACTTCTTAATGCATTAAATGTGATAACCTAGCATTAAAGTATAGAATAATTACCGTAGAAGACTCAGCCATCCTAAATACAGATGTGCATTAACAATGCAAATACTCATAACTGTTGAAGCCTCTTACTTCTAGATGGTAATGTTCATTTTAATTTGCATGATCATGACCTTGGCGTTCTTTAGTACTTTAGTAGTCAGACATGTCCATTTTCCTTATATTCTTAGATTTTTTTTTTTAAGCATGACAATTCCCATCTTAGCTGTATGCTTTAAGTTCTTCCTCCACAGTGTCGGCAAAGAGATGAACAACTAATGTAGAGTCTTCAATACCACACTGTAAAAACTTCTCCATTTCTGCAATTTTCTCTTTTTCCAACTGTCTCATCTTCTTCATCATCTCCGCGCCCTTCTCCTGCAGGAAGTGAACACAGATGACTGCCCTTAAACAGCGCAAATACCTTAAGGTTTCAACTTCCACGGCTGAAGGCGTTCATAAACTGTAAGAGTCCACGGAATCAAGTCAAGAAAATTTGAGCTCTTTTTCAAACCTGAAAATAGCAATCTTACACTTATGATTTTGTTAAAATGTCATGTTACACTCCTGGTGTTAATATGGATTATAGTCCTTGAACAATTTAGTGTGTAGTATGAGTGATTATAGAGTTATGAGTCACAGCTTGATTCTCTCATTATATTCTAAGTACTATATGACCAGCTTATGTCCTTAGGGTGACATTATACCTTTGTCGTCTTGATTATTTTAGCTGCTACTTCATGTTTTTTGTATAGTATGTGTTTGCGGTCCGGCTTTGACTGAAACCGGGGCTGCTTCTTCACCGGATCTTCTGGTCCGTATCTAGGTGAGCTCGTTTTCTGCAGCTGTTGAATGTTTTTCACAAAGATGAAGGGCTTAAAGACTGACCTGGCAGCAAAAACACAACAGGGTTGGCATTTTGAACAGCAGGTCTGCTTGTTGTACATTCGTGGGGCATTCTATTTGCTGATATCTCAAAAATACTGTATGCGATTTGTGTCCCAAAGCCTGAATGTCTCACCATAAAAAAAAACGACTGTACTGAAACTACAATTAGAATGTTATTCTTAACCAAAAACACATAGTTTCATATTTGTGGTTATGTTTAATTATGGAAAACTCATTCAAGATATCTACGAGCACAGGGAGCCCTGGGCCCAAACTGTCAAATTCGTAGATTTTTAAATCACTACCAAAATGTCCTTAAACAACAAATCAGATATGCAAGGTCTATGTTAAAGTACTGCTGTACTAAATAGGTTTGTGTTTTTTTCCTTTACATTATAGATGCTTACATACAAAATCCATTTCCAGAGCAGTGAGCATGTGATAAGTTGTCACCTTTCAGGATCGGGAGTCCCAGTGAAGTAGTGCACTCCAGGCAGACTGGGATCTCTGGGCAGGACAGAGACCATGCTGCCTGTTGTGAGGAAAGCTCCCTCCATGTTTATGCCACTGTCCTTGTCTCTTAGAATTCCCATCATGCTTTCAGCAGTAATACTTCCTGTTGAAGGAAACAATTGTGTCATACAGCTGGAAAGAGTTGGAAATTTGCCTGAATTCATCTTACTTAACTTGAAGGTGTACTTAACGGACAACAGAAGGTAAAAAAAAAAACATTTAGTAAATGCCTGGTAAAAAAATATGATCATGATTCATTTGGCAGAACTTTGAAATAGCAGACTACATTACAGGATGCTGAGTGGGCATAAAATTGTGTTTTTGCATTTTAACAAGGAATTGGACTAATATTTCCTACACTTCACTCATATTATTGACATCGCTTTTCAAAGGTCTCGGTCTGATGGAATTATAGAATTCAGCTTTGTGAATTTAGCCTGCCTGGATCTTTCTATGCTCAGTTTAATGCATGTTTTCACACAAAAAATGTTTTGAAAACCTTTATTTTTTTCCAAAAGTTTTCGGCCCTCGCAGTATCTGCTGCCAGAGGCATCGATTCTGGCAGTGTTCGCATATGAATAGACGGCAGCAAAACTAAACTCCTTCTCTGGATCCCACCAGCCCCTGCCCCTGGCATGCTCTCTCAGCTCTGGGTGCTCTCGGTCAATCTTCGTTGTTATGGAGAACTGGTTCGAAATGTTGCAAGTTCCCTCTGAAACAAGACCAAAGGAAACACTGTACATCACTACAGCTCTCAGTGAAGTAACTCTACATACGTGAATTGAGAAGGAGTACTTCTAAGAAATGAAGTAACACTAAATATATAACATATGTGTTCGGTGTTAGTCCTCTGTAGCCGTGCAGCACAACTTAGGTGAACAGAATCTCCCATTGTGTCCACACACTGGAATTTGAACAATATTTTACTTGTAACTGAAAGACATTCAGTGCATTTCATTAGTCACACCAGGATACTGTTAAGTTGTCAAGCAACAGAAGTTTCATAGTTGTGAAACAGATTCCATGAAACTTAACGATCCAGGAAATGTGATACAGGTTAATACACACCACAAAAGAACACTTCTGCTTACTTTGAAGGTGCTATATATACTTTAATCATTAATTTATTCGGCTGACAGTTCTACCTAACAAGTATTTGTACCTAACTTGCCATTTTATTGAAGAGATCTGAGTGTATTATCGTGCTTGAGTGCACAGTCATGTCCCACAAAGATCTGAACCCACAACTTCTGAAAATCTGTGTTTATCATCCAAGATAGAAAAGAACAAACTTGATTTTTACAGACAAGACTTCTTTACTCAATTGACTGTGGGATGGTGGACCAAGCTGCCCAGCCATGTTGTTGAAGACAATACTCTGGCTTTTTTCAACTAACAGGTCCTTGATGAATTGTCCACTAACCACCCAACAGGCTAGATGGGGCGAATGCCCTCCTCTCATTTGTAGCCTTAAATTCGTAATTTTTTACTTACATTTAAAATCAATACCGGGTTATTTTAAAAGCAATACTGTTTGTGTAATTTACATTTACAGATGACAAATTTACTATGTAGTATAGATGTACTATGGTTTTAAGGTAAGTCCTGGTCAGCTGTTGTTGAATCAGTCAGCAAGGAGAGAGTACGATTAACATCAGGCCTTCTTTATATATGAGAGGTGCCACATTCATACACATGGTGTACCTGTTATCTTCTCTGCTGCCCAGTGCTTCCCTGAAGTCTCCAAGACCCAGGCCACAGTCCTGTCTGCAATTAAGAAGCTGTTGTGGTATGTAAAGGTACACTCATCTTCCATGCAATTTCCTCCTTGGCCGTACTTTTCCAGTAAGTCCACAATGACGTCGAGAGCCTTCTCAGCAGTGTCCGCTCTTTCTAGACCAAGTCTGAGAAATTAGGACAACAGGGAAGGTTGCCTTACGAGTTAAATATATAACCCGACCTACCTCTCAGCTGTAGGTTTTAATGTGCGAAAAAAGCAAAAGGGTTTTATTAGGCTACGTGTTTTACAATGGAACTAAACTTGTTAGAAAATTGTAATTATAATCATAAACATGGTAGAAATATTAGTCACAAAGTCATGGTCCATAACTTACTGTACAGACGTAATACATTACAGACGACTGAAGAGTTAATGTGCAGTTTATTTATCAGACGCAAGCACTCTCTACTCAGCCTCTTTCTTTTTAAGGCTCTTTTAGGGCAGAGATGGTTTTCAAAGGCCAGACTCCTGCAGGTTTTATAGTGTATTTAAGGCATTTTTCAACTTGACTTGGTATCCAACCAATAGGTTGAATTAAGTCATGGAGATCAGATGGCATTAAACCCGGCAGCCTGCAGTTCAAAATGTTGGGATTCTTGCCCCTGCATTAGGACACAGCAATAAAGTAAAATAAACAAATGGTATCTGCAGATAAAAAGATCAAAGATCGAAAAGGAAATGACTCAGCTATGGTTGTAAGGGGTACGATCAGTGAGTCTGCACTGAGGATGATGGCCAGACACAACTGTAGCCATATTGATTTCCTGACAGATAAAGCCTGAGCTGAAAAAACGTATTTGGCATTCGGTATGGTGTTCTTTATTGCACAGTCTCCTTCCCTGTTTGCTTACCTGACCAGATCCATGCCCAGCAGGGCTTCTGCGTCGCTGGCCTCCTCTCTCCCCCACACGGCTTCATTCCCGATGCAGACCTGATGCTCATTCGCCCCCATTTCAGCTCCCCAAAGCCAGGCGGGTCGGCTCAGCACCACAGCATAGGTTTCAGGAACCTGATCGATCTTGATATATGTGCACTGCAGCATGGCAAGGCAGTGGGAACAAAAAGGAACACATTTACTTTTACCCGCCTACCTGACATGCAAAAAGAAGAAAAGGTATAATGTTTCAGGTGTGGAGCTTTCTTCAGGTGTGTAGGTTCTTCTTCGCTTCATCACTAAAACCAGTACTGGTTCATCTTAAAACCAATTCTGTTTGTGTAATTCACATTCACACAGACTTTAAGAAGGATTTACACCTGAAATGTTGTAATTTCCTGCTTTCTTCCTACTTTTCAGTGGGGAATTAACTTCTATCTGCTCCTATGCAGCTCCCTACTTGAACAAGGCTGACATGCAGTGTGTGGTATCAACATGGAAACCATAGCCTAAAATTCAAAACGTTACGTTTTCTAAAAGGCGGCATTTCTTTTCTCAGGCTGACTGGCATACACAGTCATTTCCAAACTAGTGGAAGTACTCCATCCATATGTTTCTGAACATTTTTACCCGGTACGGGGTCACAGGGTGGCCTGGGCAGAATACACCCTGGACACTATGTACCAGGGCCTATTTGAATGAATAAGAATGGATTTGACTGATCCATCAACACTAGCATAACGTTCACTTTGGTTGGAAATAGTATTATCATTAAAATGCATTAGGGTTTTTAAATTATGCAAAAATTATACATGGTTTATTTACACAGATTTACTAATTACAATGCATGTGTTGGGGATTACTGTGTACTGTAGTGGAGTCGAGTACTGTGTTTATTTCACTTAATATGGAGCTTGAGACTTTTAAGTCTTTGCAAATGGTCGAAAAGCTAACTAACTGAAGACTGAATTTTTAAATGATATTCCAAAATATTCCAAGGTTTTGCTTGACACAAACTCCAAAACGGATAGCTGTTTAATGGATGGGAGAGAAAACTTTGTACCTCCAGCTGAGCTCCTGATTCGTACTTTTTTGCAGGAAAATACACCACCTCTTGAACTTCATCGCAAGGCCTGTCGGAATTCTTTCCAAAAATAACACGCTCTCCCACAGTGGACTGCGGAAGAGCCACAAAAGTGTCACAGGAGCAAGGGTACCTCGGCCAAGTCGCCATCCTGCAGAAAACACAGTTCAGTAATGATTTACACTGCGGTGCCTTTCGAGAACCCCCTGACCACGAACCTGTTTGTGAATAAAGTGGTTTGAATAGTTTTAGCATAAATATTAGATTTCGAATTTTACCCTTATAAATTCAACGATACCCAATCAATTAGGGAAAATGTCACCACGTATGCTGCGGCAACATTAAACAATAATTATACATGAAATTACTATTTTTTAGTAGACGAATTCCAAGTACACAATATACTAATTATTATTGGTATGGTTCACTCTGAATAGATCCTGTATCATTTTATACATGGTTAGAATTAAGGATCAAATATATATATTTCACTTTGGCATCTTCGTAATACATTTACTTAAATAAATGTAACATAAATTTGCTCTGTACCGTATAACGTACCTGTTACTTACTTAGCAGATCTGAATGAGAAGACACTACAGTAGGAGCGAATAAGCGATTTGAGATTGCAACTGTACAAATCTCCAAAAGTTTCACTTTCTCTTCTTCACTGTAGCTTATTAGTTTTCATATGACTCGTCCACAAAGAAAGATGAACTGTCGCCGATTGCGCCTATTTTCGACATCATACGGTAGATTAAAGCTCCTTCTGTCACCCGGAAGAACAAACTGCTGCTGAGGTTGGTGGTGGTGTTGTTGTTGTAGTTAGGAGGAGGAGGAGGAGGAGGAGTAGTGAGTTGTTGGAAAGACTGGATTTAAACATAATTTAAGGAGTTTAACGTACTTTGCTAGAGTTAACCATGGGGAAATCATTTGCAAATTTCATGTGTAAAAAGGATTTTCATCCTGCCTCAAAATCCAATATTAAGAAGGTGAGTCCCCTTGGTGCTATATATTTAACCCAAGTCTGGTTTGTAAATACGGAAGATCAACTACACCATTTTTTCAACCTAATGCTTAAGTGCGTTATAGTGTGTTTAATTTACAATACCAAATTACCTGAAGTATTCTCAGGAGAATAAAGACGTTTTCAGGGCTGTTTAGTGTCTGTCAGTGAAACAGTTACTGCTTATTTGTGAACCCAAAAATAGATTTATTTTGATGTTGTAGACACGAAGTACACCTATGAATTTCACAAATTCAAAATAATATATAAGAGTAGCTCTAGCCACGTTACGAATTATATCTTAATGATATCTAGTACAAACCGAAGTTTATCGACTTTTGTTTTTTTTTACAGAAATGTTTTAATGGTCTGGGCTTCCAGTCAGTTGTACAAGTACCTCCACGGATATCTATTCGATTTTTAGTTTTATGCTAAAAAATATAAAAGACCACTGTTAGCCTTTACAGTGTATATATATAGATACCGCAATATAGGAGTCATAAGTTTAGGCGATGTTGAGAAATTTAACACTGGTCATGAAAAATTTTATGACTTTGATTATTGGATTCCCTACAATACTTTTTCTTTAGTTTGATGTTTTCACTAGCTAACGGCATTTTCATGCCAATAGCCGAGTTAAATATTAATGGCTACTAAGTGTTTGTTTTTTTACATTAGGATTAGATGTAGTTTACATTATCATAGAATTTCATTTTCGGCAATATGACGAACTTCTAAGTTGGGTGTCTTTATCGTAAGGGTCACACTGGCAGTGTCAGTTCTTATGAAATGAACAGATGACCCACATTGGTATTCTACATGTTGCATTAGTATTCCTTATATGTTGTAATCTTTTGTTCGAAACCAAGGTTATTTCAGATTTGCTTGCCTACACTGACACGCATGTTCTATCTGGTGTTTTTAATTTTAGTGGATCATTGAATAATAATGAATTACATTTTAAACATGAGTTAGAGACATGCATTTGACTGTAGAATATTCGAGCTATTGTAAACCTTGGGGTAATGCATTAAACATTAAGGACTACTCTTTCACAATTTTAAATGATTATTTTAACTTGTTTGCTTGATACATGTCTGATATAGGCAGAGTCAGTTTTCCTCAGGAGTCATTTAGATAAACGTTTAATGTTTGTAGTTTTGTCGTTGTTCCAGGACCATGGTTTTTGTCATGATTTGTAATTTAGGTTATTAAATCTTATATAATTAAAAAAACAGAAATGACACATAAGTAATTTATGGTGTGTATGAAAATTAAATGTATTTGCCCAGATCAATAGAATATTTTTGCTTTGCAGGTATGGATGGCTGAGCAAAAGATAACATTTGAAAAGACGAAACAAGAGGAGTTAATGCAGCAGTATCTTAAAGAGCAGGAAACATATAACAACAGGTGAAGTATAAAGTAAAAAGACTTTTAAAACTGTATAACGCTGTTCCTATATGTACATATATAACTTTCAATTCTATAAGTTGTGGCATACCTCTTAAGTTGCTGTTAAAGTATCAATTCACTTTTAATTGCCTAGTCTGTCGTCACAATAGAGTAGATTTATTTTTAAAACAACTACAATGCTTGCAAGGTCATTTGTTGATGCACTCGTAGTGATTTTTAAAGAAAGAATTAAATATTAAATTTTACTGCACTGTGTATTCTGAACAACCCTCAGTAGTGAAGTTGGGTTTTAACAAACATCTAAATAGGAACTGATAAAATGTCTTACTAACATTTCAACTATATAGTGAAGGGTTTCTAAAACCATGTTTAGCATAACAGTAAAAAAAATAACTCTCCTTTTGTAATCCTATGCTTTAAGCAACTGCACCCAACCTGAATACTGCAAATATATTTTAATCTGAAACTCACTGGGTCTCAGATCTTCGGATCTGTTGTGCGTGTCCTAGTGGCATTGAAATTTGTGGTTGCAATCTGTAAGTTCACAAACCTCAAATAACACAAACTTAGACAAGAAAATATTTTCAAAACATATTCAAGACTAATATAGGCAAAATCTCTTGAACAAACAGGTACAGTGTCTTGAACAAACAGGTACAGTGCATTTCAGATTTCCGCAAAATATTTGCATACATTTATTTTTTAAAACGTTTCTTCAGGAGAACTTGTTCTTCTGTCAAGAATGTCCAACTGCTTTGTCTGGACTGACTTAAGGCATCTTGGCATCTTCCTGCCTGTGAACGTGTAACACAGTCAGAATTATCTTGCACTTCTCCTTTTAAACACACAGGGGCAAAGCAGGATTTGAAGTTGTCAGGACTGAAAAGCTACAACTTGTAGTTTTCAGTCCCCAGGATTACTGCTGATTCAACAGGCAAAAATGACATTTTATACCCTGCTCCCGGTGTGATAAGATGTCTTTAACTCCACAGGGGGGGTTTCTGTACCTCAGAACTGACTTACCAATGGCACTGAGAAGCCAGAGAGATGCTGAAGAAGAAACTTGAAATATTTTTTTGTTACATAAGCGAAGAATGAGCCTTTATTTCTGGTGTCTTAAAAATCAATCTTTTGTGTAATTATCTGAACAATTTTAATAAATATAGTTATTTTAGAATTTGAAATGGTTTGGGGCATGTTACACAAATTATTGTACTTATTGATGTGGTTTTATTTAGGGTTTCTGGTAATTTTGAGAGGGCAGCTAGTGTATGTGTTCTGCATATTGCCAGAAGATGAAGGAATGCACTTGATAAAATGAGAGCTGTTTTCTTCCATTGGTCATGTATCACATTTAACAACCGATGCTTTTTTTCCAGATTGTTGATGGGTGATGATCGTGTGAAGAATGGTCTTAATTTCATGTATGAGGCACCACCAGGAGCATCTAAAGGTATATGTGCTGATCAGAGCACTAAGAAAGTAAAAAAGAGATTATTGTTATTTTTTCTATTACTGTCTATTTTGATTAACTTTTTTTCTTCTTTTATTATTGATTTCCTTCCTGCTGAGAAGAAGAGACAAAGGAGGTAATTCTTATTCATTTTCGTATTGGCTAAATCAGCATAATTCATTGTATAATTACAAATAAAATTAATGGATAAAGCAAGTCAATAGAATTATTGCTCCAGTGGAGTCAAGTGGATATTCATTAGTGTTTAAAAACATTTTCTTTTGATTCTGTTGCAGCAGGAAGGAGAATCGGACTATAAATTCGAATGGCAAAAAGTGGCTCCACGTGAGAAGTATGTATTTAGGATTTCTTGATCATTTTCTCTGTTGTAAATCAGGTGTCCTGAGTCAACATTCTTTAAGTACTATTTGAAAGCTTAGTTATTTCTGGGAGCAGACATTATTATTTGAATGAAAGTCTGCAACTATGGGTTCAGTGATTGCATTTGTTTTCTTAGTTTTCAAATACTGTGCTGTGCTGTTCTTTTTTTAATTTTTATGTTATAGATCTCCATTTTGTGCAGTATATATGCGCTTCTGTCGTGATGTTTAAGAAGTAGACTTGATGTCTAGCAGTTTTTAAGTGAATGTTTTCTGTCGTCAGTGACGATGGGTGCACAACTCTTCCCAGGTTTCTTTTCCAATTTTACATGTTGATTTCTTACCCACGTAGATATGCAAAGGATGACATGAACATCAGAGACCAGCCATTTGGAATCCAGGTAAAAAAATAAACACGCGTCGATGTATAAAAGAAGTGTGGTAGAGTCTTGTTTTATTTCTGGATTTCTTGACTATGAACTGTACTCCATAGTGGAGGGCCGTGGGTTCAAATCTTGGGTGGGGCATAGCCATTGTATACTTGAGCAAGGTACTTCATTCACACTGCTTCAGTCAAATGCTCATATACATAAAAGGTTACAAATTTATGTTACTTTGGATAAATGTGTAAGGGAAAATATTTTCTGATTCTATAAAGGGAGGTTTATAAAATGAAGAAATGGGTGCTTTATATGTACATTACACAAATTTGTTCTTCAGGTCCGCAATGTGAGATGCATAAAATGTCACAAATGGGGACACGTGAACACAGACAGAGAGTGCCCGCTCTTTGGTTTGTCTGGGATCAACGCAAGCTCCATGGCGAACGACGGTGCAGGTATATTGATGAGATTTTAAAAAGATGTGAAGTCTGTAAATGCTGGTTATCTTGTGAGTCATGTAAAGATGGTCTGTGTGTGCAGGGGGCGTAAAGCGTCTTTAATAATGTACAGCCGTGCTGCAGCTAGCGAGGACAAGTAAACCACAACTCATCTTGACTGTATACTTTGACCCCCACAAAACCACACTTTTAAAATATTTCATTGCTTGACCGTGACAATAACTGTGTGTTTGTATCAGTACTGGAGTTTTACTTGTCAGGGGAGACGAATTTCCAGGTAGTTTATTTCACTTCCAAATGTGTTTTTCAAAGGAACAGGAGCAGTGTCCACATTTCTTTGTAGCGTTTCATGTACTGCAAATGTTTTTTAAAAAATGTTGTTAGAAATGACACATTCAAATGCAAAAAAGGTAAATTTCTCTTCCATTTCACTTGCACTTCACTTGATCTGTAATCAAATGCTGCAATCATATGCGTCTTTTCTGTTCTGAGTTTTCGAGCACTGTATCATGTAATTTTATCTACTTTTAACAATTTTAACACACTAAACAAAGAACATGGGTGATACAAATTCAGAAGCTTTTCTTGTCCCTAGACGTTTTAGAATCCTTTTGCTCACAAATCAAAATAAGCATTTTCAGACAGGATATAACCTAAACAGTCATTTTCTGGAACGATGTTTTTCCCCTTAAACCTAAGAGCAACATTTTGCAGATTGTTTTGGGAAACAAATTCTTAAAATTAATAAAAATCACGTGTGCTCATTATACCATTTTTATGGGTAAATGTGTGTAGCCATTAGAGAATTTTTCAAACACTGTCTAAATACACAAAAATGAAAGGGCATCTAGAAATCTTTATTTTGACCTTGCAATTCCCTTGCCCTCTTCATATCAAAGAAATCTTCAAACATAATTAAGGACATGAGTTAGAAGTATTTTTAAATGCTTGTTTTTTAATTTGTATTTTGAATTATGTCGCATTTTAGCATGAGGTGTAGGAATATTGGAAAAGGGAGGTTTTGGTTTGTTTTAAAAGTGTGAGTAGGTAATTTAAAATTATAACTACCCAGAATATAAGAATGAATTATTAAAATTAGAAAAAATCTCTCTGTAAGTATTTTATTCAGAATAATGGTATGTGCCAAGAAATCCCTGTATGTGAATAAGCTATTCATAAAATTATGTGAAATAATATTGGACCCAGATTTAATTTAATTTAAAATTAATATTGACGATTAGATGCATTACATGTAGATACTTTTATGTTTCTTAAATTGTAAAATATTAATAAGAAAAAAGGACTAAATCTTAATCTTTAATGATAGTTATTTAAGTAGAGTTAAGGTTAATAAAGAACTATTGGTACATCAAAAGAATTTTAATAAAAGTGTTTTGTGAATATTTAATATACACTTCAATGTAATGGTTAGAGGGAGCTACAGAATTTAAAAGTTTCTGTACACTTTTTTAAAGTTGCTAACTACTTAACTGCTATGTCTTTAATGGTATTTGAAGTGTTTTCTCATAAAATGTTCAGTATTTCACAAGAGCTTTACCTGTACATTTTTGTACCATTTTGACTCTTGCAATCAGAAACTTTAGTGCCTTGGCAATAATCTGTTTATTCAGGCAGAGTCCTGCTTGTATGTTGTTGATAGTGGAGTGGTATGAGAGACCTCCCCCTGTGCAAGGAGAAAAATGCAATTATTTTGTATTCTGAATCTTCTAACTGCTGCTTTGGAGAATAATATCTTATGATTTGCTCAGCAGAAGATCAGTGAGTTGATTTAGTCTCACTTTTTGTTAACAAAGCCACAACTGAATTCCTACTGTGGAGTCAGTGGAAATGTAGGCAGACATCAATGAGACATTCAGGCTGTGATTTTTCTTAACAGGTCCGTCAATGCACCCCTCGGAGTTAATGGCGGAGATGAGAAACAGTGGGTTTGCGCTGAAACAAAGTGTACTGGGGAGAAATGTGACTCTTTGTGATCCATCGCAGGTAATAATCTGTTTTCTCACAAAAAAACAACAATATCTATAGCAGATCCTGAATTTAAGTTTGATTGCTTTAAAATGGCCAATTATCCAAACCATAAAGCTCCCAGCCGCCCAAGTTTAGTCAAGTGGGCAGAGTTAATGAGACTAGTTTATAAAATTACAGGAAAGCAGAAATATCCTGCATTTGCTGTTTTTCCTCTCCCAAAGCAGTGATCAGCTGTTGTTTTTTTTGTCCTATAATCTAGACTTAAGTCAATTTCAGCTAAAAGAGAAAACTATACATATATATTCAGTGGTGGCCTGGGGTTTAGTTTCTATATGTATTATAGATGCTGTGTATTTCAAATGAATTTAATTGAGCATCTGTGTTCCCTACACATTTGCTTTCTGCTTTAGGAATATGTAGCCAGTGAAGAAGAGGAAGACCCTGAAGTAGAATTCCTGAAGTCTCTAACCACAAAACAAAAGCAGAAGCTGCTGAGGTAAATGTACAACAAATAGCCTTCAAGGAAGTTTCCTTTTGTGTTTCAGAAAAGTCATATTGATTCCTTGATTTTTGTGTTCCTTTGTCAACTGACATCACTTGCTATATGTTGCTTAGACATGTTTCAACTTTCTTGAATATCAATTGCTCATTGACTTCCAGAAATGCCATTAAAGTGAGTAGCACATTTGATGGGTGTTTGAGAAATAACGTTAGAAAGGAACACCCTCTTTGAGATAAAAACAACTAATCTAATAATTCTGGCAGATAAATATTGTGGATGGCTTAACATGGTATGTATGCACTCTCTCCCCGGATTATGCAAGACTCGTCTTACAAAAATTCGACTTTACGTAAAAACCTCCTGTGGATCTCCTAATGAACTCTCCCGAGGTAGAGAGAGTTTAAGATGCATGCATAAAAAGTAGTTCCACGAGTTCCTTTTTCAGGGGAAATGGCACAGAGTGAGAGTAATGCGGTCTCAAACAGCATCCTATTTTACACCTCAGTCTTACTTTGCCGTTGTGCAGATTTGGTAACTGCCACATAATATTTCACACTATTTCAATGAAAGTGTGGGATAATACGCATATTTCTGATGTACTTTATGAATTCTATTCTGTATTTAATTATTGAACAGTACTGTGTGGGATAATGAAATATACAGGTTTTTATAAATTTGGTAATTCTGAATTATTTGCTGTATGTATAAGTGGATTCTATGAATTATTCTAATTCTAGGGGTTTTAGAACATTTGATTACATTCACCGTTGTTTCCTCTCCCCCTGTGTAAAGGGGGAGGTTTCACTTGTCTCTCTACCCTATGGACTGTTAGCTGCTGCTACAGTCTCTCTCTTGCTCTCAACCTTCTTCTGAGATTAGCGCAAACACCTGTTAACCATTAAAGGACAATAATGGTGAGCCTGCAGTTGTACTCTCCTGTCCCGCCTTCCTCACTAACAGACACAGCTAGGGTAATTTAAGGAGGACTGCAGCAGTACCATGAGTGGTCACCCAACAGCTAAGAAAGGGTTACGACCAAACTTGTTCAGGCTACTTGAGGAACCTAACTCTTGCATAACTCGGGGCGTGGGTATATATGGAAAATAAACATGCAGAAATGTAACATTCAGAGGTTTAAATATAATTATATTATATTCTGAGGTCTGTGAAATGTAAGTAAATCGACAGGTCCCACACCTGACTCTGCATCTTGAAAATAAATCCATGCTTCGATTGCAGGTCAAGGTTTCAGTAACGAGATGGGTTTCTAGGTCTTGATACATAACCCCAAGATGGTGTATGCGGAGCCAGCAATTTAATTTCGAAGGTTAGAAACCAGCTTTGGAAAAAATATATACGATGATTTTGATCATTTTATTTAGAAAATGTGACGCAACTTGTACAACTCTTTTCTACTTGCTTTTCATCCCGATTCCTGTCAGTTTTTCCTAGGACAATTTAGTGACTGGTTAATCTTCATTTTCCCTTTCTTCCCTGAAACGAATTAGAATTTAGCGGTGCTTCTGAACTTTGCGTGTAGCTTTCTTGTGATCTGAATGTGTGCTGGAATGTCAACAACTGTCTTTCCTTTAACAAGGAAACTGGATCACCTTGAGAAGAAAGAAAAGAAGAAGAAGAGGAAGGGAAAACAGAAGAAGAAAAAAAGCAAGAGCAAGCACAAGAAGCTGCAGAAAAGGAGCAGCAGCAGCAGCAGTGACTCTGACTCCGACTCGGACCCCGAGTCCCACAGGAAGCGCCAGGCCGAGGGCCAGAAGAAAAAGAAGAACAAGAAGAGCAGAAGAGATTCTTCCGCAGACAGCAGTGCCGACAGCGAGAGTGAAGACCGGTCACGCAGCAAGAAGAGAGCCGCAGCACGTACAGGGAGGCAGAAGAGGAGCCGCAGCCCCAGTACTGATAGAAGTAGGTCAGGAAGCAGAAAGGTCCAGGGAGAGAAAAGGAGAGACGACAGACACGTGCCGAAGCAGAGAAGCGGGAGTCACGGCAGACAGGGGGACAGGGAAGACAAGGACAAAGGTGGCAAAAGCAGTAGCACTCGGGAAAGTCACAAAAGCAACAGCACCGAGGGGGTGGCAGGAAATGGCCCCCAACACAGATGTCGGAGCAGAGAGCGGCACGCAGACAGAGGGGAGAGAGTCAGGAGCAGGAGCAAGGAGAAGCACAGAGAAAGAAAAGGGAGAGACCGGAGTGATAGTAGAGGGCGGCACAGGAGCAGAAGTGGCAGTCCAGGGAGAGAGAGACCGAGGAAGAACTGTGAAAGACGGATTTAGAGAGTGCAGAGAGTTCTCAATAAAGAGGGATATTGAATACAAACAGAGGGGTTGAACGTCTCGAAGATGGCAGAGACTGCTCTGAAGAATCGAGTTTTGCTTTGCTTTTATTGTTTTAAACATTGACTTGCACCCTTTTTGTAAGTGCTACCCCTGTATTTGGCCATGTTCCTGCATTTGGACAAATATTGTACAGCAGTGTTTAATGTTTTTGCTGCATTTAACAGGGAATAAAAACAGCTGCATCAATTAAAATGCCTTGTGTTCATTGTAAACCTGTGTTGGAAATATTAAAGGATAGTACCATGAGGAATCCTCAGATGGATTATTGATAAAAAAACATCCAACTTTATGGTTGTTTGTATTGCCAGTTATGATTTGGTTTTGCTGTTATTGGTCCTTTTTATGGTGAAAACTTTTTTTTTACTTGGAATGGCTAATTGTTTTTTATTATAATCACCTAATTTGAAATTGCTCATTGCTACAAACCCTGTGGCTGCACACAGGAGACCGAGCAAGTGTAGACTGACTCCTCTGAGCCGCTGGTCTTTGAACTCATCATATGCAGCACAGCCACGTGCAGGAGGATCTGTGCTGATTTGAGGAGATGTGCACACTTTTCTTATACAGCCCCGTATGCTTGCAGGTGTCTTGGAGTGTGCTAGGGTCTGTGTGTTGCAGAGAGACCCCTTGTCCACACATTCCACCCTGTTCTCGGTGGGACTGAGCAAATTTTGCACCTCTTCTTGAAGAATGCATTTTGGTTTAGCATCAGGACTCAGGATCAAAAGGCAGTGGTACTTCTTGAGCCAGGTGGGACAACCCGGCTGGAAGGAAATGTATTCTTTCTTAACAGACCACAAGATTTATTTGGTTGAATATGATCGTAGGTTTAGCTCAAAGTTTTTCTCACCTGATCACAGTTCAGCGATTAGTAAAAATATTAGGTTAAGTCGTATTCGTGTGCTGTGATTTTTTTTAAATTCAGCCATTCTATATAATTGTGGTTCCTTCGCTTTCACTCTCTGGCATGGGGTCATGAAAGACCACCATTATCTCCCATTCCAGAATTTCACATTTTCGTCCTATAACTTAATATAACTGAGATGTAAAACTGAGGTCCTGACTGTCCGTAGTCGTTAGAAATCCCAGAGAATTTCTCCAAAAACAAAAGTAGGGGTGTAACCCTCATATCCTGGCAAATTTCCAATGGCCCTTACCAATCATGGCCTCCTAATCCCATCTATGAACTGGCTTCATCACTCTGTTCTCCTCCCCACTGAGAGCTGATGTGTGGTGAGCATACTGGTGCACTTTGGCTGCCGTCACATCATCCAGGTGGGGGCTACACATTGGTGGCAGTGGAGGGCAGTCCCCATTACCTGTAAAGTGCTTTGAATAGTGTCCTATGTATGTGTTATATAAGTGTAAGTATTATTAAGGATTGTTTATTATAATTTGTCATGCATGTGAATACATTTTTTAATCTACATCTTCAACAAAGCGTGTCTGTGGGGTTCCCTGGTCCCCAGAGCTTGTGTTTCACACATTGCAGGGAAAACTGAGTGTAAAAGGCAGGACAACAGATCTGGTCTCTTCACACTTCACCAGGAATGGGAATTACTGGTCTTGCAGAGCTGCTGTATCTGCAGGTTTTCTGTATTTCTCCAAATAACCAGGTGTCAAAATAGGTAAAAGAAGTTATTAAATTGATCTCCTTAAGTCAATAATTTGATTTAGGTCATTAAGATCCAAGATGGAAGGAAAACCTGTAAACACGCCAGCAGGATCACTGCAATCTGGTACAGACACATCTCAGGTAGGTGAAGACATTTCTTGGGATTCTAGAAAACCTAGGCCTTTGAAAACCCTGGCCATCGGGATAGCCATTTTAATTTTATTCCTTTTTTGACTACTCAGAGATGTGGTGTGAAAAGACTCTTCCATTTCTGCTTTTGTGGATATCGCTCATTCACCACTGTTTCTTTTTTGTTGATTTGTGATTCATCACTGGGCTCATCAGTGCTGCAGAGGAAATTGTGGGTGGCTGGTGTTACTGTGCTGAAAGAAAGGTCTTGGGACAGTGGGTTTTCTCCTTCTTCTGGCCCACGTTGTCCGGGAAGAGGACTCTCTGACAGTGGGATGTGAAGACTTGTTGACCTTGCCCCTTAATAATCCTATGTGAGGGAGATTCTTGGGGTTCTCTTTCATCGGGAAGGAATGGGGTTACCACCTGGGAGGAAGTGATGGGGTGGGGGGTTTGAGGGAGAAGATGGGGGTTTTGTGTTTAATTGTTTTGCTTTCCCCAAAATAGAAACCATTTCATAAACAATACTCCAGGCTGTCTGTATTCTTCAGAACTACTGTTGTGCTATGGTAAAAAGCCACTGTGTTAAAACTACATTTTAATCAATTCTTAATTGTGTTTGCCTTTACTTGGCAGAGAGATATACGAATGATTCGAGCACAATTAAGTGGGAACGACATTTTGCACGTGTCGATTTAATTCACACAGCTTGGGAAATGTCTTATTTTGTAAAATTAATGTAAAGTCAGGGTGGAAAATCCTGAAAAGGTACAAGTGTCGGTAGTCTTTAATGACAATATATTTCTATAATAATAGTAAATTTCAATTTTTATACTGCATTTCTTTTAGGAATTTTACATTTAAATATTTTCCGAAAAATCGATTAAATTCGAGAACTGTCGAAGTTGAGAGGGGTTTGCGTACATTGTAACGTACAAACCCACACTTCCTAAGTAGGATTAAGTGTAAAAATATATTCACGATTGTATTGACTTGTTGTATGTTATTGTACCCATTCCTACTCTTACGTGGGGTTTCTCTGCAGAGTGTAAATTATTTAAAGATTCACAAATATTCAGAAGAGACCATTTCAATTGCAACTCCGATACAAAGCTGATATCATCTTAATTCCAGCATTTGCCTGGTTTGAAAATGGATGGCTCAGTTATGATGTTTCCAGCAGAGGGAGCTAGTGCATTCATCATGTAGAGAATACTTAAATACTTAAAGTTTGTTTTGTTTTCGTAGTGTTTAGACATTTAAACATATTTTCTCTTTAAAGATGATGCATTTTCAAAAAGATGTATAATGTATATCCCGCCAATTTTTTCATCGAGACGTACATTTGTATTTTTAATTTAACTGAAGTCGAGTTGAAGATTTGACGATTCATCTCTTTTCCTTTCGTCGTTAAATTGCAAATATTCAGGCAAGGGTTTTATAAAAAATGCCGCAAATTGCCGGTAAATTGCAACTTCAGAGTTTTAAATCATTTAAATTGTGTGCCAATATTTAGTAACAATCCCGGTGTGTGTATTATACACAGACAAGATACAGGCTTCATCGGCGTCATACCGCTTAAAACGAAACTGAATAACATTTTCTGTTTCTTTCAATTAATCGTACATGTCGCTGTATTGGTAGTACTGATAAATGGAAAGTTCAAAACACAACAATGCCGACAGTTTTTACGATTTATTTGCCATTTAATACTCGCTGTTCTGGTATTCGGTGTTATATACGAGGCCCTTTAAATTCTGAAAGCGTAAGTTTAATTTAAGTTCAAGTCAAGCAAGTTCAGTTATTCGTCCTAGCATATGAAGCAGAAGGAAATACAAATAAAACATGAAAAATGTGGAGGCTAAATTATAAATCCAACTTGCTTGTCGTTATTTAAATGATAGTTGCGTTAGTTTTAGCTATAAATCTCTTCCAATTTCTTCAACGCTAATCTAGAAGATCCATTAATAATATAGTATTACTTGAAATTCCGTCGTGATAAAAGCTTTGTCTTCAGATTTATTATCTGTTCAATAGCCTCTCCTGACTCTAACACCCGATTACCTGAACTACAGCGGAATGTAAATATGGGATCCCGCTGAACTACATTGATTTAGAAATCTATTGACAATTGTTTTGACTTCCCACTTATTTCTGACACGTATTATCGTAAAGCCTTTTACATGTAATGGTCATTACTTACTGGGTTTTTATAATACCACCTTACAGAAATTTCATTCATTTTACACGTATCACCAATTGCATTCCTTCGTGTGTATTTTAATATGATCAATTAGACCTTAACGTTCAAAAGACTTAAAACCAGTCACATCAAAATTATTAAATTGGTTTTCGGTTTAATGAAAAATGTATTTGATGTCATTCGATATGGAAAACGCATTTATTTTTTTCTTACAGATTTGTAGCATTTTTGTGATGACATTATGTGAATCAAAACTTGGCCGTGTTCTGATCACAATTGAAATTCAAATGTGAATTTTATTGATTCGAATTGGAAAAACCTGTAGATCGCTTTTTATGTCTATTGATTGTTATTGATGCCACGCTTCGCAAATTTCCAAACTGCATTTTTTAAAGAAAGACAAAACCCCTCTAAACCAAGTCTATTTATTTATGATAAATTGTCTGACTATAAATAAGGAAAAGAGACACTTCCTCTGACCCTTTTATTGTTTTTGAGTGGGGTGTTTAACAGAATCCATATGAACTCGTTGAAATTATAAATTAGATCGGTGTGCCTTAAAATGTATTTACCGTACCACTTACCTTTATACATTTACAGATGTAATTAAAGAGATGAAATGCTATAAATTGGTAAATCGCAGATTTTCGATATAATGTGCTCAAAAACTGGTCATGTAGAAATGATACTCGCAATGTGATTTTTGGCTTCACCGCTAATGAATAACGAAGAGTCATTTCGTGAATAGACGCTTCTGACAGAGACCCAGTTCAGAAGTAAAGTCGGTATTTATGTACAATTTATTGCGCCCTCGAGGTCTATATCGCTCATTCCTGCTAAAAACAAGGTGCAGTCATGCAGTTGGAGACGTTCAGGCAAATGAACTTGACAAGGCTTGCTGCAGTACTGATGGAGAATTTATTATACATTTTGCTCTTTTTTTTGTTGGAGGGATTACCACGAAAATGTTAGTTTTCCGCTCTCCCGAACTAATGTAAAGTAATAGCTAAGATGAGCAAGGGAGTCGAAAACAAAACATTTACAACTGAATTGACGCTGTAACACAGTCAATACAGGTTTCCAACAAGACTCACCCGTTAAATCCGACGCATTCACAAACAGAGTATAAGAACAATTTAATTTAACCGAGAGGTTAAAAAATTAACATAATCTGCTTACTTTGTTCATGTAAAAGACACATTACACACCAGGTCCACCTGGTCATCGCATCAAGGTTTCCCTTCAATTTCACTTCGCAGCGCAAATACATCTACATCAGGAATTTAAGGTGAATCAGTACGTGCAGATGCTGATATATATTGTCTATTTCCATCTCTTCAGCTAACAAACAACAATTGAATAATCCAGCCATTAAGAGGAAAGAAATAACGTCTAACATTTAGAAATACTGTAGGTTTCTCTTCAATATAACGAGGCTCACCTGAACGCTAATAATTGCTGACATTTTATTTTGATATTAATGTCTTTATGTTTCTCAGTTGGTTGAATTCGATTGCTTTTCTTTTAAGAATCGAGTCCATCGATTTGGTGGGGTGGATAACACTTTATTTTTTCTGTTTAAATACATCTGGGGTCAAATAATACGTGATTTCCAAAATAGGTTTGCTACGAGAACGCAAAATCCTTTTACTAACGTTGATGTATTGACTGTTTCCGTGCATTTAACGATTTCGCATTTTTTTTTCTGAGGATTTTCACCAAATTCTGAGGTCTATGGTACACCGCACTTGAAATTTAAATTAATATTTATTAGGTCTTGTATTTATGTTGTCATTGATTAATTCTTCCTCTCTAGCTCATTAGATTTCGATTAAGAATGATTTGATGTTAATGTAATTAGTATGTAATTCTGATGTACATAATTACTGTAATTACAACACTCAGGTAACCCGGTTTGTGCTAAAAGGTTAGCTTCAAGCTCCAATTGGTTTTCTCCTTGACGACGCTGTCTATTTGGAAGCATGTGTGCATTTTTGTGGCGAAAATGCCCAACTTTCTCAAAAATTAAACTGTATGCGTACTCTAAAAACGTGATGAACAGGTTTCCCAGGTGTAAAAAAAAAACAGGCGTCTCTATCGCAATATAAAACACTAGCTCACAATGAATGTTGTCCAGAGTTCGGAATATCAGAACCCAAGAGCCTTTTTTAATTCATATTTGTAATCGTTACCGAAGACGATGGCGAGAACCAAAATACATTATTTTTAGGAAATATGTAAATGAAAAGAAGTTAATGTTGCGGTTTATTTTTTCCCAATGATGTGATACAAAACTAAACATACACAATGTATACTTGTAAATAATACCGTCATTCCATAACTGTAAAATATTTGTCAATTTAAATGGAGTATCTTCCGATGAAACAAGCCCAATTTTTCTTTGTTGTGAGTAATTTGAGAACGTTTAAAAAATCGATTCAGAAGAGATAGGTCAATGGCCTCATTATACCTGTAGGTGTCGCTAATATGTTGAAAATGCATTTTTGCCTCGAGAAAAAATGAAAACTAACGTGTCGTCGCGCAAACAGAATCATAATCATAAACATTTTTTTCGAAAATTATAGAAACGGAAGGCATGCAACGCCAAAGAGCTTTATTAGTTGTGATACGGATACTACGAAAAGTAAAATGATAATTGCTTTTAATTTATAATGTTGAACCGATTTCACAAAAAGTTCTCTTCTTTACATATGTATGTTTTTGCCACATAAACCGTTCAGTACTTACATACAATCTTGCGTTAAACTGTCATTTTTTAAAATAGGTGTTCTTTTGTTATATGCCATAAAGTCCGCTATTAGTGTTATCATTTTCTTGAATGCATTTGTATTGTATCTCATGTATACTTGAAAATCACATAGCATGGCAACTGTATCTTTTCCAATAACATTCAGTATTTTTTTTCGATTGAGCTATTTGTTCTTTCCTTCATTTCATACATTGTCACTTAAGTTTCCCAATACAACCAGCTACAACTAAAGACAAATGTGAAGCGTTTTCAACTGTTCGCAAATACTTTCCCTGGAAGAGTGTGACGTGATGGACATTTTCTGACCCGGGGAAGGCGAAGACATCCTCGCTAGCTCCTTGATCACTGAGCTGGGGTAGTGTAACCTTGCGCCCTGTCAGACAGGACCCGGACTCTTCCCTTTGATCTCTTTTTCATTGTTGCTTGAAAACAAAACCGACTTCTGCCCAACACCCAGCAAGAGCGCATTCCAGAGAAACTTAACAAAAGCAATAACTGACAACAGTCACTGTCCGCAACCCCAGGCGACTCTTCTCCCAAAGATTTCACCTCACTTAGATCATGTCGAATTCAGTCCCCGTTTGTAAAACTTAATGGCACCATATAATTGCTAAGTGTGTGTCACTTATGTCGTTCAATTAACTTTTTTTCCTTTATCGACAGATATCGTTAAAAATATCACCATCCTTCTCTAAAAGCTACTAAACGACGCATTTTTGAAAATGTGAGTTGGAGGATTCTTGTGTATTTCCGATATACATTTGCATTTTTTATATGTGCAGAATTTAACAGCTGTTCCTAAGGCCGGCGTAGAACGCCATTTAAACGTTTTGTTTACTAAATCGAGCTGATCAATCATAATACGTTTTAATAATGTTGTATACAAACCTTTTTAACATTTAAGAAACTTAAATTTGTTCAGATCGACACACATCTGAAGCCTAGAGAATGGCAGTATAATTATTGGTGATGACTTGTCGTATACAGGTTTTCCTTATCTTAGCAATAAAGCCGGCCGTCAGAACACAAAGGGAAATGAAAATAATTTTCGTCTAAATAATTGCCTTCTGGTCAATTTAACAGTGCCGTTTTGAAAGAGATTTTCTAAATGAGATTCCTGTCCCTAACGTGTTCCCAGGCCTGGGCTCAGACTCTAATTATTCCTTGGATTTTTTCTTTAGAATCGGACGCTGCACTGGGTAATCACAAAGAAGTCAGAGAGCATCCTTGAACCTTTTCAATGCGGAGCTACTGATATTCAAATAACATGCAAGCACCATTTGACTGCGCAGCGACATAAGCATTTCAAATTCACCATTTGCATATATCTTTTTTCTTTTCAAAAGAAATGGAACAGTTGCCTTCCCATAACATCAAATCAAGTGTTGCGGGGTTTTTTTTTTTGGCTTTAAACCGCTTCACGTTTATTCTTGGATTGCCATTTCTGCGTTTGACATGCAAATGGCAGCAGTTAATTTGGACAATTAAAATAGATATTCAAGGGAGCTTTGTCATCGCGGTTTTCCCTTCGGACAAGCTCAGATAAAGTTGGGCAGAACAAATGATGTCTAGCAGATTAATTAGATATTTGATAAGACATGAATCCCTAATAGGGAATACAAGACACAAGAGGCTGCTGTGTGCTCTAAGTCAAAATTAATAACATTTAACAAGATTTTCATTTAGGCATGAAATGTCTGTTCCGGGGTATTAACTACTGATATATTCCACAGAGGAAAAAGCTAAACGTCAATCCGTGCGCTTGTATGAGCTTTTTAGCAGCCGCATGTGTGTGATATGATTGATTTTGTAAGTGTCTAACTGCTGTTTTGCTAGATTTCCCATTTCCGCGTCTCTGTTTGCATTTTCAATATTGCAAAACAAAACGTACTGTCATGCAACTAAAGTGTTCAAGTAACCAAAATGAAAAATGTTTTTTGCGCCTCTTCCAAAAAGAGGTGTTTGAAAAACACCACATCTAGACAGTATACTGTATATAACCACAAATTAGTTTTAATAAAATACCAAAAGCTCTAGACGTGATGATTAGATCCCTTTAATGATAAGAAAATGAAAAGCTTATACTTGAGAAATTTTATACAAGTAAATGTTTATAATCTCTTTAAAATATGAGAGGCTCAATTACTCGAAGTAAAGAAATGATTAACTCATTTAAATAGCCGTTTACATACATACTGATATCCACAAAGTGCATCGAAAGTAAAGGAAATTCCCTGAATTTCAGGACCCCAACCACGGACAAAACTATTATAATTAACATTTACAAGAAAAAATAACATGTTTCCTTATTAATATCGTTATCTGTACAGTGAATGTCAACGTTACACACTGATAGTCCCACCAAGTTCATCATTTTTGCTCACCTTTTGTGCAATGATCCATACAAAAAAAAAAAGTCATTCGTTTAAGCTCTTTACAACACAGCTTGTCTTGAAAATGTCTGAAAGACGAAAAGTCTATTCTTACACAATTGTGTTTTAATTGCGTTTTATCTCATGAGATGTTCGGCATCCGTAAAAGTTTTAAAAACGTTCGGATTACTGCGTAGTGCGAAGTCGCTTTCACTATATATATATAAAAACGATTCGTTTTTATTTATTTTTTTTAAAAAAGAAATCTTCTTATTGACCACCTTGTGTTGAGAGGACTACTTGTTTCGCAACTTCCAGACCCGTTTTTTTTTAATTCTTTTTAAATAAAAGGTGTCGTGTTAGGTGAGAACGAATTACTTTTTCAGAATGTCAGGTTAAATCCGGATTCCGCTTTCTCGGCGTGTTTACGACTCGTTGTTCTGTGGAGTGGAGTCTTTGCCCGGCACTCTGCCAGAGTTCACCCCCTCCAGAATGAGTTCCGGTGACTCGGATCTGGGAGTTTCCAGGTTACTGGTGTCGGTGTCACTGTCGCTTCCCTTTTTGCCTCCTCCGCCGCCGTTGTGGGTTTTTATATGCTTGCTAAGGTGGTCGCTTCTCATGAAGCGTTTGTTGCACACCGGGCAGGCGAACCGCTTCTCGCCCGTGTGAGTGCGGAGGTGCCTCTGCAGTTCATCGGACCGCGTGAATCTTTTCCCACAAAAAAGCCAGTTGCAGACAAACGGCCTCTCTCCGGTGTGCCATCTCAGGTGGGCTTTGAGGTGGGACGTTTTGCCGTATACTTTGCCGCACCCGGGTATGTGGCAGCTGTGAAGACCCTTCCTTCTGAGACTGGCTCCAGCTGGACCCAGCCTTTCCGCCTCTTGGCAGTTGGGACAGTCGCACGTTGCCCTGCCCGAGTACCTCCTGGCAGACCTGGCCGAGCCCCCTATGCCCGTGCTGGCTCCCGAAATCATGGCATTGGCTGTGGTGGAGTCCGTGTAGGAGGGAATCACGGTTTTGAAACCTTCCTGTGTCAACAGGTGCTGGCTGGTGGACAGGAGGTGAGACGCTGTGGGGCTTATCCCGGTGGAGCTGAAGGCGGAGTGCGTCAACGTGGAGAAGTCGGGGTTGTACCCGCTTAGCTGGGAGTGCAGGGTGGCTTGGGGGCTGCCCGAGTGTAAAGAGGTCTGAAGAGTGCTCGCCGGGTTCTGAACCTCCAGCCACGAACTGGGGTTGGTGTGAACATCCCACCAGGAGGAAGCGCCGTTGGCGACCTCGCCGGAGATGGTCGAGTGGAAGCCCGATTTGTACCAGGACTCGTACGGATGGGCCATGCCTACCCGGGGGTACAGCGTTTCTGCCGAGGTGTGAACTTTCGAGATGAAAGCGGACTGTCCCGGCTCTTGCGACGAGACGCCGGCCGAGTTCGAGAAGAGGCTGCTGTACTCGGTAGTAAACGCCGAAGAGGTCGGGGAGGTGGACGCCAAGCAGAATGCGCTGTTGCCTGTGCCGGTACTTGTAGTTAGTCCCGTGGATCCCCTGCTGGTCGCTACGGCGAACCCAGAGAGGCTGGATCCCAAGTTGCAGCTCGAGGAAGACCTCTTCCAGGGATGAAATCCGCCCTTTGCGAAAGCGCTTGAATCAGGCAGAGTGGTCAGAGGACTCGTGTTACCAATTTTGTTGCAGGTTGCAGCGAGCATGGCTAAAGGCGTAGTTCCAAATCGTGGTTCTTCCTGGCAAAGGGAAAGTTTGAGACGGTTACGCGAATCTCTCACACGGGCTGGATCTGGGGACGAATTTCTCAAAAGATGTTCCTTTGTGTCCGCAGGTGCGTGCGGTGTTCAGCGCGAAAATCGATTAGCATGTAAAATCTCATAAGCAACTAAAATATACTAATCTTTAGCAAATCGCAACACACACAGGCAGTCCTGTTTCAGTCTTAGTATAAGTTGTTATAATAATAATAATAATAAAGAAAATTCTATTTTATTCTATAACTATGCTGCATTATTTTCTGATGGTGAAAACCTTAACCGTGCTTTAAATACGTTCTACTATTCAAAAATTGAAATGATCTTCTAACATCTAAAGTAATGGAAAAGAATCTCGATGTCGGAAGTCAACATGAATAAATCAGTCTTGTTCGGCAGAAAAGCCAGACAACCGCGTTCACCGACAGAAAAAGAAATACAATGTCTATAGGAAATCTTTACCGTCGGTGAGATGTTCCAAAACAAAGAAAAGGTTTGTATGAGCGCATCAGTTGTCTTCCGTGCAAAGTAAGTGAAATATTTTTTTTTTTAAATGTAAATAAGCAAAAGCGAAAACAGTTCTTTTTGTGACTTACCCCAAGTATAGACGTAGCCATAGCCAGGGCCTGCGTTACTCTGAATTAAGAGCTACAAGAGGCGACTGCGCTATATGACAGAGTTTGATCAGACTTCCACGACGTTTTACTCAACTTACACAAGTGACTAACTACACTCTTGGCTCCGAGCTCCTAACTCTACCTAGTTGTAGAGAGCGCGTGCTTTGAAGTACAGCTGGCCAGAGCACCCAGCCAATCTAAGCGCTGCAATGCGCCGCCAGGAGTACAGCTCGGCCAATAAGAGATTCAGAAATGACAGAAGTAGCACAGCTCCACGTCAATCAATAACTGTTGCACGGAGCTTTCTCCTTAGCGCCCAGACCATTGTATTTTTATACGTTTCTTTTATACACATATGTATTGGCCCATCATAGATTTCACTTCGATATATTTCAATAGACACCGTTTCTCTAAATGGGTAAGCCGTGCTATGCTGAAGTATCTGGAATATCTGTAGCGCTTGGAGGGACATATTTTCTCATTTCGTTTCCGACTGTAGATTTAGAGAGCCTATTTATGTTTGTGCGTATGTAGGTAATAATTTAGCATTGCTGTTTGAGAATTAAGCTTTATGTGCACAGACTGCACATAGTGTCTAGGTCTTTTTTTTTTAAAGAAATGTCAAACCTGCAAGGTTTCTGCAAGTCTGTTCGGATATTTAAGAGTGTTTGACGTGCTTGACTGCAGATTAACAGGACATATACCGTACAGCGTTTAGGGGGAAAATGACAATCTTGAGATATGCACTACGTTTCAATGTGGTAGCTTCTAGATTCTACTCTATGACGTAATTTTCCTTTGGCGAGCAGGGAGAGAGTTTACTTGCTCAAACTTCTTTTATTAGCAGTTGACTTTTAAAACACTGATCGTGTTGAACTGGGGGCATGTCTAAAAGGCTATACACAATTATTTTCGCTCGTGCATCCACACAATTGTGTCCATAATCGAAGACGACACTTTAATTCGGGCACTTTTGTAAAAACTCTGCGCCTTCAAAGCGTGCCAGTTGGACCGATTCCATGGATTGTAGCACGCTAAGCGGTTCTTTATAAAGAAATTGCACACGCGCCCAGTTCCCATCAGTGAATCGCAAATTGAATTACCAACCTGAACTCTACTTCAAGCATGAAACAAACTGGGTCTTACCTACGGTGCCAGTAATCTCGGTCATACGGATTTCTCGTCGCCGCTGGATAATTCGTCGGAAGAAAAACAGAAGACGCGTGTCAATCCCACGAGCACTACAGGATCACTCACAACAGGTGAATCCTTTTTTTTTTCTCTCGTGATTTAACTTAAGGTCCAGGTTATTTATGCGATTTAGAGGTGTCATATATATGTAGAAATAGAAATGACTGTGAGGTGTTCTGACCAGCCCAGAGGCAGGAGAGGGAGGAGTGAAACGATTTTTTGTGAAAGACAAAAGTAAAGCGACAGCACGTGTAGTGTTAAATAGGTTTAACCCGACTCCAGTGTCTCCGTGTGCTGGGCATGTTTACAATAAATGATGAATAATCTAGATCCTTATTATTTCAATTGCACGCACGCTTCATTTTGTTCATGGGCTGCTTGCTATATAGGTATGGATCAGCCTGGTCGGTGACGTACTTAATAATCCCGTAAAAAGATATTTGCCCAACGCCTTTTTAAGATCTTTGGCGAAGGAGATACGAATCGCCTGCGTGAAACAAGAAGGAGTTACGATTAATTGAAATTTTGAACAAATATTCTGCGCAAGCCTTTCAAGAGTCATCTGCATTCTATCAATGGTTATGTGTTTTCCACTTAAGACTTTTTTTTATAAAGATCAATGCATTATGCCAATGTGTTTCACAGGCTGTTAAAACATTTAGGGGTAATGACAATGTAACAATGGCCCGGTTTGGAGTGAATCATCATCCTTTTAAAAGTTAAAGCAATTTTCGGGAGAATGGCTTTCAGCGAAAAGCTGTACATTACAGTATTCAAAACGGCCAAATAATGCTCTATTATAGCGCCTGAATGCTGCCAGTCAGTCCAAGTGCAATTTGTGCAAAGGCTCAGTGCCTTAAATCCCCACCTATGGAGAGGTGAATATAAAACAATTTCTTCAAATCCCAGGCACGGAGCTCAGAAAATTGCTTCATTTCTGCAATCATGGCAATTTGACTGGAGAGCAATTAGCACTATTAAATGTCGATTCTGCATAAACAAATTCGATTGAAATGCAAAAGTGCAGAGGACCTCGTGAAAAAAAAAATATCATGTATCTGTATATACAGTCACACTTCGATAGATTCTTAAAGCGATCATTAATAACTACATCAGAAATATTTTAATATCTCCATAGTCACATTATTCAGTCTCTCATGCCTTTTAGTAATTGTTATGCCTCTTAACCCACGAACATGATAAACGTGAGATAACTACAAGTCTACTTATTTTAAGAAAAGCATTACAACATTTACAATTACCTATTATTGTAAGGTTTTCCTTTATTACAGGAATTTAATCTATGTAAGTGTATTTAATGTTACACATCACATATATGGTGTATATACACGAATGCATTATCAGATATTTACCTATGTGCGCCATAGTGTATCATGGTAAATGATCTTAAACCTTTGCATTTCTTCTAAGGTTAAAAGAGCCTGCAAATTAAAAGGAGATCGTTTGTCAAAGAGAGGAAGATGAATGTTCTAGCAGAGTGTGGGGTTTTAATTAGAGTGATTATTCTGAGATTATTCAACATACTACTGGCTATTCAGTCTGCTTTGAAATGCATTTCACAGAAAAAAGACTATTTTAATGAACATCTCTATGTCTGAAACTAGAAAAATAAAAGATAATTGCCGTTTGGATTTTTAATTTTATATAAAGATATATCTAAATTGGTCCTGTTTGCTTTTTAATGTTTTCAGTTTTCACATTATTTAAAAACATACCTCAGAGAATATGTTGCAAGCGTTATTATAATCGAACACTAAAGTTGTCAGTTATTTCACCTGTATCATTTCTTGATCGTTTCCATTTCTATATATAATTCCACAGAATTTACTTTACATCTGCTACAAGTGGCGACAACAAAAATACTAGAATTTAGTAAACGCTCCTGATTTAGTATTTTTCTGATTATCTGGTACTGATTATGATAATGTTATACAAACTACTTTTCTCTCACTCTCTCGAACTATTTTAATAGGTCATATAGTTTTTTTCTTCTTCTCACTGTTGTTTACACTCGATGTTCATCTTCATGTGTATTATGAATTAAACAGTCACTGGCAAATAATGTCAGATATACATTTATGAAGCTATCGTTTCTTCATTTGTTTGAAATGACCAAGACTGCTTATTAATTCGTGGGTTTTATTTAATTTGCTAATAAAGATATGATAGGAACAGTCACGCAGGACGCAAAGATATAGGTGAGGACGTAACACTTCACGTTCAAATACGAGAGAGTGCCTTTTTCTGGTGGCAATTAGGAACCCATTACAAGCCATTAGATTGATCAATGTACCTTAAACAATGCGAATGATTTATTTGGTTGGAACAAAACGTTCTGCATCTATTGTAGTGAAGCTGACTGAAAGAACATCCATCACGGCGATAAACAACAAAAGATAAATGATTAATCCTGGCCTATTTATTATAATACTTCATACAAAGGCATTTCGACTTCCTTAATTTCTAGATTATTATAGTCTCGTTTTCAGTATGTTAAACGACCCAGGGTGCTAGATTTAAGAAACATCTGAGAGGAATACTCTACTGGTTGCCGAATGGATTAATTCAACATTTGCCTTGAGGTGAAAACCTTATTTGTAAACAATTAAACACCTAATCTTTTCTGCCTAATCTTAAAAAAGCCCCGTGAGCGCAATCTGTTTATTTGAAGAACCTGTTTTGATCGAAGTTTTAAAAAAAAATAGTACGGAATTAAAATAATGATATGACAACTAAATTAAACAGAGGGCATAAAATAAACAAGATGTCACGGCAGAGAAATCAAATCGTGAATCATATGAAAAATATGAATAAACCTTAAATTGTAAAGTATCAAACGTATAAAAATAGCGTTTATCTTCTGTTGTTGGAACAGGTCAGTAAATTACGTTCAAATGTTTTTTTTTTCCTGGAAATCTGTACTTCAATCTAATGAAAAGAAGTGCGCTAGTGTACAGCAGTGTTCTCCATATTGTGCGTTTTCACCTGAAAGGGTGCCTAATCAGATTTACAAGAACAACCTATATCTCTCTTAGCACTCATCTTTTCGGTGGAGAGGAAGAAGCTGGAATCTGTAGTAATGCGCTTATTTCCACATTTTTTTTCTGGTTTTCGGTAAAGTATGAATTCGCCAGGTTTAACCCTTCTGTGTTGACTGCACATGGATGGCTCGGTCTCTCGCTCCAGGACGGAGTCATAAGGGTACCCCGATTAAAATAACCTAGTTGTTATCAACATAGAGTCAGCTGCCCAGAACTGATCACCGCACTACGATCTTATCTTTTTTTAAATGATTACTATTTCTGTGAACGTCCCTTCACATATCAGCCTTTTGTATTCTTCGCTATTCACCTGCAGCCAAAGGGTGGTGTAGTACTGAAATACCTTTGTCGCAAGGTGTGTTCAAATATCTTATTTTATCTTCAAAAATGTTAGATCAGAGTTTAGCTCCGCTTTGTATTCAATATTATATGCAGAACACAATAACATGTTTTGTTATATTTTCAATTAGTGTAGTCACAATGTTGTGCAGATTACAATACTAAGTATTAATTTGGATGTAGCTTACTATTTCTCTGTGATTATGCATGTAAGTGCTTTGTCCCCTTTGTCTTAAATGTAGCGATGCAGAAGTGCAAAATACTGGATGCTAACTTTAACGTAAAAATGTAGGCTACACATTTGTCATTTTGCATTTGGAGAATGCTTGTTTTCTTTCTTGCCTTCTGAGTGCATTTCCTCATGGTGTCCTATCTGTTATTTCAGTTTTTGAAACAAACCTTCTTACCTTCTACACAGAAGTGATCGATGTGTTCGCAGCATATAAACCAAGATTTTACTGTTAAGTGTACTGTATTTTTTAGCTTTTGAGTCTCAAACCGACAATCGTCTTTATTAACATACATAATTTGACCATTTCGCATGTTATGTCTGTCGAGATATATTTTCAGTACGGAAATCAAATGGTAAATGTTTGCCTTGGAAACTATTATACTTAATCTGGCTAAGTAGAGCAATACATTTCACATAACGCCACATTATTACTGATCTATTGCAGCATGAAGTTGCGGATTGCATGCAAGTGTAAATGTATCCAACAATAGAGAAAATGACTCTGTTCCCCTCTGTATTACTTTGAAAATACTAGGTTATAAAGGTACGAGAGAATAGTTTAGCGATTTGCATTTCCTTGTAATGAAAAAATTGCTAGTGCTAGACTCCATTAATTAGAATCGTGGTAACATATTGTAACACAGGCCTGAAAGCCACAACAAACTTGCCATTTGTAATTGTGTAGTCTGCTCATAACGTGTTGTATATTTAATTTTTTATACATTGAGTTAATTTACTCTCTTTGAACGTCGCACTTTGAGTATTAGAAGTTCAGTGCCACGACAGATCTAGTGCCTTTGTGGATCCTAGTTTTGAAATGGCAAAAACTTTTTTTTTAAATGTTAGAACAGTCATATATCAAGTACTTAAATGTGAGGTACGGAAATATTGTTACCTTATTATTTTGCCTTCGTAGATATTACCATCAATCCCTTCCACTACCTTAATTCTTAGTTTTTGACTGAATATTTTAATGTTAAAGAGTTTGTAGTGATTGTATAAGTATACTTAATTTTCTCAGGTGCAAAATCTTCGATAACAAATAACACTGAGAACAGACCTCGAAGAGCTTATTTTTTAGAAAACGGGTCACATACAGTGTATGTATGTCTGAAACTAGAAAAGCTTGAATATTCATAGCTTGAATATTTTGTCCATATTGATGCCCTTTAAAAGCTATCACCTTGTTATAGCTAAACAGACATTGTTTAGGTATTTTTATTTTTTTTTATCCCTTTTTAAAATACTGTACTGACTAGACAGGCCTCAAAATCCACGGACGTTTTAATACACATCACTTAATGTAACAGTAGGTTGACAGTATACTGTTTGAGATTCGTGGTACAATAATAATTTCTAAAAAAAGAAAGGTTAAAGTTTCATTCTTTAATCTGGTGATTAAAATCCAGAATACATTAAAGAAATGGGTTAATTATACCCTCATTTACATATGAAAATAATGTGTAAAAAAATGTCACGTCTCTGTAATTCAGAAGAACCTCTTTAGCGTATATGTTCATAGGTGCGCATATTGTTTTTCAAACGGATATTTCCCCTTTAATAAAGATTTGAATATATTGTCTTTCATTGGATTTAGGGCGTGTGACAACATGTGTTTTGTGGGATTGGTTTTGAGTTCCTCTGGTATTTTTTCCTTATTCATGTTTATTACAACATTAACATTTGCTACTGTTTGTATTATTATATGTAAAAATGTGTTTTTTATTGTCGATAACACAATTATATCTTTTGCAATGGATAGTCTGTCCTCCACGCTGAAATATACTGAGCTGTGATAGTGGGTTGCCCTTTCTTACAATTTACAAATATAATACGAGTTCAGGCAATTATGCCAAGTTAAATCGTTTTTTGTCTATTAATGATTTCAATAACGCCTACTGAATTTGTTTCTGCATGAGGGCCATAGGTAACACCATGGGAACAGCAAAGGTGCCACTTTCTCTCAACAAAGTCCGTTTCTAATATACCCATTGTTTAGCTCTGTAGAGATCTGACAAGCCAAAAAGGTAGTTTACAATTCAACTCCAAATTTATGTAAGCTACAGTTTATGTACAGTTTACATACAGTTAATATAAAGAGGCCTCGATTTATGCTTGTATTTCTTCCCTTTGGAAAGTAAACTTTGTTAATGTTTCTTTTTAATGCCATCCAAAGATAAGGAAATACAAAGCCTCATGACTTTATAATATTCCGAGTTAAAGTAAATCCAAATCATTCCTTGGAAGCTACATTGTGTAATTACAGACAGAAGAAATGTTTACAGACTTTTTGAGGTTAATGAGATTCTATAAGAAAAAAATATGGCTGCAGTATACAGGACTTTATATTTGCTTAAATGCACTGTCTGTCATCTTAAAAGTGTCTTTATTGAGCTTTACTCTGGTTTTAAATCTGTGGTCCAGTCTTGGTGGTATTCAGCCTTCAAGCCTCCAAGCATTTTGTGTTCTGGTACACATGTAGGGATGTTACACTTAACATACCCTTAGCCAACCAAAAGACAACGCCTGTCACTTCTAACAAGATGAAGCGACTTCATTATTTTCCTTCCCTCTTACAATATAATGAGGTATGTTGACTCCATTCCATGAAACTGCAGTCTGAGAACGTACCCAGTGTTCAGTTTGGTTGGAGCAGGGGAAAGAGATTTTTCTCCATCTCTGGTGTGCTGACAGGAAGGCATCATTAGCATGGTAAAACCAGGAAGAAACTATTTGCTTCCCACACATTTGTCCTTTCTTTGTTATGTTTTGTTATGTTATGTATCTGTTTAATCTTTGGGAAAACAACTCTTAGACTTTGCAAGTGATAGAAGGCCTGCTATTGCTCATTTCAATGTTGCTATGTCTTTAACAGCACTTTTAAATAGAGGACATAACAGGTGTTAAACCAATGGACTAATTTAATGTTCATGTTTGCATGCAGGGTGAAAAAGAGATATTTTAACCTGTAATAATCACCTTGAATGTTTCTGTCACTACCGAAGGAAAATAACCACACTTTGTTTATTTTATCATTAGCAGATTTCAATAATAATAACTGCTTACACTTATATAGCACTTTTCTGGACACTCCACTCAAAGCACTTTACAGGTAATAGGGACTCCCCTCCACCACCACCAATGTGTAGCCCCCACCTGGATGATGCAACGGGAGCCATAGTGCACTAGAACACTCACCCCACATCAGCTTTTGGTGGGAATGAGAACAAAGTGACTAAGTCAATTCATAGATGGGGATTATTATTAGGTCATGATTGGTAAAGGCCAATGGGAAATTTGGCCAGGACGCCGGGGTAACACCACTACTCTTTTCGAGAAATGCCCCAGGATTGTTAATGACCACACATCTCAGCCAAAGGACAGCACCATTTTACATTTTACAGTATGGTGACCCCATCACTATACCTGGACATTAAGACCCACACAGACCACAGGGTGAACACCCCCTACTGACCCCACGTAACATCTCTTCCAGCCACAACCTTAGTTTATCCCAGGTCTCCCATCCAGGTACTGGCCAGGCTCACACCTGCTGAGCTTCAGTGGGGCTGCCAGGTGTGAGTTGCAGGGTGATTTGGCTGCTGGCATTATTTCATATTTCAGGCATTACTGACAACATCCTAAGAACAGTACAAAAATGATTTAATGGTGAGTTCTAAATTGGTTGTTTCCACTTGTAGAAGAGTATGTACATGCCTATAGTGGGTGGAAATTTTGCTGAGCTCATTGAATAATAATAACACCATTAAGTAAGCTTTTTCAAATTGTTTGTGGACTAGTACCAACATGCAGTGGAAGTTGGTAATAGTGATGAAAACTGCATGAATCAAAACATTCCCCAGACATCCATTAGTAACAAAAACTTATATGGATTTCTTTTTCCTACAATAGTTGCTGTTGTTGTTAGTAGAGTTTTTATAGTTGCCCTCCATATGCATTGCAGTAGATTAAATATGAATTCATATATAATGGGGGATGAACATTTACTGTAAATTTCTGAGCCAGTTTAGGAAATGTTCTGTTAATTGCATGCACAATTAGGAAGGGATTTCTCTTGTAATTTTCACACATGCCCGTGGATCTCTATTAATTGCCATTAAAAGCATTTAAATTTCCTGTCTATAACATGGTTTGAGGTTCCACGTGCATTTCGCAATATCGACGTATTTGTTTGAAACACACTACTACAGGCCTGCAGACCTTTTTTTGAAAAAAAAAAAGGCCAAATCCCGCGAACAGGCTAGTAACTGAAGATGGTGGTAGCTATCTGACTTATGCCATCCTTTTCTGACACAGGAACTCGACAACCTGGGTACGGATATTAAAATAGTTTCTGGTACTATCCAAAAGTTCTAGTGTCCTTTTCCCTGACGTTGTGTGTAGTGTTTGCATGAAGTTTGATCTTCACATACATCACAGAAAATGTAGGTAAAATAACACATACTTCTTCTAAACATACACGAATCGGTGACACCACTCCCCCCCCACACGTTATCTGAACGATTTAACTTGGCGTTACACACAGTATTTTCCGTAAGAAAGCTTCCTGTGTAATTTACAGCGCTCTGTCTGACAGGCAGTACGCAGTCGCATACCCTCCTGCGCTACTGGAGTTTGGCCCAATGGGGAGCTGTGCAATGAGGATGTTCCGGTGTGTGTGACGGGCTTCCCCCTTTCCCCTTGCTCTCTGCAAAGCAAGTGCCGTGTGTACTGTGGCACCGTGTTTCAGTTTCGCGTGTAACCCCGGAGCAAACTAGATTTCGAGGTGAATTTGCACACTTTGTGTTTTTGGAAATGTGTTTAAAAGTACATGCCTCTGTTTTTGGAGCGCTTGTGGTGAACAGAATCCCATAGCCGCTTGTCGGCGGACCGTATGTTTAACGTTAAGACGGGCCTCATACAAACGTGTGTCAGTAATGCCACATGGGGTTTGAACTGGAAAGAGAAGTAACATGAAATAACTCTGAGCAGGGTATTTAATGGTATTTCATAGAAATGTAAAAGGTGACGTGCCTGCTGTCAGAATTGAAGTCCATGTTTTGGTCGTTACTGTGCCGGTTATAATTACGTGATTCCTCAATGTGTGTAAATATAGAAAGCGGTGGGGTCAGCATTTGCCATGGGTTACATCTGGCACGGCATTCACTTGCGTGTTCTATTTTTAAGACCGAGTGGGCTTAGTTGGCTTGTGTGGATATCAGGGATCTGTGTCGGTGGTACAACCAGACTACCTGGGAGTCTTGGAAAAAGAATGGTGCAAGCAGTGGCTTTCTAACTTGCTGGCTGAAAATGTACTGGGGTTAATATGCGGCCATGGCCCCGAAGAAGGTGCGTCAGAGGCGGTTGGAAACGGGTAATTGTCACTATATTAACAGAAATATTTACGGTGTTTTTTGCTGTTTCAGATGCCTCCGAAGAAGGGCGGTGAGGCACCCAAGCAGCCGCCTCTGATTGGGAGGTTTGGAACATCCCTGAAGATTGGAATTGTTGGATTACCAAATGTTGGGTATGCCACGCAGTTATAAACGTCTGCCACTATATTGCAATTTGATAGATTTTCAATGCAGCCTTACAGAATATACGACATATCACGTTTTTAAGCATGGTAGGTTATAAAAATGAAACATAATGTACCAGCATATGCAAGGCTCCTGTCGGTAATCGGAGAGTGATGATACATTACATTTTTAGATGAATCCCATTAATGTCAAGCAAGTATAGTTATGGAGTTTAAAGTAAGACTAATGGGCAGCTTTATCTTTAAGAAATATATAGGATGGCTGGCTTTGAAAGCAAGTTACTTAGATTGTTATCGTTGGTGTAAGATTGTTTTAGAATGCAAAATAAATGATATTGTGTCTTGGGGGAGTATTTAGTCTTGAAATGGTCATGGCTGAAGCAGTGCTCTTTAGTCTGAAATAAAAGTCTATGGTGCAGCATTCTAAAAGCAACAAAATGGTTAAAAATTAATGCAGTATCAAACTTCACTGACGCTGTGTATTCTTGTGTTCTCACAATCCCACCAGTTTTGCTGTGAATTGGGCACTGTTGTACTGTATTTCAGAGTGCGCTTCATGACTTAATTGTTAGGGAGGAACATGGAGTCTGAATGTCTCTAAATCCCTTTCATAGACATTGATACAGTCTATACAAGGCTCAACTCAGATCCCAGCCAGATAAACACACGTGTCCACAGGTCCACAGCTTCAAATTCCTCAGCCAGCCCAGCCTCCTCAGTTCATGTGTTAAATGGCGCATCACTTTGCAGTAATTTCTGCCAGGGAGGAATGGGTTTGAATAGCCTGAGGCTGATGATGTACCCAGTGCCCACCAGTGATAACTGCTTTGCACCTGCATGCATTGCCGCTGTTAGGGCTGGATTTGGCAGGGATGGCAGTTGTGCTCTCTCCCCGAAAACAGCTGCCTCTGACCTGGCCCCCGAGGAGAGCACTTTCCCTGCCCAGTGCCAGTGGACGATCTGGAGATTCAGGGCTGCGGCGCCAAAGCTGGGATTTATCATTCCAGAGGCTCGTCTGTGTTGGCGAGTGTCGGAGAGAGGTTTTCCCCGGCAGCTGCAGAAATGTCGACTGAACTTGAAATTATTGTGATGCGTGCTCAATGGAACGCAGCCTGCTTTCAACCAGTGTAATCGTTCAAAAATATATTGGTGTAGAAATAACTCTGAGAGTTAATGGTAATTGGTTGAAAAAATAAAATTGGAACATTGCCTATTATATTTATTATACCCACCCAATTTGGAGTAGCCAGTTTGGTGTTTGGCATCTCACAACTATGAACCCCACAACTGTGACAGTTTGGATACATGATGGTGAGAACATGCCTGAAGACGTCTCCAACACAGTGACATTCAAGCCACTTGTCATTTAACACAAAACAAGCTACAGAGCGCTGTAAGCTGAGTTTGGGTCCAGCTGGAGAACACTGACAGAGACCCGTATATCTGCAAGAGCCTAGAATATCACCTGGATTTTTAAGAGCTGAGAGACCCCTAGTTGACTACTCCTATTTGCCCTTTGTGATGCTCAGCCAATTGTGTGCCCTGATTTAAGAGACCCATGGTCACAGTGAGGTAGTGTCATAACCCAGGCTCAAACCCATGATCACAGAGCTCAGAAATCACTGCAAGTCGTAGCCAGCAAAGGTTGACAGTCCTGCAAACAGCTCCAGTATTAGTTTTCTTTAATGGAGCAATTAGTTAAACTTTCATTTTGGAAACAAAACATTCAGGTCTGTAGTTGTGTAGATATCAGTTTAAACCACCAAATCTATTCATTTGTCCCTCTGGTACAAATTAGTCTCTGACCTGGACAAAAAAATGTTATTTTTCTAAGGGCTGGAATCATGATATTAGTTTTTAGCTAATAATGTAATCTTAATTATTTTAGATTTCTAAGATTATAGATTATGGGCTTAATTTTTTAGATTTCTTTATTGAAAAATGTTTGGGTTAGTGTTTTGAAGTAGCTGGCGAAACACTCAGTCTTTGCACACTCAAATTCACAAGGAAATGTACAGTAGGCAACACCTTACAATTTTTATAGGTCTAAAAAGCACTCCTTTTGGTAGTGTTCAAGTTTATTCAGACTTTGAAGGAAGTTACTAAAAGTTGATTTAGCACAGAAAATGTAGGTGCATATCTGGATTATTAAACATTTCTAAATTAAAATATGATACGCATGTATGGCTTGAATAGGCCAGTAGCTTAACTGTTACAACTAATGCTCTACTTCAGAATGGCCCATTTTCATTATTATTCTGTAAATAAACTGAACCTGAAGCCTTCGATGTTTTTTTTAGTAATCTGGTAGTTTCACAACAAGCTTCTGGTAGTCTCCTTGATTTCCACTGGGTATGAAAGGCTGAAAACAGGAGCAAAACACTTCGCGCCTTAAAAAAGGCGTAAGGTAAAGGATTATCGAAATCAACTACTCTAGTGAAGTATTAAAAAATATTTCAAATTTCAAAGTTGGCGTCCATGTTGAAGCTCATGTTGAAAAACAATGCCATTCCTTCTGTGAAGAATAGAAGTGGGATCTGTGTAAGATTGTTTTGTATCATCTAGTGGTGATACATTAGTTTGAATGAAGGGATGGATGTGTTTTGAAGTTTTGAGTCCAAAGTCTACCAGGATATTTTAGGCACAATCCAGGTTCCTTCTGCTGCAATGCCGAATCTTGGAACTGAAATTGGTCTGAAATTAATTCACAACCTGAACCACACTTTCAGATCCGTTGCCACATGTTTAAGGTTGGATGAGATCAGTAGACTTTCGTAGTCTCCAGGCCTCACACTAACAGTACAGATGCAGCATGACCTGAAGAAAGTAGTTCACAAGCACAAACTGCAGTCTGAAGGAGCTAAAGAAGTTCAGCATGAAGGAGTGGCCATATATCTTGCATTCCTAAACCTCAAAAAGTTGCAGGAAACTCCTTTGTTATCAAAACCATTAGAGTGTCAAGAAAATACTGGTTGTTAGAGTATGGCTAATTTTGAACATTTGCAATACAAAAAGAAAACTTGCAGTTAATTTGGACAGGTTTTTCCCTGTCCAGTTCTGATGTCCTAAACAGTTTTCTTTGCTTGTGTCTATGTACGGTAAATCATCCTTATGTATGTGCAACAGTACTAAACGCACACATGGAGGGTTATTTCCTAAAGCCAACTTTCATTTGCATTATATCAAGTGTATGCCTAATTTTGGAGCCCATTATGAAGTATTAATCTACAAACTGCAGTGATAAAGAGATGAAAAGACCGTATTGCAGACAAACCACCCCCGAATGAAAGGGAACATGAGATTTGTGAATTTAGAGATCTCTGAATCTTTCATTTTTATATCGTCCCCAAGAACTCTCGCTGTGCGATTTTAATCCTTCATTTTGAGCCTAGACAACACAAGTAATCTTTCAATGAGTCCTCCCCGGGGACGTGTTTACCTTCTTGCAATTTGCACCTTATCTTTGAGCCGTGCAGTCTGCACAGCCTACTGCGCAGAACTGTTGAGGTCCTGCTTCTAGATTTTGTGATTAAAAGACCCTGGTCTGCATCCTGAATGTCAGTAATAGCAGGTTATTTTGACACAAATTTAGGTTAGGGTTTCTCTTTCTGCTAGGTTTTGCCCTAAATAATGGAAGGTCATAGCTCAGGGTGATCATTTTCTACAATGTAGTACAGTTATTGTTGTTTATCTCATTTTGTATTGCTGAGAAAAAAAAAAACATTTCTTGAATCCAAAGTATTTGGCTGAGTTTTGTACTTGTAATATTTTAAAGTACCCCCTGACATTGTTATATCCATAGACCATAGCTAAACTAATACACAAATGTTTCCATTATGGAGTGACCATGTTTTACTTTTTTTTTTATAGGAAATCAACTTTCTTCAACGTTCTGACTAAGAGTCAGGCTGCAGCAGAGAATTTCCCCTTCTGTACTATTGACCCAAATGAGAGCAGAGTGCCTATCCCCGATGAACGCTTTGATTACCTCTGCCAGTTCCACAAACCTGCCAGGTAGAGTGAATATCATTCAAGAAAATAAGTTCTTGCCGCAGTCTTTTAACTAATTACATTGCATTGAACTGGGTTAGGCTCCAGTATTCCAAGACCATGATTTTCAAGGGAAGCTAGTTCATATTAAAAAAGTTTAGAATCGGGCAATTTGTAGAAACTGATGACAAGAAAGTCTGTCAACTGGAGAACTGAAGAAGCTTGCTTGCATGCTTAACTTGAACCTTTTGGAATTTTTGTCTCTCTGTCAACAACACCTTTTGAATGTTTCTGACTCATTGCTTTCTCTGGGTCACCTGAGAAGTGTGGAGATTGTTATGTTTTCCTTTGGAACTATAATGCCAAGCTGGACACAGTGTAACTGATGGTGATTCCTCGTCAGTTATTGTTCCAGCAGTCTCCAAACAAGCAGTTTTTTCTCCACATTGGAACACAGTTGGTCTCCAGTAAAACAAAGGAAATGACAGCAGGAGTCTGTTTTGTAACTTGAATGTCTTGGAGGAGATGCTGCTGAAGCATTGTCTGTTAGTTTGAATTTCTTATCAATTAAATGTTATCAGTTTATTATTAATTAAAATAAACTAAACAATGAAGTAACTCAGAGGCTGGTGTGCCTGGAACAGAATGGACTGTGCATTGAACCCATAAATATGTTTTGCTCAAATCCTTCCAGTGCGTTTTGTTTTTTTGTTCTGCAGCATTTTAAAATCCCCTTTAAAAGATTTCTAATATTCTAGTTGACATTTTTAGCATGACACTTTACCACCAAAGTTGATTTGCCAGTTCCTATTGCGTATGTTTGGTATACAGTTGCAGTAAAAGGAAAGCCTTTGTACTAGAAATTCAGATTCAGGTCTTTTGTCTTTTTTTCTTATAAAGCAAAGTTCCCGCATTTCTGAACGTAGTGGACATTGCTGGTCTGGTGAAGGGAGCCCATGCTGGGCAGGGCCTTGGGAATGCTTTCCTGTCTCACATCAATGCCTGCGATGCCATTTTCCACATGACACGTGAGTGCACCCCTGCTCCTCCGCCTCTGCGTCGAGTGTTTTTTTATTGAGTGCGTGTGTGTTTTTAAAAATCGCTTCGGAAATCCCAGTCGGAGTTTGGTTAAGCCGTCAGGTGACGGTCTGTATCGATATTCAATACAGGCTATGTAAAACATATACCAAAGTTTCCGTTTTAATGAACCACATCATTCGTCATTCACTAGCCACCACAAGCTTTTAGAATTCTGCAACCAGCTGCCTTTTATTTGTGTCAAACCGCTGCTAAGGAAAGCTCTGCTGGGATGAAAGTGAACTTCAGTTTGCATATTGTATGTTTGTTCTTAAACAATACTGTTTACCTATCCATGGCGTGTTGATTCTGATTCTCTGTTTGTATCCTTGATGTCGGTATACATTTTATTTTTTAAAAGTGTGGTTATATAGGTAATTACCCAATCGATCAAATATTCCTTCTCATAATGGTGCTGGTTATAGTCTCTGATCTGCTTAAAAGGCCTAACAGCTAATGAGAGCACATAAGATGCCTATTTTAAAAGTTATAGAACAGAAGATGATCAGTTCCAAGTTTGTCAAAAAGTAAAAAGAGACCTATTGTATTTCCATATTTCTTGAAACTACATTTCAAATGGAAACTGGTTGGAAAATGAGGTTTTAATCAAGACATTTAAGCAGTGTATAAGACCATATTTGTGGGGTAAAAAGGGAACCTTTCAAACATGAATCTTTGAGGATTTATGTTCATATAATTTAGTAACTTTAAAAAAAGTGAAATTACCTTTTGATGTAAGGTGATTTCATTTTTGCAGAGGCTTTATTTCCAAAGCCCTAAGCCCTCATTGTCAGAGTTCAAATAATGTTAAATTATATTTCATCATTGCCGGTGTCCATTGTCATAAACTGCCAGTGTAATGAAAGGATGATATCACCTTGCGTATTAGCAGCTCTTAAGCTCCTGTGATTTGGTTCCAGAAATGCTGTTCCATGCGTCTTTGCTTTAGGAAAATGTTTAAATTTCATTCAGAGTTGTTCTGCATAAATGAAATAAGAATACTGTGATTGATTGTTTGAAACTAAATGTAAATTCACTTAATAGGCTATTATTTTGTGAAGATATTGCAGGCAGTTTTGTGATCAGTCCATTTTATGTGATCGTGTGTGATTCAGGGAATGTCCTATGGGTCTTTTACAGTAAAAGACAGTGCAGTAGTACTGAAGCTTACAGAAACACTCCGGTTGACATTTTCTTTGGATTAGCCCTTGTCATATGCTAAATGAAGAAAGCAGGGGAGAATATAATTTGCGCCTTTGAAAAAAAAACTCAAGGAATGCACTGAGGGGTCCAGATGAGGGTAAGCGTGGAAGATGTTAAGAGGAATGCGGAGAGATTTCCAGTCTTTAGATATTCTTCGTTACTGACACTTTTTGCGTCATAACCCCAAACTGCCACAGAGGTGCATCTCAAATGAGTAGCATTTTGCTTCCGGTTTTATTTCAGAAATAAAAACGAATAAAACGTCCAATGTAAAGCTGCCTACTGTAGCATTCTTCTCACAGAAAAGCATGTTCACTCACTCCAACAAACCAAACCACAAAAATCTGAATTAAATTTACTCAAGGCGTAAAGAATTCTATAATATACTGCACTAGGAGTACCTCATTTAGAAAATTTGTGCAATTTGATTGTTTTGGTACACTAATAAAATAGACGATCCGGGGAAGAACTGACTCTTTGTCATATTGAAGAGGGATGACTGTGAGGGGACCTGATTCCAGTATACCATTCCACCAACATCTGCGGGTGTTCCATTCTTGAAATGGAAAGTGGTCAGAAAAAAATGAGTTGTTAACCATATGGCCTTGTGGAAATCAGAGTAAGGGGGAACCGCAGTTGTGCTCTTCTGTGTTGTCCTTATAACAGACTCGTTAACTGCCATGAGCCTCCCTACCAAAGTCACAGCTTCCAGTTTCACCGCGAACAAGATGGTCAGCCACTTGTAATTTTCTGTATGAGGACATTCAATTTCTGGTCTTTTTTTTTTTTTTTTTACAGTTTTCTGAACATTAGAACTGAGTTCATGCTTGTGGGTCCTGTTCAAAGGCCAAGTTATTACTGTAATAGGTGTATAAACGCTGAGCCACCCAACAGTGTCCACTCGGTTACCGTTACTATGCAAGAGAATGCTTAGAGGGCAGTAATAAGTAGGATTTACTGAGATAATGCGGTAGATTTGAAATTTCAAGTGTGGTATATGATGACTAAGCGACACCATTCCATAGTGCGGTTTGTGCGGTTTTATGCAGGAAGAAACTGTGGTGGGTAAATGCTCAAAAACATTGGCAAACTCATTCCTGCGGCCGTCTTTAGAATGAAAGTAAAACCTGAACCAGAGAACAGGTGAAACTTGGGAGAAGTGCATCTGGAACTCAAAATGAGGCACTTTTTACGCCAAAGTGTGGGGCAGTCTGAACAAGTATCCCAGCCATGCTCGTGAAGGTGATAACCTGGCTCATTTCAATAAATGGCTGGACAAGATCCTCAGATCAGTTAGTTATTAACTACCAAATGAGCTAGATGAGCAGAATGGCTTCTTGCATTTGTAAGGTATCTGATTTTCTTCTTATATTCTGAAAACACTTGGAAGTTGTCTAGCACTGTCTTGTCCAAACCAGCATCAGCAGGGGGCTATAAGTTATTACTAGCTTGGTACTAGTACGGCCATTCTGTGTGAAATCAACTAATTTTGGCATGACCATCTCAAATAGTTCCTCAAATTTCACTTCAATTGAGGCTAGATGTGATGTTAATATCTCTTATATATGGTCATTAAAGGGTGGCATTTTTATACCTACCCAGGCTACCTTGAAGGCATTGTCTCCTCTGATCTACACATGCTACAGTCACAGTTTTGTTTGTCATCTTAAATGTTTTTGTACTCTGTTGCCTAATTACCCTTGAGGTTAGGAGTGCTCGGAAAGGTGAGGGGGAACAGTTAGAGCTTTTGAAAGGTGCTGAGGTGAAACGAGTTTGAGAACATTAAAAGCTCCAATGTAAAAATATTTCCAAAGGCTGAAGTATACATACTGCTGGTTTGACTCCTTTTAAGTACATGTCAAGAGTTATTAAAGGTTTGAGAGCAATATCATCAACATTAATTCTAAATTTCGATTATCTCCTCAAGTAGCTGGGCAGCGTATTGGTGGAGCTTTCACAATCTAACGCTTCAGATTTGCTTTCTGCAAACGTATGTAATGTGGAAGATGTAGCTGGACATTTTATGGGCTGCTCACTAAAATACAGATTTTTCCAAATGGCTGGCCAAGAGATTAAAAAACTCAGTGAATGCTTGTCTCTCATTGGGCGATATCCAGTACAGCACAGACTTTTAGAAAGATCTGTTTGATACAGGCAAAAGAAGCTGCTGAAAATGCAATAAGAAGCAAATAGCTGAGCTATCACCATTTGAGTTGTAGAATGATTGTGGCACAGGTATGATTGCTCAGGTTAAAGAGAAATTCCTATCGTGTAAAAAGAAAAGAAACATTAATATTTGAATAATCTCCCTAAAAGCTGCACCTCTGAGGAAATACAAAGAGCTTAGAGCCTGTAATTTCATGCTTAAAAAAAACTAAAATGCTGCTTGGGGAAGAAGGGATGCTATCTATTCCGAAACCAAGGTCTAGTGGATTCTTATCTGATTCAAAGAAAGCACTGGAAAACTGATGCAGAAATGTTGGAAGAGCAATGCCAGGGAAATGAACATGTCCAGAAATGGCTCGTGAACGTGAATTTAGGTGTCCACGAGTGGTAAAGATACGTTTTCTTACAGTTTGCAGAATAAGTGCTTGCTGGAGAAAGTGCCACCCAATATATACAAGTTTGCACCAAGCACCACAAAATCAAAATGATTAATAATTCAGCAGCTACAGGAGGTAACTGCTGTCACTTACTACCCCTGCCTAGCTGCTGTTTTTTCAATACTGGTCTTTCATACTGTTATCTTGGAGAGTATAGATAGACGCAGACAAACTGTCCACCATGAAAGATACTCTTCAAAGCAGTTTGTACCTTCATATAATCAGTTTGGATCCAATGAGCAGTGAGTGTCGACCGACAGAGAAATATCGCAGAAGTTGGTCAAGAGTAGTGATGAATTCTGAGATGATTTTTCAGACCAATCTGCACCTTTTATCAGTCATTATTTAATTTGCAAAATTTTCCAAACAGGTAAAATACCTTAAACCAGGTGAATATGTTGCTTATTTGTCTGAGTATTACTGTTGTGCTCTTCATTATGATGCGCCAGATTTTCATTAGAACATTCAAGGAGCATTCCATACATGTGTCTGTCACTATAACAGCGGCAGTCATCTTGGATATGATAGTGTCACTGTGATTTCTGACTGCAGGCATTACGACAGTGTGGCAGGGCACCTCTTTCAAAAGATGTGCCTTTGTCATTAATGCGAACATCCAACCAAGGAATTGTTTGTTTGATCAGATGGGGCAGCATCACATTATAACAACTGTAAAAACCTTGTCAAGCCGTCCCATGTAAAGTTTGTTTTGCAATCCAGTCAGAATGGTATTTATTTGCCACATTTCTTTGAAACAAATGTATGTGAATGTGATAGGGGACCTATAAAGAGAACTGTTGGGGGAAAAAAGCCTTCAGTAACTTAACTGCCACCAAACCATGGCACTAAGACAGCTTCTGCTTTTGGAAAAGAGAGTACAGCTGGCATGATCATGCGTTACACAGTGAAAGAGTGAGAAGATTGAGAGGTGACGAGATAAATGACAGAGCCAGTGAGGTTAAGATACTCTAATGTGCTCTGAAGTCCCATTTTGATAATGTCCCATTATCAAAAACTAACCTGCATGTGAAAGTATAATCAGATAGCTAGGAATTTAACTTTGCTTTTGTTGGCTGAAAGAGGCCAACTTTTGAAGTCATCAGGGGCTTTGTCAAAATTTGATGGGATATGGTAGCCTGGCGCTG